GGTGGGCATGGGGGTGAATCCTGCCTCTGCATAAAACCTCACTCTTTACTCAGTCCATAGGCTACAGGAGTCTTGTGAAGGTGTCACACATACGGTTCCACTTCTCAGAATCTGAGCCCGGGCAGGGCCCGGGGGTGGTGGTGGGGCTGGAGCTTCACCGTGAGCCAGCAGTCACACTAAGCCTTGGATAGGATGATTGATGCCTCTTTTACAAAAAATCACAAAGACTAAAAATGGAACTGGACCCTAGAGTTCCAAAAATGGCATACCTGAGCTCAATGGTGGGAAGCCACAGATGTCCTTCTAGGAACAGCCCTAGACAGTGCCTCGGGATGGGAGAGGGACCTGTCTCTCTCAGGAGAGACAATCCCAGAATGTCTCTGTCCTATCTCCAGTAGCTGCCACCTAGTAAATGGAGCTCTAGATTGAGAAACAAGCTGGGATCCATCTGGGACCAGATTGTCTCTGGCTGTATCCAGCAAGAGGGATCTTCCCCTATAGTACCCTCAGATGGGCTCTCAGATGCCCCCCAAAGGCTTGGCAGCTGGACAGTAGGCAGCTTGTAGATTACCTGCACCCTCACCTCTCAGTAGACATCTTTATAGCCTTGGGGGGGGAACTCCCCAGGGTGTAGCCTGAGACACTCTCTCATGAGTCCTGATTACTGCAAGGCCACACAGAGGAATGCAACAGAGCATGTTAGCCTCTCAGCTGAGGCGCACGGGAGTTAGCGTACCATCAGTGTCTGTGTGAATGGAAGATGCATGTGCTTGTTCATAGACACATACATGCATATGTCTTGCACACAGGCACATATGTGTTTATATGCGCATATACATGTTTGTACACAGATGCATACATGTGTGTGCATTGTATGCATGAATACACATGTGTCGAACATATGTGCATGCACATGTGAGTAGGCATGTATGTGTTTATAAATGTGTGTGTGCATGCGTGTAGGTTTCCCCTAATGGGAAGGGACCCCCACATTGAGAATCTAGGTTCCAGTCACAGAGCTTGGTGTACATAGATGACCAGCGTGTTCCCACCTGCTCTAGCACCTTCACCCTCCCTAATGGATCCCACTTTACTGCCCTCAAGGGCAGTGGGCACAACACCTCTGAGATGCCACATTCTTCGTCCCTTTGCTCACAGCGCTCATCTGTAACACGAGCAGTTTCAGGCCTGAGCGTAACTGGCAGCCACAGGCAGGCTTCAATTGTGCGAAGCAGGGCTCCCAGCCTGATGCAGGACAAAGCAAGAGGGCAGCCACACCCACATAGTTCTGCCAGGCCACTCTGGCTGCAGAGCCACAGGGTTAACAGGAAGCAGGATGGGAGTTAGGAAGCAGGTTGGCAGGACTCTGGCTCCATGGTCTTCCAGGACCAGCCTTCTTGCCTCCCCAAGGCGTTGATACACATCCAATCCCAGCGAGTCCTGAAGGCCTGCTCCTTCATGCCGCCACCCCTCTTCCATCCCAGAAAAAGACTCATCGTGACTGCCAAGTCAATGGCCACATAGAACGCTCTTGCACACAGTAAAGTCAATGGCCATATAGAACGCTCTTGCACATAGTGAGGTCAATGGCCATATAGAACGCTCTTGCACACAGTGAGGTCAATGGCCATATAGAACGCTCTTGCACACAGTGAGGTGTGCACACAGAAGGATGCGCACGGGAAGTGAGTGTGCCGGTGGCAGCAGTCGCAAGTAAGCCTGGTGCTTCGGTAACCTGGTTGCGGTCAGGCACAGAAAGTGTGTGGGAAGTCACAGAAAAAGGCTTGGCCAGGGCCTTTGACCCTGTGAGGGACAAGAATCAAAGGCATTTGCTCATCAAAGAAGGGGGTGATTCTGAGAGGACAGGAAGGGCATCAGAGGCCGAACTGCTGGGCTCTGAGCAGCTCAGTTCTGAGAAGGTCTAGGAAACAGGACCACTAGAAGGCAGGAACTGGTTCCAGTGGCCAAGGGGACACGTGAACCAGCTGTCAGTGTTTAGAAGACATATGCCACAACTTGTGCTAAGGGAACTTGGTCCAGACTCTTTTTGCATGCCCCCAGGGATGTGAGGATGTGAGACTCAAAGGAGCCGCTTCCAGATGGGACGGTACTAGCTGGTTCCTCCCCATCCTGAGTGCCCATGCAATTGTCTTGTCATAACCCTTGCTATGTAGCCACTTCCTCCAATTGGAAGCACTCCCTTTTGGAGGGAGGTTCATTAAGACTCAAGAAGTCAACAAAATTTACAAGTTGCTGCCTGTTTCCCAAGTTACCTAAGCAGTAACAACTGTTGGGGAGTGGAGACTCTGAGCCGCAGAGCTACCTCCAGATTGTGTGCGAGGCAAGGTCCGAGAATACAGCTTTTCAAGTCCTCACTCTTGCTGAAACAGGCTCCCAGTGATATGACTATTTGTGTCACCCATGTTTCTGAACAATCTCACTGGTTCACTAATCTAGACTTAGGTAAAACAGTGCCATATCTGAGATAAATAGATGTCATCTCTCTAGTAACAGTCACACAACATTAGTGGTGACTGCATAGGGGCCAGGAGAACTAAAGACATTTGGGAAGAAGTGGTCACATGGATCCAGCAGTGGGTGCTGACATGCACAACTCAGGCTCCGTCCTGCTGAGGCCAACGAAAGTGAGGTGATGCGGGCAGGAGTCCTGAAGCCGCAACAGAACCTCAGGATAAGGAGGTGAGATGGTCCATGAGAAATGTCTGTGGATTATGGAAGGCTAGATGAGGCAGCTCCCACCCCCATGTGGGCCTGATGCTGCTCTTTGACGAAACAACAGAGAGAAGTGATGTGGTCTTTTACTGCTGGCCCTTTTACTTTTCTCTTTTAGTATACCCCTAGATGACCAAGACCAATTGATACTTGCTTAGAATGGATAATGGTCGGTCCTCAGGGAACCCACCCACCCTCTGTTTAAAAACAAAGTGTCATCATACAGTGCTGACCCCTGAGGAGAGTTTTACCAGATTTGTTAAAGCATCTGGAAGAACAGTGATGGAGGTCAAATGAAAGCACCTACATGTATTGAAGACACTTGTAGAAGCATAGGGTTGTTGACCAAAAGTTACAGAGCCAGGGATGAACGGCTTCTCTACAAGTTGTGGGCTATGGAGGCCCCCAAATCCTTACAAACCATAAAGGTGGCTGTCACTGCTGCATACCAGGGCTAAATAGCAAGATTCTGTTGCTGGAGCTGTCACACATTTTGACATAAGACATGGAAAACAAGGTTGGAACTGAAATGGAAATTCCCTTTTTGCTAGTTAGTGCCAGAAGGTGTTGCTTGGACCACTGGTGAAGGGTCACAAACAGTCATCATCAGTTGTGATTGTCCATGTGTACTAGAATACTAACAGGCCAAGCAAGACGCACTTGCTAACACAACCGTGGCATGACGGTTATGGGGGCAACCATCTGATGTCCTGTTAGATTTAAAGCCTGCGCCACAAGAGGGAACTCACATAGGGCACAGCAAGGAAGGGCAAAAGCCTGTCTGTGGTCCCAGCGTGAAGGCAACTGCTGTTGCTGTGCTCACTGGATGTCATGTGCCTGTCGAATTGCCTTCTAAACATTTGTATTTCCACCCATCAATTACTGCTGCTGTCAGCTCTGGTCAATTTGGTCAGTCCTAGGGGAAAACTAATTTTTTCCAGTGAGGAGTATGCAACAGAGAGCCATAATCCACTAACTGCTGAAAGTAAACGAGTGTTCCTCCGCCACACTCAGCCACGGATAGACTTCTATACCATCCCTCCAAGGCTCAGGAATATCCAACCAAAAGGGAGGGGGGCATCAGGAAGACTGTAAGAACCTGAGGAAGGAATACTATGTGGCTACATCTTCCAAACTGAAACAGGCCTTCAAGGAGGGAGACCCATAAAGGCACAGGAAGGAAGGAAGGTCCCTCCTCAAGGTCGTATAAGCAGTGGTGGTTACTAATTTAACCCACAGAGCTGCTTGCAGAGTGTGTAGCCTAGGTGACAAGCTCCAGGGATGCAGCTTTCATGGCTAGCCACCCATGCTGGGATGGATTTTTCAGTGACACAGCTGTCAGTAATCCCTCACCCATATGCCTGTAAGTAATTCCAACAAACTCCTCAGTTTGCTAAGACTTGTGTAGAATTGCTTCTTTGGCCTTTCCCAGTCTGAAGTGAACAGATGTTTGTTTATATCTTCCAGAATAAGTAACAAAACTCACCTTCTGTCCCTAGTCAGGCCTATCTATCTTGTATTAAGTATTTCTTTTGATTTTATCTCTGTACATGTGAGTGTTGACACTCAACAAAGACAAGCTGGTGTCAGATACCGGCCTGGAGCTAGATTTACTGGGAACTGAACTCAGGACCCCTGCAAGAGCAGCAAATGCTCTTAACCACTTCGTTGTCTCTCCAATCCTTAGCGAGGTTTACTTTATAGCTTACTCCCACCCCCTACCCCCAGCACACCAGGAGTAACCCTGAGCCAAGACAGGCTCACTGAACCCCAGCGCTGTGCTTCTCGAAGGCAGTCCATCGCATGGATGTCCTGACACCTGCCCCTGCTCCAAGCCTTCTGCACTTGGTGTGGACCCCCTCACCCACTCCTGCTGCCACGGGCACAGAGCCTCCGTGACCACTGCCAGTCAAGTTGATGTAGGCCCTGCCATGTCTTTTCTTCAAAGACAATGGTTGAGTAGGACTGTGGGATTCCCATTATCCAGGGCATCTTCCAGCTCTCACTCTGGGTTCATGGCCTTCCAGCACTCACAGGTGCACACACGACCCTGCAGCTGCCTCCTCTGACCTTCTGTACAGCCTCCCCGGCTTTCAGCCCCCATCATTCCCCACCCTGAGATGCTGGTCCCCTCCTCTTAAAGGCACCTCTGGTTGGCAGGGATGATGGTTTTAGTTCCACCGGGATCTTTCCAGGCCAGTGGAGAGTCCCTCCTGGGGCTTAAAACTTGTGAATCACAAGACAGCACAGACAGACACAGAACCTACCTTCCACAGCAGCCACAAGCTGTTCCCGGTGGTGCTGGTCCCGGGCACGCAGTGCAGGGCTCTGCATGTACAATTCTCCACCACCACGTGTTGAGCCTAACCGGTTCACCAACTGCCAAAAGGACATCAGAGGCCCACTAAGAACCCAGGCTCCCCAAGGGATCTGGACCCTCTCGCTAGAGCCACTCTGATGGTTTAGAGAGCGTGGACCACTATCCTCGGCATGCTCTGCATAGGGGAAAGGGTTCCTAGCCCAATCATGGGCACTCTAGAGACCCATAATGTGGAGGCTGCTCTCTTTCTCCCCTGGCCAGGATGTGATTGCTCGACTGGAGGTGGGGAGTGGGGAATGAGCACTTGAACGAGAATAGTAGGAACCTGAAACTTGAATTAACTTTATTTCAGTCATTATATGGTTCCTGGCATCTGTACTAATCCAGAGTTAACTTGAGTACCCTTACTTCCAGGAAGTCTTATGGGAGGCAAGTGCCCTAAAGCCACAGGTGAAGCCACATAGAGAAGGCTGGCTTCCAGACAAGAGCTCTAGTAAGAGCTGAACACAAGCCATTGAACCCAGACTGGTCTCCACTTCAGATCTAAGGACAAAGAACACAGAGATGGAGGCTAGCTCTGCATGGGCAAGGCTGAAGCCTGCATGGGCAACGCCAGACTCACCGGGTAAATGGCACTACATTTTTACATTAGTGAGTGACAGCTGAGGTCAGCACCAGGTACCCTTCAAACAGGCTAAGCATCATGTTAAAATGGTGGGGACAATGGCAAGGGGACAAGATAACAGGGCCCGGCCTAATGTGAAAGGACAGGCTACAAGGCAGAGGGTGGTAGGTGACAGCAGCCTGATGGCCTCTGGCTGGCCTAGAGCATCTACACCTATACAGTGGCACCTGGGTCCAATCAGACCACAGAGGATGGCGTTGTCCCTCACACACATGCCTCACCTCACACTCATAGTGTCCCAGGTCCTCCTTGCTGGCTGCCCGGATCACCAACACCAGCACACCACTGCGGGGCTCATTCAGCATCCGGTACTTGTTGCCCAGGGTTAGCAGGGCACCATCCTTGTACCACCTGGAACCATCCATGAGGTCTTGTGACCCAGTGCCCTGCCAGGGCCATCTTCAGGGTACCCTCAAGATGCTCAGGGGACCTCCAGACAGAGCTACTGGTACTTAAAACTCCTTCTAGGCTGCCCCAGACCCAATGTCCCTAGTAAGGTCCCTTCTTAGCAGCCACAGTCCAGCCATGTCTTCCCAGCCACAGGGGGTCTTATGTCCAGCAGGAGTCACAACCCCATGACAACACTTTCCAGTGATCAGTGGTCATGTACAAGCTCCCTGGCCTAGGAGATCATGCGGGTCAGCCCTCCCACACTGCAGGAGCTGCATTCTCCAAGCCCTGCAGCCCAGGCCTCACCTGATCTGAGGGTACGGGGCGCCTTCCACAGTGCAGCTGATTTGTGCATCTTCCCCCTCCACAAAGGGGGTGGCCCGGACCTTGCTGACAAATCGTGGGGGCACTGTGGGCCGAGGCAGGCAAGGGCAGGGAAGAGAAGGGTATCTGTGATGGAGTCGAGTGAGTGCTGGGGTGGGGACTGTGCTGTCCTCACCTCCGGCAGTGACTTTCCTCTGGGAGCTTCTGGCAGGCCTCTTCCACCCTCTGGCTCATCCCACACACCAGCCCTCCCACAGCCTGTATTCTGGGCAGAGTCCACACCATTGACAGTGGACTGGTGGGGTGTCCATCACACCAGGAAACCCACTCTGCTCACCTTGTACTAGAATCTTCCCCAAGGTACTGGCATTGCCAGCAGCACTGGCTGCAAAACACATGTACTGGCCAGAGTCTATACCAGTCAGGTTGTCCAAGATGAGGGTACAGGAGCCATCAGGGTCTTCAATGAGGATGTGGTGTGGGTCCACCTCCACTGGCTTCCCATCTGGAAGGCAGGGATAGGCTTTCATGGACTAAGGTCCCAAAGGAAGAATAAGAGGCTGGGTGCGATCGGTCTCTCTCCACATCTCTCTCTCTGTCTTTCTCTCTGTCTCTGTCTGTCTCTGTCTTCCTCCCTCTGTCTCTCTGTCTCTTTCTCTCTCCCTTTTGCTTTCCCTCTCCCTCTCCCCCCCTCTCTGAGTGTCTCTCCACAGGGTCCTGACTCAACATCAACATTCTAGAAACAGAGGTGGAAGGGTCTGAGCTGTAGGAAGCACTCAGTGAGCACAACTGGTTCTTGGTCACTCCATCTCCTCAACGCCTGCACTTCTCGCTGGTATCTTACTTGGCGACAAAGCATACTTGATGTGAACTCCTCTTCCCTCAATTGCCTCCACCCTGAAAACCTAGAGCCTGAACAAGCCATTTCCTAATGGCCCTTCCTCATCCTCCCACATCTGACCCTGTCCTACAGCCAGCAAGACAAGCACCCAGTCCTCCTGCCCTACCCCTACCCCCGCTGAGCAAGTGGAGATCACTCCCAGAAGACAGCTCAGCCCTCAGTATCAGCCCTGTCCAGAGGGTCCCACACCCTTGTGCCTTTCCTCTCGAAATTAAAGTCCTTCCTGTCTTCCATGATTGCTCCCTCCATCTAACACATGTCCCCACCATGATGCCGGCTGCCATACTGTGTTGCCACCAGCCAACAGGAGCCTCACTAGGTGACACTATACTTTTAGGACTTTCAGTCTCCAGACACTGATGTCAAAAGAGATCTCTTTAGTTTATAAAGAATACAGACTCTGGTGCTTTGTTACAGCAACAGCAAACAGAAGCTCGAATGTTAGCAGGCTTTTGCATGGTCTTGGGCAAACTTTAAGTTTCTGAGACTCATCATTTTGCCAACTGAAGTCTCTGGCATAGGATGCCAAGCTTGGGGTTTAGATATGACCTCTTTCCAACATGGCCACCAAACACATCACTTTCACAAATCAACTCTTTGCATGTTGTGGGGCTCTGATGGAAACCAGACATTCAATTCAGTGATGTCCTATGTGTCCATTCTATGATGAACCAGTTTGAACGATGTGACAAGCATAGCAAGTAGTGCCTAGCCAGCTTTGCTCACCAAATGGAAAGAGCCAATTTCCCAAATTCACATGAACAAGTGGCTACCCTCCCAGAATGGGGTTCTCTACTCTCCTTGTTCTTCTCCCAGTGCCAAACTGCTTTGGTTCCCTGATGGTTCAGATAGGCAGAAATCCACCAGCACCAAGAGCTCTGCAGTTTGGCAGAGGTGTCGTCCTCTGTTCAGTGGGCAGAGTTCAAGGTCATTCTTGTAGTGTTGCCCCATGCTACTCTCCTTAGTGAAACCCTTACATCCTTACTAAGCCATGTAAACAACTAGAGTTGTGGGTTAAAGGAGCCCCTATATGGGGCCACAAGTCATAGATCAAAGATGAACACCTGACAGATTGAGGACACCTCACCCAGACCACCAGGACTCTTGTATGGAACCACTGCAATACAGCATTACATTGACCCATCACCGGCTTGACAGACACAAAGATATGCTACACGCTAGACAGAAGGCTATGGAGAGATGCTCTCAAGTCTACAAAGAACATGGCCATATCACATAGGGTACCCACATCATCACCCTGGCAGATGATCCCAGCCATACTGTTTCTGGTCAATGAGTGTAGCCTTGTGGCTGACATGAGCCACATGGTGCTATGTGGGCCTTCTGCCACCTGATGACCATTCACAATAGCCACTCCAGGACCTGATTATCCCTCATGACCTCTGGTTCAGGTAATTCAGGAAGGTTTTTGAGGTCACTGAAAGTGGTTTTCCCCTGCCCCCCAAAAAGACTGTCTCTTCTCCTACAGGGTCCTTACTGGGATAATAGTCAGAAGAAAGGATAGGGCTGGCTACAAGGCCTTGCTTTCCTGGTAACAACCCAGCCAAGAGAGATGGGGCACAAGGGGTTCAAACTGACCTCTGGCTTGTTTTTATGAAAAGGTGCTTATCTTCCTACACTTGACCTCTGTATATAAGGAGAGGGTGGATGGCTGAGTAAAGGAGCAGGTTCTGTGCAACTGGAGGGAGGGGGCTGTGAAGGAACCCTCCAGCCCCAGGAGCAGTGGTACAAGTGATCTCCTCTAGAGTCAAGAGATAACACCCAGGGCAGCTCTCTCAAGTGACCACCAGGAGCCAGAATGAGTCCTTCTATTCTCACCACCCAGTGAGAACTAGGCATGATTCAGGATGCTACTGTCTGCTGTATCACAGGAGCAAAAATGTCTTTGTCTTAGACCTTGGGACTTACATCTATACGTGCATGCATCTGTGTATGTGTGGCATGTCTGTGTACATATACATTTGTAGTGTTTACGTATGTGTACATGTGTTAATGCGTGGAGCATCTGTGCATATGTATTAGTGAGTATCTATGCCTGTGACTGTAGTGTATTTGTATGCACATGTACTGTCTGTGTATATAGCTGTGTAGTATATATATAAATATATGTTTCTATCTGTGTGTATGTGTATGCATGCTAGTGTATATCCATGCATTATTGGGTGTCTAGGGTGTACTTTTGCATTATATTCATGCATGTGGCATGTTTCAGTATATACTGGTGTAATATTAAGTTACATATGTATGCCATGTACATACAAGTGTGTGCAGTTTATGTATGATCAATGATGGAGCAGTCCACAGGCAGGTGGGTGGGAACAGAAGCACATTTCAGTCTTGGGACTGGGAACTGTCAAGCTGGTCATCTGCTCTCATCCTTGCTTAGGGTCCCCCCATCACTGCTCCTCAGCTCTCTGGACTCTGGACTCTGGAAGTCAGAGGATCCACGGGACCGCTAATGCCAATGATGAGTCCATGGTACAAGCTCTAGGCCTCACAGACCCCTCATATTAACAGTGTGTGCCGTGGGCACTCTGGACTCTGGCGGTGTCAATGTGACTTCAGACTGAGGTTGGTCATGTGAGAAGTCAGGCATGACTGCAGACACAGACCTAGTTAATACCGTGAACTGAGAGGCTCAGGTGAGCTTCCTGACAAAAGTACTCTGGTTCTTTCTCTATCACGCACTGATGATGGGGGGCAAGGGAACTGGAAGGGATGAATAGAAACTTACACATGGCAAGTCACAGACCCTGCCCAGCTGACTTCATCTGGCTCCACTACAGTAAAACACAGCCCTGAACAGAACAGCTCTGTGAATTTCAGTGAGCCCATGGAGTGAATGATTAAACTGGAGGAGGCGCCTGGGACTTTGAACCTGCGGCTGGTGTCAAGTGACAGGGCTTTGGGGATTCCCAAACTTGGCATTAGAACTGCGGGTGCTCTTGGAGACCTCTGAACTTGGCATCAGAAAACCCGGTGCTCTTGAGGACCTTTCAAGTCACAGTTAATGTCAGGAATAAAGGTTCTAGGGAACCTGTAAGGGCAAGTGTTGTCAGTGGTGATGTTGGTTATGGCTCCTCCCATCACAGCTGAGTGAGGAGTGAGCAGCACAGCCCTCAAGCCCAGCACTGTTGAAGCCCCCTCTTGCTCATGTGACTGTGTGCTTGTTGTGACATGTGACTTGTTGACCAGAACTGTTCCTCAGTATCATGGCTATTGCTTACCCAAGCCCTCACGTCTGCCTCTCATTCATGCAGAAGCTTTTAGACCTGTCATCTCAGAGGGCTGTCTTGCTTTTTGTCATTGTCCCACGTCAATGTGTCTGGGCAGCCACAACACTTTGGCTTTAGGATTATTTATTTGTCCATCACCCTCTATCATTATCCTCTTGACCAGGGGCACCTGTCTCCCGCCTCTCAGGCTTCATGCACCACTGAACAGACTCCACATTCTCGAGAGGTCCTTCGCTGTTGCAAAGCCAGCATCCCACAGTACCCTCATCCCTGGTACCTTTATACCAGCTGACAACAGGCTTAGGTGTGCCAGTCACTCGGCATGCCAGCTTGACTGTTTCACCCAGCTCAGCGGTGCAGTCAGCCAGCTCCTCTTCAAAATCAGGGGGACCTGAGGACACACAGGAGGGTCATCATGTTATGTGGAAAACAGGTCATGCCTCCTACAGTCTTAATTGCATATGCCCTGGCAGGCTGCCCCACCCAATACTAACACTCCATGTCCAGCAGTGTGACTGCTACCATCTGGGGTCCCAACCTAGAATCAAAGGTGAGTGAAGCCAATGGGATGCACAGTGGGAAGGGGTGGGAACCATGGTAAAAATGAAGCGTTTGGGGAGGTTTCTCAGTGGGTAAAAGCATTTGCTATGCAAGCATGAGGACCTGAGTTTAAGTCCTCATCATCCACGTGAGGTCATAGCCTAGCATTGTGGATGAAGAGACAGGCAGATCTCTGGATCTCATTGACCACGCAGCCTCCCCCCAAAAAGTAATCTCCAGGTTCAGTGAGAAACCCTGACTCAAAGAAATAAGGCAGACAGTGCTTGAGCAGAACTCATGATGTCCTCCTCTGGATCCAGCACATGGACATAGGCCCACATACCAAAACATATGCATACCTACATGTGTACACACATGTATATACCACCAAAAGTTAAATTTTTGAGATAGGATTTCTCTGTGTAACAGTTCTGGCTGTCCTAGAACTCACTCTGTAGACTAGGCTGGTCCTGAACTCACAGAGATCCACCTGTCCCTGCCTCCGGAGTGCTGGGATTAAAAGTGTGTGCCACCACCCACACAGCTAATTCATTAATTTGAAAAACATATGATTTGAATAATTCTGTTCTGGCTGAGGAAGCGGTCCAGGATGCAAGATTCCCCCACATCTTGCAGAATTCCAGATGGATGTCCTGAGCTTGGGGTCTCTGTGTGGGAACTTCCTATCATCCCCCAAGTGTCCTCACCCTGGTCAGGGGTAATCTGATACTCCACCTGGATTTCCCTGTGAGGGTACAGTTACGCCCCCAGAGCTGACAGAGGAGAGAGTGGAGCCCTCTGCTCCCCAAAGCACGTCCTTACACCCAGTAAGCAAGGGCCAAGGGAGTGGCACCCACCTACCTGAGAATCAGGGTCCCAACAGCCTGGGTGCAGCCCAGCTGGACAACTAGGGTGAAGGATCAGGTCCCCATCCTATCTTGACCACTATGACCACAAGAGGACACTCACGCCATACAGGCTGGGCCAGACGCTGCTGGATGCCACAGATCTCCTTCACCCATGAGTTTTTGATGATGACTGTCCGCGCCTGGAGCAGGTACTTGCGCACCGAGTCCTCCCGCTCATGCCACACCTCAAAGGCACGGTCATCCCCCTCTACCTGGTCATTCAGGTCGATGCTACTCAGCTGTGGGGAGAGGATGTCAGTAGGGAGGATGTCACCACCCTCAGATGATGTGGGATCCACCTGGAACAGTGGCCAAGGAACTGGCCACCAGCATCCACTCTGAAGTCTGAGAGGCAAACAGTCCTCCACCCACGGCACATTCGCCTGCCCCACAGAGCCCTTGGCAGCCCCTGCACACACAGACCTTCATCATGTTCCGGAACACATAGCTGAAGGTGTCAGTTCGAGAGTCTCTCCGGGGCTTGCAGATCACCAGATGGTTTCGGAAGAGGAAGACATGCCGGTTGTGGCCCTTCCAAGGCATCCGGGCCCCTGGTGCTCCCTCCCACACTATGAAGTGGCCCTGGAGGTGTGAGTGGGCTCTGGTTAACCAAGCTTCCCCTATGGATGCAGCCCCCACTGATCGCCATGCATCCAGCTCCCCATAAAAGCCATGTAGTCTCCACATGCTCCCACCTCCAAAAGCCTCCTACAGAGCCCCACCCCCAGCACCCCACAGCCCCACCTGACGGATCGGTTCTCCCAGAGCCTCCAGGGTTCCTGGGTAGTTCTCCATGAGTGAAACATGCAGCTTATTCTCAGCCCTCTGAGGCAGGGCAGACACCACGGCGTAGGCCTGCTCCAGCAGCGCGCAGTTCTGCCGGTTGCGGGCTTTGTTGCGGATTAGCTCCTGGAGTGAGGGCCAAGAGTCATGAATCCAGGAGGCTCTGAATCCAGGAATGCCCCTCCCCCAAGAGGTGCAGGCTGCACAGCTGAGGCTAGAGCATGTCACCTTCAGCAAGGCCTGGTATTTCTGCACCCGCTCCACTGGCTGCTCCAGGTAGTGCTGAAGCGGAGGTGGGGGTGGCTGCGTGGGGTCCTTGGCTGACAGTGTCTCTTCTGTATATTTCTGTAGGAGCCACAAAGGTGGTTTTGTGCATGAATGCATGGTCACCATGGGCTGGATGCTAGGCTCCAGGGGTGTCACAGGCACAGCCCTGAACCACCTGGGCGTGGCTATGTCCCCTGAGAGCTAGATACCAAGGGTGCTGACACATACAGCCCTGCACAATGGACACTGGGTTACCATCTCACTGGTGGTGGCACAGGGCTTGGGCAGCTTCAGTAACAGCTGAGGCGTATAGAGCTATGGGCACCCTCATGCGTTTCCCACTAAGCCAGGGCCCAGGCAGGTGGTGGGTATGCTGTGTGATGTGGGTTGAGGAAGATGAACTTGGGCTGGCCATGTGGACCAGTGGAGCTACACCTCAGAGGGCATTTGGATAAGAACTAGGGTCTAGGAGCAAGCAGGGTGGGTGGGCTTGTGACAGACAGGAAGCACCTTGTAGAACTCCTGGACTGGGGTGCTGACAACCACTGACTCAGCTTGCACACGGCCCACCAGGAACTCAAGGTACTTCTCAAAGGCCTCCTGGTTCTTGATGAAGCACATGGCCACATCATCATCAGTGTCACAGGACTGCAGCTCCTTCAAGAAGCTACCACAAAGGGGACAGTGTCAGCACCTCCCTCCACCAACCAGCTCCAGACCTTCTCTAGAAGAAGGCCAGGATCTAATCAGGGCCTGAGCCCTGTGATAGAACACATGTTGAATTTCATGTACAAGAAGTGCATGGCTGCGTGCCCATCTGCCAATGCACAGGAATGACATGTATTGTGTGTGCACATGTACAATAACATTTATATTTGGGTGCATATATATGTACATTTTCTAAAAACATACATGCATATGCACATAAACATGCACGGATGTGAACATATACATGTGCAGGTACATGTGCAATGTAGTGTGCACATTTGTGGTGTGCACTACTCTTGGTACAGGTGTGTACATATATATGCTCATGTGTACTTGTATGCCTTGTGCGACAGTGTACATGTATAGAAACCCGCATGTTAGCATGTGTGTTGTGAGGTATATATACATGTACAGAATGTGAAATGTTATGTATATCCATGAGCATGGATGTAAATATGAGTGTGCATGTGTGTGCAAATATGCCCAGACACATCAAGCACATAGGCATGCACAGTGTGGCAGCTATGCATATGCACATGTATACACGTGTGTGTGTGTGTGTGTGTACCTACACATGAGAGTCTACATTCACATGGCTGTGCACATACTACTCAGAGGCAGGCATACTGCAGGCTTTACCCTGCATAAGGCAGATACACAGTAAGGGAAGGTCTGCCTTGTGACACACTAGCACAGGCTCTCCCCTTCCTCAGTTCCTGCTCACCCCCTATCAGGCCTGGCCTGCAAGTCGGGGCTGTGTGCTCATATACACGTGTGCATGCATGCAGTCTGACTCTCCCACCTGCTGTGGAAATGGCTGATGTCCTGCACATTACGAAAGATGACTGTCTTCTGGCTGGCCACAGCTGTAGGCACATGGGGAGATCGGTCCAGGTGCTTCATGTGGTGGCTCTCCAAGAACTTCAGCTCACCCACAAAGGCCTGCTCTGAACTCAGCAACTCCTGGATGACAGAGCTGGTGGAAGGAGAAGTCATTAGAGCGCACTCGGGGGCTCTAGTGGCCACAGGCTCCTGCCCCTTTCACGGCCCTATGAACGGCATTGTCACAGGAAATGTTTACTCTCTTGTATCCCCGCCCCCCTCATCTGATAAATTAGGACACTTTTCAGAGAAGGGACGAGGGGTACCTGGGAGGAACCACTCCTCCACATGACCACCCCACCATGCCACGCCTTACCCCGCCCTGCCAATGGAAGTAACCAGGCATAGCCCATGAGAGGACAGCTACAGAAATCAATGTCAAACCGGTGTCCACACTGTTCTCTACCTCCACCCACCCCTCATATACAGTAGCCATTCACAGTCCCCCATAAAAGCAGCAGGTCAGGCTCCATTTGGACCCTAAAAGAGGGCAGGCAACTGGTCTCCATGAGCAGTGGGCCAGCCAGGGAAAAGCTCTACTAGAAACTCACCTCAGCCTCATTCTATACTCATCCTCAGACACAGCCTCCCCAGGAAACTCAGGGGCCTCAGTGGGCCCCCACTCAGGAGACAGCTGGTAAGAAACAGGTGTCTGTCAGAAGTGGGGTGGGTCTTGGCTCTGCCCCTGTGGAGGCTCGGGGCTCCTAGACTCCAAATGGAAACAACTGTGCCAGAGTCCTCTGGGCCGGTGACCTGAAGACCCTCTCCCAAGTGCCCCAGCCAAGTACCTTGAGCCTCTTGTCCAGGTAGGCAGGTGACACCCAGCCCTGCCTGGAAGGGCTGGATTTGGTGGGCTTGGTACGTACAAGCCAGCGCAGGGGATGGGCTGAATCAAGGACCTCCACATACTGGCCTTCTCTCAGAATGATAGCATCCTGCTCAGCCCCCAGGGGGAGATAGTCAGCTGTGACCACATAGATGTCAAAGATCTGAATGGGCAGGGAGAGGAAATGAGTTGGGAGGGGGCAGAGCTGCCCTGTCAGGGACTCTGGCAGCCACCAGAGAACAGAAGATGAAAAGCCCCCCAAAACCCAGGGGAAGAGGCTGAATTAGGAGATCCAATAAGACATCAGCCAAGCCTGTCAAGTCTCAGAATGCAGGACAGAAGTCATGGGGACATTTGATGTAGATACTGACTCCCAATCCCACACAAATGGCAAGAGTGTCTATATTCTCCCTTGGCTTATCCCAAAAGAAAACAGTACACCCTCAGGGCCTCTAATTGTTCACAACCCGTCACTAGTCTACCTGCAGCCTGGGACCTAACAGGGTGTCTGCTCCACAGGAGGGAGAGAGGGATGGGAGAAGGGAAGGAAGAAGGGAAGGGTAAGAGGAGCATGGAGGACTCAGAAGAAGCGATTTCCAGGGATCCCTGGAGAATAGACCTAGTTCCTCACCAGTTCCGGCCTCCAGTATGTCTTGGGAGCAGAAGGTAGATACTTCTGCCCTGATGGCCGTGGTGCACTCTTTCCAAGATCTTCCTGGGATTCTACCCCTGCACCTCTCATTCCTATATCTCCTCTCTGGGAGCCCCCTCCTCAGAATGTTCCCCAAGGGTCCAGACCCACCTACCTCACCACGGGAGTCCCCGTCCTCTGACTCTGAAGAGGATTCTTGAACGCTGGAGGAAGGGCGAGACCGGCCATGTCGAGGAGAAGCAGATGGCGTCTTGGACTCCTCATCGCTGTCACCTCCAGGCACCTGGAGCTTGGCTGGATGGGCACAAGGGTTGTGATGCCCCCCAACAGCCAGACAGTTTCTAGATCATGGAGGCAGGAGAGCTTCTCCCCTTGGTCCCACCACCCCCTTGGGACACGTGCTAGCACCTCACCCTGTGAGATCTTGGCTGATACCATCTCGGTGATCTGTGAGGTGAGTTTCTGCAGGAACTCTTCTGTGCCCACCTCAGCGAGGGACAGGTGACCGTGGGCCTCTTCACCCACCAGGGACTCCCCTGGGGTAGCAAACGTGACCCTCAACCAGCCATTCTTCCCCTGGTGTCTCCTGAGTACCCCCTACACTCCAGGCTCATTTTTAGCCTCCAGGGATGTCAGGCACACAAGACTTCCTAGGCTTCCTAATGGTGCCAGAGTCTGACAAGGAGACCAGCCTCTAGGACAGGGGTGCTGAAATTGGCCGTATGAAGTTGCAGAAGGCTTGCTGTGGTCTGAGCCAAGATGTAGCCAATGTGGTTGAGGGCAAGAGGAAACAAATCCAGACAGAGAGGACGTAGTAGATGCAGCCAAGGAACACTAGCTAAGGATCAGTAGGGTACCCACTGGGCAGTCAAGAGACAGCAGCCAATCAAGGAATGGGCAGCACAGTCAGGTCCAGACAGCTACTGGGAGGCAGCAGGCACAGTTAGACAGCAGGCAGCTTATGGACAGTGGACACACTGGCAGCAGGTGGCCAGTAAGAGGGAGGGCAAAGCTGCAGAGGGCTCGGACCTCCATTATCAGGCTGTGGAGGACCTGGAGTGTGGCTCATGCCACCTCTGCTCTTGTTGCCTGGCTTGCTGGCCTCCACAGCCCACTGGATGTGAGCTCTGCATCTAGGCTAGGCTTCCCTTGGGATCCCATAGGCTCCCAGATCTACAGAGGTCATAAATGGCTCCGACTCTAACCAAAGCTCAGCCCACAGGAATGTGGAGACCCCTGACCCAGCACCGTTGCCAGGCGGCTTCCTTTTCACCAGGCCTGGCTCGGAGTGAAGGGTGCTTAGCAAGCCCACTCCAACTGTACCTTTCACTTGTCCAGCAAGACCAGCAAAACCTGCAGATTCTATCATCTGGGCTGAGACAGTTTGGCTTGTCCTGTGGGAGACAGGGGCGTCCTGAGAGACCTGAGGTAGGAGCTACCTTCCACCTTCTACCCTTGGGCAAGGGCTCCTGATGGGCAGAGGGTCTGGAGGCAATGATCTAGGACAACAGTTATCATTTCCACATCAGAGGCATCCTGGGAAACTCATTCTATACTGGGGAAACGAGGCATGGGGGGAAAGGGGCAGGCCCAAGTACACAGTCTGTGCAAGCCAGAACTGGTCTATCTGCAGGCTAGGGTGGCCTCCACCAGCAGCATGGTTGTCCTGTTTCCTGTTCCCAGACCTACTGTGTGATCTTGGCCCTGGGGCCTTTGGAGAGCATCCACTCACCCTTGCAAGAAGGAAGAAATGAGGGCCTCCTTCACTCTCTCCTGCTCGTCCTCTTTGGCCACTGTCAGGAGAGTAGAGGATCATCAGCATGGACTCCTGGGCCCTGAACCTTTGGGTTCAGATATGCTCAGGACATCCGAGCCACTCCGGGAACCTGGACTCTGCTCTCTGAGCCCTGAGCAGGGACTGTTCTGAAATGGTATACCCTACTCCTGACCATGGTCACCTCAATGGTAACCAAGAACATGAATGTCAGAGTGCCAGCCCACAGGAGGTTGAGTGAGGATCTGGAGCAGAGAGCTCAGCTCACCCTAGAGACACCCCCCTTCACACACACACACACACACACACACACACCCCAGGGTGAGTCTGGACCTGAGAGACTGTGAAGCTCCTACAAAACTCCCCTGTACCCATGAAGCCTGACATGCTCTTGGGGGGGGTGTCCTGATACTGTGGGAGTATGAGGGACACAGATGTTGGAGGTCAGTATACCCCACCCCGCCCCCAAGAAGCCCCTGAGTCTGTGCACTGTCCAGCTCTGGTGCCCCTCCCATTCACATGCACCTGCACACCCCCGACCCTTCACTCACAGCCTGAGACATGCAGACTGGCAGAGCAGAGCGCCTGCCCAGCAGCATTGGTGGTGATGCATGTGTAGGTGCCCTGATGCTGTCGGCCCACGTCCAGCAGGACCAGGCTATGCTGCTTGCCAGAGCTGGCCATGGTGTAGCCAGGGGTATCAGGGCCAATCCACAGCACTCCTTTCTCTGCCTCCTCCTTGAGCCAATGCACAGTGGGGGCCGGGTGTCCTGAGGGTCAGAGGGCAGTGAGTCCATCCCTGACAGAGACAGAACCCCACCAGGAACTGGGCCCTCCGCTAGGGACAGAACACTGTGTTCGGTTGTCAACCTCTCTGCGAGAGTTGCCTCACCCTCCACCTTCACTGAAAAGGTGATGCTGGAGCCCTTCTTCACTTTCTTGGGGGTGAACTTCTCCAGGATCCGGGGTGGCACCAGCCGCTCATGCACATCTGGAATGATATAGCCAATCCTGACATAAAGAAAATCCCCCAGTGTCCTAATCCTAGAGGATCCCCTGAGACCTATGCCCACAAGCCATCCACACTTCCCTGGCAGCCAGCGCCAGGTGCATCCCATTCTGGCTTCCTGCCCATGGTCTACCACCCTCTCTCTCATGCCCTTCTGGGGCTATCTCACCTGATCCTGGCTTCTCTTCTGGTTCGCTGGGACCTAAAAACACAGAGAGTCAGACACTCAGTATTCATAGGTGCTCTGATATCTAGCCCCATACATGGTGCTGTGCCGTCCTGGTAGCCACACCCCCAGGGCAAAGATACACAGACCTCTGGAAACCTCAGCCAGAGAGCCGTGGAACTCACCACTCAGCATGAGGATGGCCATAGGCCACATAGACCAGATAGATGACTTACTGCTACCCATTCTTGTAACCCCCAGTCTCCCCAGACCTGTGGTCTTGATCTGCAGCCAAAGGCATGGGCATGTGCACAACCCAGCGTTTAGGGAGCCACGTCTCCCAAATTCTGGCAAAAGAGGCCACAGGAAGCACTGGGTCCCTCGTAGCAAGATAAGTTTGGTTCAAGTTTGGAATTCACTCTTCAGGTTCAGGAAGAAGGATCCTCAAGGCCACTATGGCCACCTGTTTCCTGCAAGGGCTGACTTCTGGCCACCTGAGTCTCTGCTCACTGGAGCAATGACAGCAGAGCCTTGGCCCCAAGTCTGGTGGGGCTGCGGGTCAGCTCTGTCTAGTCCGGCAGGGTACCCACCTCGGACCAGTAGCCGGGCTGATGAGTAGGCAGCACCTACGGCATTGCTGATGTAGGCCGCATACTGGCCGCTGTCCTCCAAGGTGACTGAGACAATCTCCAGGGTATGCAGGGTCTTTTTGTCAGTCATGCGGATGTGGGCAGATGTGGTCAGGGGCTGGCCGTCTTTGAACCAGTACAGTTTGGGGGCCGGATAGCCTGGGAACACAAAGGCAGGTGGTCAGCCCAAGGCCATCTCCCAGTGATGACAGAAGTCTCGGAGCAGAGGTCACTCAGAGACCGAAGGGTGCTGCCTCCTTATCCAGAAAGGGCACACATGACCACCCAGACACTGCGGCTGGGGGCCCCTCCCAACAGTGACTGGTAGGACTTGGTCTCTGTTCGGTGAGGCGATGCCCCTTCCTCACCTTTCACCTTGAGCTGGAATTTGGCCAGGCGTGTGCCAGGGACCACTTGGAGGTCTTTCAGCTCCTCCAGCACCTGGGGAAGCTGCCCCTCATCTGATTCGGTTCCCTCTTGCTCCCGGCTGTCAGGAAGGACAAACAAGGGAGCAGCCATAGAGCATCAGGTAAGAAGGTTCAAGGTAGGAGGGCCGCCGGAGTGACATCAGACATGGAGGGATCCTGAAGTTTCCTGAACTGAGGGACAGAGGAAGCAGAGCCACCAGGGCCTGGTGGAAGTACCCAAGATTTGGCTTGCCAACCCAAGTACCCTAACGCCCCTGCCCCAGGCAGCAGGGCATGGTTGCCTCCTCAGAGACCCTGGGAGAGTCAGTCACTGGACTTTCCATCTCTGAGGAACCCCACCTGGACAGGTATCCCTGGGCGCTGAAGTATGATGAGGTCTCAGTAGCATCTGCTGCGGTGTCATAGTCTGTGCTGGTCACTAGAGAAGAAAGAGTGACTCAGGGACAAAGGCTAAAACACACATGCACCAGGACCACCATGGCCCTATGAGACTCTAGCCATGCAGCCTTGAGGGAGCTACCTGCACTCAGCATGGAGAAAGGCAACAGCTTCATGTGTCCTCCCTGCCCCAGCCCATGACTGGGCCCACACTTCCAAGCTAGAACTAACCATAGGCCTCTTTGATTCAGCGAACTCTAGGTGTCACACAATTTGCAGTCTTCATGAATTAGAACAGCACAGGCAGGACCTGCAGTTCCATCTTACAATACCATGAGGGGTTAAAGCGATACCGGCCTCAAAGTCAACAGCTGAGGACTTTCTGGCCAGAATATAGTAAGAGATACTAGATTTCTCTCCTTTATGCTATTATGCATTCAATGTTTGTGTCCCCAAAATACACATGTTAAAACATTAATCTTGGGATGGCCAGATGACTCAGCAGGTAAAGGTGCTTGCCACCAAACCTAGTGATCTGAGTTCAATCCTTGGAACCCACATAGTGGAAGGAGAGAACTGACTCACACAAATTGTCCTCTGAACGCCATACAAGTGTCATGGCACATACACAGACTGGTGCGCGCGCACACACACACACACACACACACACACTCACACTCACACACACACACACACTCACACACACACTATAAAAAATCATCAGTGTGGTATTGCTATTAGGAGGTAGAGTCTTTGGGAGGTGGCCAGGTCACACGGAGGCCACCCTGGAGACACACAGTTCAGTCCAGCACTCACGCTCCACACGAAGCTCAGCCTTGGTGGAGGAAACTCCCATGCTATTCTCTGCCAGGCAGCGGTAGACACCCATGTCTGCTGGCACCACAGCCGTGATGATGAGCTGGTGACCGCCCTGTTGGTCCTCGTTGATCATGTAGTGGTCATCTTCCTCCAGCAACTTCCCGTCCTTGAACCAGCGCACGCTGGGCACAGGCTGGCCTGTTACCACACAGTTGAAGCTCATGGGGTATCCGTCCTGCACTTCTTGGTTCTGCAGCTGAGTCAGGAACACTGGGGCTAGCAAAGGCAAGTAGAAGGCACAGAAAGTTAATGCTTGTCATACCCAGTTACCACATCCAGGCCGGTTGCCACCAGAGGGTGGTGTGACACAGAAGCCTTTCCTATAAGGGGTTTCCAAACTCCACAACTAGACACCCTGGACTTCTCTCCTTCCCTCGTTCTCTAAGAATTCTCTCTTGGTCCCCAATGAGGCAGAGGAGGGCAGAACTGGGAAAGGGAAGGCAGAAAAGGATGTGTAGGCTGGAAGTCTAAACCCCAGATACCCCAAACTGGGGAGAAGTCTCAAGACTCAGCACTGAGACTTCTGTTCTGCCTCAGCCAGCCTCCATCCTCTTCTCCCTCTACCTTACCTCAGGCCAAGCTCCCCCACCCCCACCCTAGGCTGCAGTAGCCCCTGGACTCACCAGCATCTGAAGTCTGCAGGCGAGGTGTCTTTGCTAGTGGCACCGCAGGGGTGGCAGTGGGAGCCACCTTGCCAATGCGCATCTCCACTCCCCGGGGTCCTTGCTCCCCCAGGCTGATCTCCACCCCAATGCCCATGGTGGCAAACATGTCACGGAAGCAGGTGACTGCCCGACGGGCCTCTTCAAGTGCCTCAAAACGGATGCACACAAAGTTTTCATCCTCTCTGTATGTCTGCCAGTCTGCAGGCTCCTCTGGCTGTGCAGGGCCTTCATCAGCACTGAGGAAGAGTTCCTCCTCTGAAAGCTCAGCTGGGCTCTTGGTACGGAAGAGCCGGTGCAGGCGTCGTGCAGCCCGCCGGAAGGCGTCATCCAGCTCACCTCCCGAGGAGCTCTCAGCCTCACTCTCTGTTCCACTGACCACCACACAGGCACTGTGGCTCGCACGGCCGAACTTGGTGCTCACCTGACAGGTGTAACGGCCAGTGTCGGTGGGGCCCAGGCCAGTGACCAGCAGAGAGCAGGTACCATCCTTGAGCTGGTCTATGTGGTAGTGTCGCCCATCTGTCAACTCTATGCCATCCTTCAGCCAACAGGCCCGAATATCAGCCTTGCTGGCTACCACACACTCCAGCCGCAGCACATCCCCAGTCTGTGCCTCTGTGTCCCCAAATGTCCGGGAGAACACAGGTCCTTCTTGCTGCTTTATCTCCTTCCGTACTTTGTAGCCCTTAAAGGCAGCCTGGATCTTCACAGCTGCCTTGTCCAGGGAGGGATCCTTCAAGTCGGCTGCACTCAAGTCTCCCGGCAATGCTCGTTCCTGCTGCTCCTGTGGCTTCACAGAGGTGGCCACCTGGGCCCCAAGCTGTGGACACAGGATGTGAGGTCAGAGCAAGGCTGGGAAATTAAGACAATAACACTCCAGGCGCAGTACCACTCCAGCACTCCATCTGCCTCCAGCTTAGTGGCTGCCCAGGTGCTTGCTGGAGCCCTGCTACTTTTGCTCCCTAAAATAAATGCTTGTCCTAGAAATCACAACATGCAATGACCCAGATGGGGACCAGCAGCATTTTGGGGAACACCAGAAAGGCCAGACCTATCTCTTCGGGACAAGGTTGTGACTGTTTAGTAGGTAAGTAGGGAGGTGTAGGGAAGATGCAAGAAAAAATAGGCAGACAGGTGGCTGTGATGCTGAATGAGTAGTGGAAGCATGGTTGGATGGAGGGATAGTTGGGTAGATGGGTGGGTACATAAGTCAGCAGAAAAATAAATGGACAGGTGAGCAAATGCAGGATAATGAGCAAATGAATGGTGAATGGGGGATAGCGAGTAATGTGAGGGAGGAGCAAGTGGAGCTGGGTGACTGGGTAAAAATAAATGGACACACTGGAAAGTAAGCACAGGAGGTATGGATAGTCGGTTATTGGTCAGGCGGGTGGAGATAGGTTGACGGACAAGAGGCCACAGTTCAACAGGTGCAGGAGTGACAGAGGGTGGGCAGATGAGTGGATGAATTACAAATAGTGGACAAACAGGCAGAGGGATGGACAGATGTATAGAAGGATGGCTGGATGGGTGGACAGATGGATGTGCAAATGGAATGATGGTGAGCAGATAATGAGTACATGGACAGATGGACAGATGCAAGGATAGGTGGAGAATGAATGGTAGATGAGTCAATGGATGTAAGCATGGTAGGATTGTGCACATATGGGTAAACGGTATAGAGATGGATGGATGGATGGGTGAGTAATGGGATTAAGGCACAGAAATGACAATCTGAGAACCTCCCCCAGCCCTCCCTTGCAGGCCAATAGGAGGCTCACCTTGCTGGCCAGGGGTGAGATCCCAGGACCCCCAGCTTTCTTGAGGTAGGTAACTAGGGAAGGGGTGCCAGCCCGGGACTCATCATCAGAGCTGGTGTGTGAGAGGTCAGCCTCTCCTGTGCGTGCTAGCTCGTCAGCTGTAGAGTAGCCCTCAGAGAGGTCAGGGGCTGTCTCTTCGGCCTCCTGCCGCAGATGCTGCACACGGCTGTCTTCCTCAGGCAGCTCACTGATGGAGTCCAGTGTGGGCTCCCGACTCATGCGGCGCTTCCGGGCAAGGGCCTCCCAAAGCAGATGCAGGTCACCCTCCTGGGCTGCCTCAGGGGGCAGGCTGGGCTGTGTGGGGACCTCATCCCCAGAGCCTGAGGTCATGATCACTGAGGAGGGCAATAGTGGATCAGTGGATGAGGTCAGACAAAGCTGTGACACCACACCTGCCTTTGCCGCTGCATGGGGTATGGCCTGACTGTGGTCTTCTGGACCTCTGTTCTCCATCTTGCACCAGGAACCTTTATCTGTTCTGAGATGCTCCAAGCCTCAGCTTCTCACCCTCATTTTCATGCCTCCCCCACCTCAGTCTACTTCCTGCAAGGAGCACACAGTAACTCAACCAGAACAGAAAACAGTGCAGCATAATAAAATCAGGTGTATTTCCACCTGTTCAGCCCTGCTGCTGATACAGGAGCCTAGGCTCACAGGGGCATTAGCACTGTACAGAGAGGATATGCTTACATTGGGGCGGGCTCAGAATGCAAGAGGAGGAGCTCCCAGAGCAGCGTGTGGCTCAGAATACGGTGAGTGGAGGAGGAACCCAGAACACAGAAGGCTCTGGGCAGGAGGGCTGAGTTAGGGGATGGACTCAGCACAGTTGGGAGGTCTGGAGGATAGGACAAGGGTCATGAGACTCAATGTGGGTAGGATATCAGGCACAGGGAAGGAGGAGAGGGCCAAAGAGTCTAAGAGTGCAGAGGGAGCCTCTCAGGGATGGCGCTCAGAGTCGGGTGGGCCACAGTGCAGACAGTATTCAGGGTGGGGTTATCCTGGAGGCAGAATGGACTGGGAAGAAGACATGCGCAGACTAAAGGAGTTTCAGAAGAGGTCTCAGAACTCCTGTGGGCAGGGGTCCCAGGACTTAAGAAATCCACCACCAATTCTACTCAGGGGACAGGAGGCTGGCCTATGACACAGTTCAGTCACATAAGACCTGTCTCACATGGTCAAGCCTTGGTTTCTCTGCATATCACATGGAGTCTTGGGAAGGACTCAGCCTTGTGTCCAGAGAACATCAACCCTTTCCCTACAGCATCGACTCCAGAGCCCAGACTCACCATTAAAGGTGGCAGCCCCTGAGGAGGGCGGGCCCCGGGTGGGACAACAGTGGTACTCCCCTTGGTCTTCCGTCCTAAAGCCCTTGATCACCAGCATCTGACGCTGTCCCTGAGAGAGGATCTCAAAGTGTCCACTGGACTGGATGCGCTCTGTTCCCTTGTGCCAGACAACCTCACCAGCCTCAGCTGCCACTTCCAGCTCCAGACACACATCCTCACCAACTACCGCCTGCCGTGTCTCCAGGGCCAGGACTGGGGCCGGGACTGGGGCTGGAGCTGGGGCTGGGGCTGGGGTTGCAGCTTTGGCTGGGGCTGGTGTTGGGGCTTTGGCTGGGACTGGGGCTGGGGTTGGGGCTGGTACAGGTTCTGTTGGCTCTGCTGAAAAACAGTACCCACAGAGGATAAGTCACATCAGTCATGATAGATCCAGGGTCACTACCCAGCACCAAAGAGCTCCCTCTCTCCAGCATATGCAGCTGGGCACTCTCATGGACTGAAAGCAGTAACTCACCTAGCTTGACCATCTGGGGAAGATGTACAGGCTCCCCAGCACCTGCTGGACCCACAGCAGCCACTCGGAAGCGGTAGGTTTCCCCGGGGACCAGGCCGTCTACCACACACTCTGGCCCAGGTACTAGCTCATGGCACAACTGCCACTGGCCTGTGGATGCCTCCTTCATCTCCACACGATAACCACATAGACCACCGCCACCATCGCTCATGGGAGCCACCCAGGATAGGGTCACCGAATGGCCACTACGACCCACCACCTCAGCATCTTCAGGGGGATCGGGGAGGGCTGCATGGAAGAGGGCACATTAGCACACACACTGCATCCTGAAGTCCTTCCAGAAGTCACTGAGGTTCAGGTACTAGGCATGGCATACATTTTGGGTCCTGCAGGAGCCTGAACCCAGTGGCCCAGATTGTTTTAGGGAGCAAGGGATACTGCTGAAGCCTCCGTGTATTTGTGTATCTTGGCACCCACAACTAAGGGCAGGCGTTGGGACTGGAGGTCCTCATTTCTCTTGACCCTCCCCTTAAGAGCTGGGCTTAGACATGCACTAGGCAAAGAGAAGAGGACAGAGTATGATCTCAAGGAACTCTAGTCTCAGGGAGTTCTCCTGGACCTGCTGCAGGAGCTACTAGAGCCCCTATCCTCAGGCTCTTTGGGTTTAATGGAGCTGCACAGGAGCCAGCACGGAATGGTCACCCATCTGAGTCAAAGTGGAGGTGGGGGGCCAGGTGTACCCCAAACCCAGACTCTAGAGGAGGGACCTCTGCCACCCACTCACCCAACACAGAGAGGCGTGCAGAGGCCACGGCATCACGTGCTGCAAATGTGACCTCTCCCGTGTGTTGGGGCTGGGCACTGTTCAGCATCAGGGCATGGTGACTTCCATCTGCAGTGACTGTCCAGTCAGCATCATCAGGCTGGATGGCAGCCCCGTTGATGTACCAGGTAGCCTCGCCCACAGGCACCGCCTCACTTAGCGTACACGTGAAGGAGGCCTGCATACCAGCTCTCACAGATGCATCTTGTGGGGGCTCTAGGACCTCCAAGCGCCAGCCTGTGGGGAGCATGATAGATGAGCTCCGGCAGCGGGCAGAGGATCCAGAAGACGTATGCAATGCCCCTGGTCCTTATGAAGCCTCCCTCAAACTAGCTTCAGGTTGGAGGTATCGCAGACTGATTCACCTAATTCTCCTGACTCAGGAAGGCCTCATGTTGGGGAGTCTAGAAGACTCACGTGCAGAACCCTCACCTGTGGTCCCACTCCCATTACTCTGAGAACCACCTGGGCCTCATATGAATGAGTCCTCAGAGATTTCAGGAAGGGCAGGTAGGAGGGTGTCTTGGAGATGCCTTCCTTTTTGCCTCCCCATTTCCCTCCCACCCCCATATAAACCAAGGAGGTACAGCTACCCATGGGGAGAGTATGAAGACCTGACACCAACTCTCCCACCCAGGTAGAGCCTTTGTTGGAAAGGGTCTCAATGGTATCCCTACCCCTGAAGGGTGGCAGCTCCCATTTGTCAATAGAATCTCACCCTGAAAATGACCCTCCTACATGTGGCTGCCATCCCAGACCCCAGTCCTTCCATCCTGCTGAGTTCCACTGAGCTACCGGCAGGTTGGAAGGTGGAAGGAACTCAAATCCAACATCCTTCCTGTCCGGCTCGGCTTTGAGAAAGAGATCTCAGAGGGTAGCACCCAATAGGATCCCATCACTACCACCTCTGCTCAGATCTCAGCCTCCTGTGGAAAAGCCCCATCCCATCTACCCCAAGCACGCCCTCCCTCGGCGCGGCACCTCTCACGGTGAGGAATGCAGATGTGACCACATCCCCTGCCAGGAAGGTCACTCTGCAGCTGTCCTGTAGCTTCAGGTTTTTGAGCAACAGCAAGTGCCGCAGCCCATTCTCGAAGTAGACCACCTCCACATTTTCTGAGGTGTGCACAGGCTCATCGTCCAACAGCCAGGTGTGGGCAGCCACCTCGGGCTGGGACAGCTGGCACTCGAACAGAGCTTCGCCGCCCTCCAGTGCATCCACGTTCTCCAAGCCACGCACCACTGTGTTCTTGGCTGCAGAGAAAGCAGGGCTCAGGGTTTTGTACCTCCAGCAAGTCTTCACTACTATCTCTTGCAAGAACCGCCCAACACTATAACAGAACGGGACCCCAGCAGCCACTGTGGAGGGTGGCACTCGGGGTCTACTGGAGGAGGTATGGTTGTACAGCCCCACCCATCCCATCACCCTCTCCAGAGGCTTCACATTAGCAGGGGAACCCTGTGTCTCCCAGATGAGAAACTTCATGGATATTCACAGACCGGAACCTCTCAAGCTCAGACTCAAGCCCACTGGAGATGCAGAAGTATGTCCTTTGCCACAGTGGTGCCTATAGCCTCAAGATGTGGGCCACACCCTTTCCTCAAGTCCCCCAACCAGCACTGCTAAACCCGTTCTGATGCCTGGGATGCTATCTTCAAATCTGTATCAACTGGAGACCTCCCAAGTCCGTACTCCTCCCTTCTCCCCTCTTTCCAGTTATACTAGCCACTGTTTCTCACAGAAACCACAAGATCAAAAGACTGGGTCCTAACCTAGCTAAAGCTTTGTGTTGCCACCCATGCAGGTGTTCTCACTGCATAGGTCACCTGTGTTGCCAGGCTAGCGGACATTCTATCATGATTATGCTAGGCCTGCCTGCCAGGTGGCCTCACCTTGCACTTGGAGAAGTGCCACAACTCGAGTGCCTGCGGCCTCACAAGAATAGACGCCGCTGTCACAGGGCAGGGCTGGCCTGAGGGTCAGCCTGGCTACGGTCCAGTCCTGCTCTATGATGACACGGTTCCCATCTGCGCACACCTCCCGCTCGTTCATCTTCCACATGGCCTGCACGGGCCTTGAGTACTGGCAGAGGAGCTCAGCCGAGCCACCCTCCTCCACCACCAGGTCCTGCATGGCACTCACCACCTCCACTGTGGGATCTGTCGGCCAACATGCCAGACATGCATCAGCCCCTGGGACAGTGCCACCACAGCCCACCCGCCTTCTGCTGTCCATGTTAGTTGCTTCAGCGGCTGCAAGCATGGAGCTTTGGTGGGCAATGGCTTAGCAACAGGCGCCTGGCATGTGGCCAGGAAGGGGACCCATCATAGCTGCCCAAGAGCCCTTCACACAAGACACGCCTCATTCCACACATGTCAGATGACAATGTCAAGATGTCTATCCAAAATGTTTGCCCCCCCTAGCCCAAAGTGTACACACAGGTCCCATATTAAACACACCTGGACCGCAGATCCTGCAAGTCTGCAGCTGCAACCCATCTTGCCCCTCTCCAAGGGTGTAGGCATGCTTGCTGACACCCTTGGGGGTCCCAGCCCATCCCCATCTGTTGAAATCCTACACAATCAATAACTGTTCATCCTGGATCTGGCTCTATGAGGCCTTACAGGAGGCCTTAGGCAAAGACACTGGATGAAAGATTAGGAAGGAGCTGTCTGGAGTCCTGGCAATCTGCTGCCCTCTCTGTTCGGCCAACTCTTCCCCAGAAGGTGCCCACAGGAAGAAAAACAGGTGGGCGATGCCCGTCAGAACTGGATGCAGTAGCTTCTTCATCAGGAGTCCAGGGAGCCCCCCTCCTTAAAAAGCTAGCCTTTGGCTGGGATATCTACCCAGTAGGGCAGTAAACAAGAGTCAGTGTGTGCAGGTCCCATACAGCAAGTGTGCCCGAGGCCAGCCTCCAACTAAACAGTTCACGGAGACTACACCTCCCACTCGGGAAGTGAGTGGAAGCCTTTCCTCCGCCCTGGGTACACAATAGGCATGGAGCAAAGCCTTGTCTATGGCCCGTAGGGTCAGTACCTGACACTCCTCAGTTCCCCAGGACCCTGCAGGAAGCATGCGGGGACAGCAAGGGCAGAAGCACCAGCATGGGGAGGTCCCCACTGGCCAATACCTTTGACCAATAACTTGGCTGTGGAGACCAGGGGCCCTGTGCGGAAGGTGATGGTGCCTGAGTCGGCCACCCCCAGGCTCGAGAGCATGAGGGAGTGAACAGTCCCCTCTCGCACAGTGATGGCACTCTCAGGGCTGTTGTGAAGCAAGGTGCCATCCAGCCACCAGTGGGCCTCCGGCCCACCTGCACGAGATACCTCACAGGAGAACGTAGCCACCTCCCCCGCGAAGACATCCACATTCTGCAAGCCACGTACCAGGCATAGAGCCGCCTCTGTGCAAGAGGGCGAGAAGGAAGTCTGGGCTGGGGCTCCCTGGGGTCTAAGGGGAGGGGGCCACATCAGGGGTACTGGTGTGGGAATGTAACCCAATAGCCAACTTGGTCTTTGTCCTAGTTCCTGTCACAGAACTTCCTGAGTGTCACAAGTGCTCTTACACATAGTAAATAGGTTTTGATCACATCAGAGTCTATGCTAATGAGGTGCCAGCTTCAGGAAGGGGCTGGTCACCAGGAAGACCAAGTGACAAGAAGGCTCAAATGCCAGCCCAACCCACCAGCCTCAGGGGGAACAGTAAGGCTAGAAATAAATGTAAACAAATCTGATGGACTTCACGGTCTTGGATACCAAAGGGATGGAGAGTGATGTGTGGAGGAGAGAGGGGTACCTGTCGACTTCCCCCCACACTATGCTAGTCTTTGACTGCTGCTGGGTGGTGTCCTGTGTGACAAACCAGTGACAGCAACTGTTTCATGACTCTCAGCTGACCTAGCAAACTAGTCAAACACAGGTGGACAGTGTGAGCCCACTCACACCCACTTAGTTATCAAGGTTAGCTTTGCAACTGACTTTGTTGGTGGGGGTCTCATGGGACTGAGTCTACAACCAATGAGTCTGTGATAACTTTGGGTAACATCAGAATTGATTCCAGTTATACTGCATCCAGTTGGTGTCTGTTGGAGGATTGTTTCGTGTGTGGAGAACCCACTGTTCTAGTCAGGTGTCTTGTGTTGTACAGAGTGTGGAGGGAACAGCAGCAAGAAAGCTGCCTCCTGCAAATGGGGTCCCAGGTGAATTTACTAGAACAATCTTGAGATTGACCGGCATGGGCCACCTGGAATCTTCTGGTATCAGGCACTACTCAGACCAGAGGCCCAGAAATCCACCCCCAGACAGTTAGCACACCATAATCAAAGAGAAAAGTACAGAGGCCATCCACACTGGACCATGAGAAGCATATGAGCCACTGAGCGTGCCGCACACCTTCAGAGCACTCCTAGCTTCATCCACAGGAGGCCAATGACACCTATCTAGCATCTTTTTCAAAAGGGACAATGGATGAATTCCACATTTGGGGCTCTTCTTGATGTAGTATGGGCAGGAAGGAGGCACTCTAGGACCTGTTGCTCCATGAATGTGGGGCTCAGTCCCAGGAAGTGGCTTTCCATTCCTCGGGGTATAGAAGCAGACAGGGGCAGTGTGTCTAAATGTTCTCTGAGATTCTGTCACCCTTAGATGCCACGGCCTTAGTTGTTGGGTACACTGCTCCTCCACGACACAACCAGCTCCAAACTCAGCAGCCTCATAGATACAGATGTGCTCTACTGCTCCCTACATACCATCTACCTTTTGCATACGTTCTTGGAGGAACCACAGCAGACAGATAGCCCAAGCACTCCAGGACATTAATGTTTTCACAGCTGACTTTCCAATGCCCCAGGACAGACAGGAAAAGACCAGTGGTCTCTTCCACACTTGCTAACTGGGGCCAGTTAAGGAGGATGCCACCATCACCCCATGTTCCTCTCTGAACATTTACCAAATGCTTTCTTGGGGGCAACTGACAAAGCCCAGATGCTTCTGTTGCATTTGCTTCTATACCACAGGATGAGGCTGAGAAGAGTCAGTAGAGACATTGGTACCCAGCAGGACATGGCAGTCCCCGGGGATCCCCCCGGAGTGCTCCTTTAGAAGCCTTTCCATGCCATTCCCCATGGACACTCCTCCTCTATCATCAGTTCCCAAGCCTGTCCATAACAGAGCCACCTGGACAACCGTCCCCCACGCCCGAAGGCCACACCATGAGCCAGCTCTCTCAGAATGGGAACATCTAGCCTAGAGCAGGACTGAAACACAGCCTACAGCTCCATGTTGTTCCCTAGTAAACACAGACCCTTTCTGCCCTGCCCCAACTCAAAGCAACCATGAAATTCTTCATCAATCAGCTTTTAAGTTGTGCACTGGCACTTGGCAGCCTTTCTCAGTCACGCAGGCCATAAAATTGACCATGCTTGTCCATCTCTAAAGTTGCAGAACATGGGATACAGAACATGCTCTATTCTCCACATCTAACTCCCCTAAACAGATTGAGGGCTCCATTATGGCAAAGCTACTTGTAACCCATCCTGAAATCATAGACATGAAGGGTAGGAGATCAGAGGTTGCATCCAATGGGTGAATAGATGGTTGGATGGTCGAACAGAGGGATAGATGAATAAATGGATAGTGGGTATGTGGACCGATGAATGGTTGGATGATAAATAGATAATGACTGTACAGATGGTAAATGGGTGAATGGATAGATGGATGGGTGATAGGTGGATGGATGGACAAATCATAAGAAGCTAGATAAATGGGTAGCATGATGTGGAGAATGAATGGAAGATTGATGAAGAATAGGCTTGGGGGTGACAAATGGTGGCTATAAATGGATGGATGTGTGCATGGCAGATGGATAGAGGATAAATCAGTAACAGGGCAGATGATAGAGGGGCCAATGGCATCACATTGAGAACCAGGAGTAAGCAGCATGGGAAAGTTGCTCAAAGTCAAGCTCTATAGAGTGACTTATTCTGGGGACAAGGTATACTTTAAATTGAAATTTCCTAAAGTCCTACCTGCATGCTGGAGTCACATGTACAAATCCATACATGATTCATAGGCATGTGGTTGTTCCCACATCTCTTGAGTCTCTTGAGTAAATAAATGAACATCAACATGGACATATACGCATGTTCACCGACCTAAACCACAGAGTTGGTTCTTTCTCCACTCAGGGCCCAAACCCATGGTAGTCAGGAGGTAGAATCAATTCTGGCCTGAGATATCACGTACTGGAAAACTGACATCCCCAGTGCAAAAATCACAGCTAGAAGTCTGGGGCTCCTGATTCCCCTCATGCAGTGTTAGGAAACAAAAGACATTCACTGGCATAGGCTGGGTGCAGAATAGGAATGCCCACCTGTGACCTTCAGCTGGGCTTCTGAAGAGCATGAGCCCACTTGAAGAGTGATAGTTCCAGTATCTTCCAGGGTCACCTGAGAAGGCAGGATGAAGATGCGTGCCCTTTCACCTCATCCTGACCAATAGGGGTTGATCCATCTTCCCAGCCCCCTTTGATAGAGTCTTGTCACCCCCCCCCCCCCGCCCAATGCCCTGGAGGAGGATCTTCCCTGATGAATGCAGAACCTTTTGTGTGTAGGCAGAGGCAGATCCCAGAACCCCACCTTATGCAGAGTGAGCAGGTAGAGCGTGCCCTGCTCCACGGTGATGTCGTTCATCTCATTGGACTGCAAGGGAACCCCTCCCAAAGCCCAGCGGGCCTCCTGGCCCAAGGCCCTGGACAGTCGGCACTGGAAGTGAGCATCCTGACCCTCGCTGAGCTGCACATCCTTCAGGGGCTCCAGAATGGTCACCTCAGGGACTAGACACAAGAAGCATGGGCATCAGCCTTTGCATCTGGAATGCTCCCTCGAATGGTCAAGCTCTCATATCCCACAGTCCCACGATACCTCACCCCAATCCCTGAGAATAAACTCAATGGGAGCATACTACCAACCCCCTTCTCTAAATCTGTACAGATAACACACCCTGGGTTCTGGCCCACAGAGAATCTAGAGGTGACCTAGGGCTTGCACTGGTACAGTCTGCAGAATGTTCTGAGGGATAGTGGGTAGGCTCTAAGCACCAAGACAATACGAGCTTCTGGGAAGCCCACTGTGCCTGCCTACCAGCCAGATGCAGTGGCACGCAGGTTCTCCTCACTACCATAACCTCACCCCCAGATAGCATCTATGTTCCCCCAAATGGCATGAGCCTGAGCATCCTCATCCCGAGTGAGGGCAGGCCAGGCCCTCCAGAGCCAGATACCTCGGACTGTGAGCTGAGCAGAAGATGAATGGCTGCCCACATGGAAGGAGACAGTGCCAGCATCCTCCAGTGTCACACCCTTCAGTTGCAGCATGTGGGTACGGCCATCTCCAAGAACAGTCACTTCTGTCACTTCGTTGCTCTGCAGTGGCAGACCTTGGAGACGCCACTGCACGTTTGTGGCTCCTGCCTGCGACACCTCACAAGTAAATTCCACATCCTCGTCAGCCTGCACCTCCATGTCAACCAGTCCCCGCACAATGGTCACCTCAGGCTCTGGAGGAGGGGGACAGAGGAGAGAGGCGCTTTGTCAGTCTGAGCCTTTCTTGACCCTCCAGTGCTCTTCTGTTACCTGCTGGGCTCACAGGCATGGAAGCTGAGCTGGGGCACTTGCTTCCCCACAGGCCAAGTGAGAAACTGATCGTACAATGGTGAATGATGTATTTAAATTAGAAACAAGCTTGCTTCATGTATCAATTCCAGCTCCCTCCCCCCCTCTTTCCCTGGTCCCCTCCCACCACCCAAACTCCCTACCCAATCCCCACTTGACTTCCCAGGGAGGGGGGATGCTCTCCATGTGGTATATACAAAGTCTGTCATATCATCTGTGGCAGGGTCTATCCCGCTCTCCCCCTAATGTGTCCAGGCTGAGAGATCATTCCTCCATGTAGAATGCCAAGGATAAATACTGATCTACTACCCGAGGTCCCATAGATTACCAAGGCACCCTCAATTACACCAACATGTAGGGGGTCTGGATCAGTCCCATGCTGACCTCTCAGCCATCAGTTTGGGGTCGATGTGCTCCCCCTTGCTCAGAGGTCAGATGTTTCTGTGGGTCTTACCAACCAGCCCTATGCTGTTGCCAGCCCTATGCTGGCTAGGTCCGTGTGAAACAAAACCTTCTGTAGGAATAAGTCAGGCACAGAGAATGCCTCAAAGGCCAGCAATGCTGTACTACCTGCTGGTGGGGAAGAGGAGGCCAGACTGCCTTTAGAAGCTGAGTTCTGACCTGGATGCTACGGCCCTTCAGTTGGAGAATCAGAACTGGAAGTTGTGTGGGAATGAGGGGAGGGGGGATTGTGATGTAAAGGTCCTGGCCCTGACTGAGTTGCACTCAGGAGAGTCCTAGGAGGTGGGTGTGGCAGGAAGGGCTCAAACTCTCCTCCTGGAGTCTAGCTACTCACCTGTGACTCTGAGAGAGGCCAAGGTTTTCTGGCCACCCACCACACAGGCATATTCACCGGTGTCCTTGGCCTCCAGCCCGTGGATCAGCAGCTCACACGTGGCCCCTTGGCACCGCATCTCGTACTTGGGGCCGGCACGCAGCTCCACACCCTCCTTGAGCCACTGCACTGGAGCCCCTGGCTCAGCCTCGTTCAGTTGACAACACAGCCGGGCCTTGCCACCTGCTTCCTGCTCTGTGCTCTGGAGGCCAGTCTTGAACTTGGGCTTGGGGGCTGAGGGCCATCAAAAAATACTTGAGAGTCACAGTCCCATCGCCCTGACTGTGACTGAACAAGGTCCCCTGCTCTTCAGGGAGCAGGAGGGGGCTGGGCACATACCTCGGACTGAGAGCCTGGCCACGCTCTGTGTGTGGCCTGCATCGCAGGTGTATTCCCCCGCATCCTCCTGCTCCGCCTCGTGGACCAGCAGTGCAGCAGATGTGCCCTCCTGCACCATCTGATACTTGGCACAGGGGAAAAGCTGCAGGGAGCCCTTGCGCCACTCCACACTCGCAGGCACCCCGCTCAGTTCACAACGCAGCTGTGCAGTGGTCCCCTCATCCACTTCCTGGGCCTGCAGCTCCCTGAGGAAGCGCACGGGAGCAGCTGCAAGGTTGGGGGACAGCATGAGAGCGGGTCCCTGAGTTGTTAAGGGTGTTACAGTCAGGGAACCACCCACAGTGAATCCATAGTCAGGATCCACAGGACAGTGCTGCAGAGAGGAGCAGGAAGCCTGCACACAGCAGTGAACGGGGTTACTGGGGCTGCCCACAGAGCTGCCAGAGAGGAGCGAACACCTAAAAAAATAAGCCTGAGGGGCCCCAGAGAGCAGGAACAGCAAAAGTCACCCTGCAGTGAAACTGTAATATGTGACAGGAGGAACTATGGGGCAGGTATGGAGAGTGACAGAGGACACAAAAGACTTCTCCACTGGTGGGACAGTGGAGAAGCTACCATAAGGAAGAGTATTATGATGGTGTTTCTCGGAACAGTGACAGGATAGGGATATACTCAGGAAAACCTCAGGAGACCAGCTACTGAGGATGGAGGCAGACCTCGGGGCCACCAATCTGAGTGAGCTCTCCTGTTTGGGACCCATGAAACAGGGCTGCCACTGCGAGGGTCAGCATGGAAACTGTACCCACACAGCCAGCCCCCAACACTGGAGCTGGCCAGCCTCGGACACCTACCTGTAACCATGAGTGTGGCGCTTGTGCTCTGAGAGCCACAGGCACAGCTGTACTCGCCCGCATCCTCACGGCGCACATCTCTAAGCAGCAGCTCCGCCACACACCCCTGCTGCCGTGACTCTCGGCGCGCATCGGCCTGCAGCTCCAGGCCACCCTTGCTCCAGACCACAGCAGCATTGGGAGTTGACAGCTCGCACTGCAGGCTGGCCATGGAACCTTCTTCTACTTGCAGGTTCTGCAGTGGTTTCTGGAACACTACCTGTGGGGCTGTGAGAGGATGAGAGGCTACAGACTCAACTCAAGATGCATCCCTGAGTACCCTAAGGCAGCCAGACGGGGTGAGAACAAGCTCTACAGTCCTAGGGCAGTCCTGGGGTTGATGCAGGATGAGGACGTGAGTCTAGGCAGGCTTCAAGGCAAGGGAGCTGGTGGGGAGGTTGCAAAGAACTCAACATCTGACTCTGGGTGCTTGCCTCCCACTTAGACAGTCCAGTCTGCAGGGTTACATCCAAAGGACCCGGGGAAGGCACTCACATCAGACCACCCAGAACAGAATCCAGGAAAGGGATTTGTCCTTCAAGATCACAGCCTAAGACCAGACCTTTGAACATAGCCTAGCTCTTCCCCAGGTCCTGGAACAGTCCCTCTGATACTAGGGCACAGGGTGTCCCATAGATCCCAGAAAACAGCCAGACCTCTCAAGATCAGGCTGGGTTCTGTCCTCCATGTTCCAGAGACTTCGAGATACAGCAGCCATTGGGTGTCTCAGAGCCACACTAGGAACATGTTCCCATTCTGCAGGGTATGGGACCCACTGGGGGACCAACATGTCCTCTCTGAATATTCAATTAACCCCAGCCAAAGTGAACCTTTAGCTAAGCACACACAGAAACTGGAATGTAGATGGAAAAGGGTAGGATATCTGGGAATACAAAACAAGTTCTGTCCCAACGTGAGGACTAGCAGTGTGAGGGTGTAAGGGGTAAGTTACAGACACCAAGACCCTAGAGAGGGCTATGGCTGAGATCAGACAGGACAAATATAACACCACAGACAAGATGAAAGAGGCAATCCTGGGGAGAGATAAAGCGGGGACAGGGTAGATATACAGCAAGCGAGAAGTCCAAAATCATGTGGCCACAGGAGGCATTTACCCGTGATGCTCAGTGTGGCTGAAGTCCTCTCCTGCCCACACATGCATGAGTACTCTCCAGCATCTCCCACAGTCAGGTCACGGATCTGCAGCTCACACGTGGCCCCATCCTGCCTCAGGCTGTATCTGTCCCCATCTCTCAGGATCTCAGACCCCTTCCTCCACACCACAGAGGCCTTCTTGCTTAGCTCACAACGCATTGTGGCTGTTGTACCTTTCGTGGCCTCTTGGCTTCTCAAGCCTTCTATGAACCTGGCTGGCAGGGCTGGGAAGGACCAAGAAGTCGCTGAGAACATGAAACTGGAGAACACTGCACACAGGACACACAACTCACAAAGAATTAAAACCCCCTAGAAACAGGTGGAAGGTGTAGATGGTGAGAGGGGGAAACTCCATGAGGACCGGGAAGGGCAGTGAGATGAATACGAACATGAAAGCATCTCTTCAGCAAGCAGAATGACAGCAGTTACAGAACAGATGGCCACTGGGTCACCACAGTAGTTGTGACACATGTGCAGTCAGACATAGAAATAGAACAACAGGGAGACACCAAGCCGTGGTTCGGGTGGCCACACATGATCTTTACCCTTGACACTCAGTGTGGCTGAGGTCTGCTCCTGCCCACACACGCACGAGTACTCCCCGGCATCTTCCACAGCCAGGCAACGGATCTGAAGCTCACACATGGCTCCGTGCTGCCTCAGGTTGTATCTGTCCCCATCTCTCAGGATCTCAGATCCCTTCCTCCACTCCACAGGGGTGGCCTTGCTCATCTGGCACCTCAGAGTGACCATGGAGCCTTCCATGGCCTCCTGGCTTCTCAAATCTTCTATGAATCTGGCGGGCAGGGCTGAAAGGGCCAAGCATTGACTAAGAACATGGGACTCTGAAGGACACACTGCACAGAACATAGGATACACAAGGAGACACACATTCTGGCAAAGGATTTGACAGGAACAATGAACCTGGGAATAGTTGGAGAGAATCAAGAACCTAGGGAGGCATAGAGAGGGTTGTGATGTGGACATGAACATGAGGTACTTCCTCAACAAAAGAACTAGTCATGGAGATGTCCGGATGACCCTAGCTACAGGACGGATAGCCACGGGATCACCACATACACTGTGCTACATATGGAGGGCAAACACAGCATCAAGCACAGAGACACCAAGCCTCAGGCTCAGGTGGCCACACATGATCTTTACCCTTGACACTCAGTGTGGCTGAGGTCTGCTCCTGCCCACATATGCACGAGTACTCCCCGGCATCTTCCACAGCCAGGCCACGGATCTGCAGCTCACACACAGCCTGGCTCTGTCTCAGACTATATCTGTCTCCATCTCTGAGGATCTTTGTTCCCTTCCTCCACTCCACTTGGGCTTCTTTGCTCAGCTGGCACCTCAGAGTCACCATGGTCCCTTCTATGGCCTCTTCATTCTTCAGACCCTCTGTGAACTTGGTGGGTAGAGCTAGGAAGGTCAGAAAGACACAGGTACCATCTATCAGAGCTAGTGGAAGACAGGACATGTTCACACAGAGAAGACACAGAACTCAACCACAGGGCATGTGGGAGTGTGCTGAGAATTAGGTGTGGTACTCCTCAGGCTAGGCTGAGAACTAGGTGTGGTACTCCTCAGGTTAGGCTGAGAACTAGGTGTGGTACTCCTCAGGCTAGACTATGCACATCTCCACCTTGCTCCATCTGCAGCTTCCTCAGGCCTTAGACTTCATATGGCATGCAGAGTCAAGGATAGGCAGAATAACAAGGAGAACCTCAGATTTCCTAGAGAACTTTAGGGCTCAGGACATGACAGTGAAGACAAGAGACACAGGATCCAACAACATAAACCCCACACAGGACAGGCAGAGGAGAAGCTGCTGCAGATGCTCTTGTCTTCTGGGTAACACAACCAGGAAGCAGGAGTGGATCCCATGCAGTGGTGGAGAGATGATGTTCAGACTTGGGCAGCACCACACAGATCTACTTAGCCAGTTGTGGTCTTTACCCTTGATGGTCAACATGGCTGTGGTCTTTTCCTCCCCACACACGCATGAGTACTCTCCAGCATCTGACATGGTCAGGCCAAGGATTTGCAGCTCACACGTGGCTCCTTTTTGCCACAGTTTGTATCTGTCTCCATCTTCAAGGGTCTCTGTTCCCTTCTTCCATTCCACAGGGGCCTTTTTGCTGAGCTGACATTGCAGAGTGGCCGTGTACCCTTCCATGATCTCCTTAGGCCTCAGCTCTTCAATAAACCGTGTGGGCAGAGCTAAGAAGGATTGGATGGACAAAAGCCATCAAACTCTTGATCTGAGTATCCAGGAAGGAAAGAGAAGCAGATCATGGAGATCCATGGAGATGATGGGAAGAGGCAGATCAAAGTGGGTGGGCTGAGATTCCTGTGCTGTGCCTACTGAGATGCAGGTTGATTGGAAGGTGGGTACCATTCCAGACTCATCTTCCCAATGGCACCTTGCTCTTCCTGTGATTTCTCATCACTAGGAGACATGCCAGACTTTTGAAATCAATTGTGCATGCAAACACATTTCTTGACTGAATTCCGTGGCAGGCAACTCCCCTTTGTGATGCCTTCCAGCCTTCTAGAAGGGAGGCCTGTGCACACAGGGCCTCCATTCAGCACTGTCTGTGTTTGAGCTCACCTGTACAGCTTATATAAAGTCCTGCCTCCTTCACATCATGCTCCCGTTCTGACACTACTAAAGCCACACTCTGCCCATTGGTGTCACCTCCCTGGCTCGTGTCCCCCTAGGCCCTGACAGACTGCAGCTGGGAACTCCTAGGCATGCCTTTGAACCTTGGATCTGTCCTGCTGTCCTCCCCAGTGACTGATCAACGCTCACCCTGGTTATACTTGTAATTGGTTGTACCCCTCCAGATGTATATTAAATTTCTAATTGGTACAACTTCAAAAAATAAGTGTATTTGGAGATTGGCCTTTGAAGAGGTGGAAAACGCTAAATGAGGTCATGAAGGTAAGTGCTTAATCCAGTAGGAATAGTGTTCTTATAAGACATCTGGATACAAACAAGATGTCTTTGTGAAGACTTGGGGAAGACAACTGCCTGGGAGCCAGCAAGAGGCCTTGGACATGGCCAACCCTGCTAACACGCCTCCAGCCTTCTGAATAGGAAGGCAACTAATTTCTGTTTTAAGAGTCCTGATCTACTGTTGTTTGTGATAGCCAACCAAACAGCACAGACCTGAGGATGCTATTGTAACAAACACCTAGGAATCTGGAGCTGACTGGTAAAAGGTAATAACTAGAGGTGGGGTGACTTTTGAGGCATATATCAGAGAAAATCAAGATAGCTGGGAATGGTCTGTCGAAATATGGACATTAATGCCACATCTGGTCAGGCTGTAAGGATTCAGGCATTATGGTGACCTGCCCCTGTCACCTGGCAGAATGCACTCAGGCAGTACCCTGGTCAGCCCAGGTGCAAAGGACCCCTTTAAAAGAAAGACCTCTGCCCACTTACGCTCTCTTTGCACTTTCTCCTTCCCTCTCTCTTTCCTAACGTTCTCCTGGGGCAGAAAGAACTTTTCCTGTCTCCCTCTTCTCTTCTGTCCTCTCTCTGCCTCTGTGTCTCTTTATCTCTTTTCTCTTCCCCCCTCCTCCCTTTCTAATAAAACTTCTCACTTAAGCTCTGTCTGCCTGTCGTGTTTGTCCCCTGCCTTGGTCACCCTGTCATGGAATCTGACAAGGTTCCTCACGCAGGTCTCAGACAGAAATGGGGAATAAAGCTAGAAAGAAGGAAGGTGACCCTTTTGACTGCATCAGTGCCCTTGGCCAGATTCTGTTCCAGCGTCTTGTGGAATGCACAATTTGTAAACAGTGGAACTGAAGATTGAGCTAAGGAGGTTTATAGGCAAAGAGTTCAGGGCATAGTCTGGATTCTTCTTTTTGTTTATAGTAGGAGTGAGAGACTAGAGATATAAATCAAACTACCAAGTAAAATGGAAAAGGAATTTAAGATTCAGAGAATTTACAGCCTACCCACGCTGCCAAAAGATAATGAGTATGTATGTTCTGAGAACTTCAGGGTGTAGTCAATCATGTCATCTCCACAGAAGCCACGGCAAGAGAGGAAGGGTTGTGGAGGACCCTTTGTGACTTCACAGGAAAGTAAGGACAGTGAGAATGTCACACCAGTTGAAATACCACTTAGACCAGAAGGGACAGAGACCCAAGGGAAGGAAGAAGATGGCCAAACCTAATGAGCCAACTACCCAGCTGCCACATGTGTGACCTTTCAAGAAGATGATCATGACTGGGTGGGGTGGTTCATGCCTGTAATATCAGCACTTCAGAAGCTGAGGCAGGTGATGTCTCTTAAGTTCCAGGCGACTGCTCTACACTAATTGATCCAGGCTAGCCAGGGCTGAATGGCAAGACCCTGTCTCAAAAAACAAGTTTTAAAAAGAGAGTGACTGTGAGAATGGATCAAGATCAACAAGGGTGTCACTGTGACCATGAGCCCAAGACCATAGGCCTGGGGAGAAGGCACTCTCCTCCCTGGCCCTAGGCTATCTCCACTCAGGACTATGAGGGCCAGTCTGGAGGACAGGAGGTTGAGTCAGAGAGAATTCTCCTGCCTTGAAATCCAGTAGAGTTGCCCTGCTGTTTCAGATTGGTGGCACTCATATCCCATCCCTTCATTCCAATTCCCTCCTCTGTTGGTAAGAACATCTGTCACATGCCTGTCCCACCATTGTTCTAGACCAGTGATTCTCAACCTTCCTAATGCTGAGACCCTTTAATACAGTTGCTCATGCCCCCAAACATAAAATTTTCATTGCTACTTCATAACTGTATTTTTGCTATTGTTGTGAATCATAATGTAAATATCTGATATGTGACCCCTATGAAAGGGTCACTTGACCCCCAGGTTGAGAACTGCTGTTCTAGAAACATGGTTCTACTTGGTTCTGTAGCTTCATAGGTAGGAGGTAAATGTGCCTCGATGTGAATGAAATCTAAAACTTCAGACTTAAGAGGGACATTTAGGCATCAGGCTGCATGGGCTGGGAGAATGAATTGTACATGAGAAAATAACATAGATTTGAGGAGGCTATGGTGGTTTAAATGGCATGTCCCCCATAGTCTCAGACATTTGAATGCTTGTTTCCTAGTTGATGACAATGTTTGGGTAGGTTTAAGAGCTGTGGCCTTGCTGGAGTTTGCCACTTTGAGAGTTTTTGAAATCATAAAATTTCTAGTTCACTCTTTTTACTTCATACTTGCAGTTCAAGATTCGAGCCCCAGATTCCTGCTCCTGCTGCCATGCCTACTGCTTGCTGCCAAGTCCCTCTCCCACAATGGACTCTTATCCCTCTGGAACCCAAAGTCCAGATAAGCTCCTTAAGTTGTTTTGGTCATGGCATTTTATCATAACAATGGAAAAGTAACTAATACTAAACTAAAAGTAACTAAAACTAAACTTGCCATCTCCGAACTCATACACTGAAGTTCCAACTTGCCTAATACCTCAGGGAGTCACTCTACTTCCAAGATGGGTACTTGAGTAAATAATTAAGTTAAAATGAGGTCAAGCTAGGCTCAAGTCCATAGTGGCTAGTGTGCATCTAAGAAGAGATTAGGATAGAGACACAAGCAAGGACCATGTGACGACTCTGAGAAGTCAGACATCTTCAGGAGGAAAAAAAAACTGCCAATACCTCAATGGAGGAATTCCAGCCAGCAGAATTATGAGCAGACTAAGGAAGGAGCCCTTCAGAGCCTGGCATTATCTCAAAGCAACAGTTAAACACTCTCCCTGAGATCAGCAGTGTTTTTCTGGCTACCTCCAGCCAGGACATTGCTGCGCATGTCCATCAAGGAATAGACATCTGTCAACTCTGTGCCTGAAACCAAAGGACCCAAAATCTCTGCAGGCCTTAGCAAGACGTGAGTGGTGCCAGCAGATCCCCCACTGGACACTGATGAAATATGCCAGTGCTTTCCTTAAAGCTGTACACTATTCTTCCCTGGGTCCCTATCTTAGAACAGGCTCTAAACTAGATTAACCCAGTGTGGTTTGGGGGAATGGGTCACACAGACATGTGACTGTGCATCACAGGATGAATTGAGAGGCATAGGAAGAGCACAGCTTACATAGGAGATATAGGAAAGAGCAGATCAATCAGGTGGCCACACAAAGACATTACCATCTACAGTCAGCACGGCTGAGGTCTTCTCCTGCCCACACACGCATGAGTACTCCCCGGCATCTTCCACAGCCAGGTCACGGATCTGAAGCTCACACAAGGCCCCATCTTGCCTCAGGTTGTATCTGTCCCCATCTCTCAGGATCTCAGATCCCTTCCTCCATTCCACAGGGGCGGCCTTGCTCATCTGGCACCTCAGAGTGACCATGGAGCCTTCCATGGCCTCTTGGCTTTTCAAGTCTTCTATGAATCTGGCTGGCAGGGCTGGGAAGGACCAAGCACTCACTGAGAATATGCAATTGGAGAACACGGCACACAAGACACACAACTCACAAAGAACGACACACTATCAAAGGAACGCAGGATAAACATATGAAGGAAGGTGCAGGCGGTAAGGGAGGCAAACTCGTGGGGAGCAGAGAGGGCAGTGGCACGGATGTGAACACAAGAACATCTGAACACGTGGAAGCCTAGGTGGAGATGCCAAGATGAGTGAAGGTGCAGAATCGATGATCACAGGGTCCCTACAGGAAACCACATGTGGAGACAGAAGCATTGGTGAGACAACACGGAGGCAGCAAGCCTCGGGCCAGTTTACCCTTGACACTCAGTGTGGCTGAGGTCTGCTCCTGCCCACACACGCACGAGTACTCCCCGGCATCTTCCACAGCCAGGCCACGGATCTGCAGCTCACACGTGGCTCCGTGCTGCCTCAGGATGTATCTGTCTCCATCTTTGAGGGGCTTTTCTCCCTTCCTCCACTCCACTGGGGCGGCCTTGCTCATCTGGCACCTCAGAGTGACCATGGTGCCTTCCATGGCATCCTGGCTTCTCAAATCTTCTACGAATCTGGTAGGCAGGGCTGAAATGACCAAGCAGTAACTGAGAACATGGGATTCTTTGAAGGACACACTACACAGAACACAGGATACACAAGGAGACACACATTCTGGCAAAGGATTTGGCTCGGGGAACAAAATAGGAGGAAATGAGAACTGGGGAGGTGTAGAGAGGGTAAAACATGAACATGAGAATGTTTGCTGGACCTGGGAAGGGGAAGGTAGAGATACCCAGATGACCCATTATAGGACAGATGGTCACAGGGTCACTACAGGAGCTGTGTCACATATAAAGAACAGAGATAGCATAGAGATAACATGGAGACACCAAGCCGTGGTTCGGGTGGCCACACATGATCTTTACCCTTGACACTCAGTGTGGCTGAGGTCTGTTCCTGCCCACACATGCATGAGTACTCTCCAGCATCTTCCACAGCCAGGCCACGGATCTGCAGCTCACACGTGGCTCCGTGCTGCCTCAGGATGTATCTGTCTCCATCTTTGAGGGGCTTTTCTCCCTTCCTCCACTCCACTGGGGCAGCCTTGCTCATCTGGCACCTCAGAGTGACCATGGTGCCTTCTGTGGCCTCTTCATTCCTCAGATATTCTGTGAACTTGGTGGGCATGGCTAGGAATGTCAGAAAGGCACAGGGATTTTTACACTCCGAGCACATGAAAGGGAGAAGACATAAACCCCGCGGAGGATGAGCCATGTACTGCTATGCTGAGGGCAAGTCATGAAGTTTATATTCCATGGTGTGTCCTCTTAATATCAGGTCCTTTTCCTAGGTCTGGCATGATGGTCAGAGGGGCCAGAAACACACAAAGGTACCACATTCTCTGTAGCACTCTAGCACATATGACAGCCTGGATGACAACAGGACATGAAATCTACCAGAAAAGTAGTACTTAACTCATAGTGGCACAAGGTGGAGGGAAGCCAGCTACGGATGTGTTTTCTCCTGTTTCATACAGCTTCCCCCAAAAGTTGGGACTCTGTCCAGTTATGCAAGGAGGTGACACACGGACAAAGGGACAGAATATGGGATGAGCCAGATAAGCAGCATGTCCACAGACACCAAGACACAGACTGAATTGGCCACACATGTTTACCACTAATAGTCAGTGTGGCTGAGGTCTTCTCCTGCCCGCATACACATGAGTACTCCCCGGTATCCACCACGGCCAGGCCACGGATCTGCAGTTCACACACAGCTCCATCCTGCCTCAAACTGTATCTGTCCCCAGCTCTCAGGGTCTCGGACCCCTTCCTCCACTCCACAGGGGAGGCCTTGCTCAGTTCACATCTTAATATTGCTGTTGCCCCTTCTGTGGCTTCTTGGCTTCTCAAGTCTTCTATAAATTTGACAGGAAGGCCTGGAAAGGGTCAGATAATCACTGAGAACATGAAGCTCTCTGAAGTTCTCTGCGTGGACATGGAACCCACAAAGAACCACACACATTGCTCAAGAGCCACAGCGGGAATGACTGAACTCATATACAGACGGGAAGAAAGCAGGTAGCTGGGGTGGGACAGCAGCGGGAGGAAGATCTGCTTGAATAGTGAAAGGACACCAGTGAGAGGACAGATGGCCACCACATGAGCTGCACCACACATGAAGACAGAAGGAAGTGATGGGGACAACATAAAGACAAGCCACCCATCTTTACCCCTGACAGTCAGTGTAGCTGAAGTCTTCTCCTGACCACACACGCATGAGTACTCTCCGGCATCCGCCATGGTCAGGCCATGGATCTGCAGCCTACACACAGCTCCATCCTGCCTCGGGGTGTATCTGTCTCCATCCTGCAAGGTCTTTGTTCCTTTCTTCCATGTCACAGAAACTTCCTTGCTCAGTTCACACCTCAGTGTGGCCATGGTTCCTTCTATGGCTTCTTCATTCTTCAGGCCTTCTATGAACTTAGCTGGAAGGGCTGGGGAGGTCAGAAAGACACAGACACTCTCTGAGAGCATGGAAGACCCTAGACGTGGATTACAGGGAGAACAGGAAGCCCAGCTGCGAACAGGCTACACGCTGGGCATGCCAAGCACAGCTGAGGGTGGGAGTTCCTCTGTGCCTCGTGGCCACAGTCCACTCTATGGCTTCCACAGGCCTCAGACTGTGTGTGTATGAGTTTGGCATGTGGGGCTGGGGAAAACACAAAGATAATAAGGATCTTGCAGAACACTGGAGATGGGATGGGACACTCAACAGTGAAACACGTCTTGGAGATTGTAAGGAATAAACATGCAGACACGAATGGGAAATAGCACAAATAGGGCAGCATATAGACTGGTCAGCCTGACCCTGGTGATGCAGCAAAGACACAGAGGACCTCAAGATAAGGAGGTCTAGAAAGAGAGGCTAAGACCTGGACAGCAGAAGCATTTACAGTGGAGGTATCCCTGACCCCAAGTCTTCTGTGCCCACCCTGTCCCACACACAAACTCCATGCTCAATGGCTTGGCTTGGCTGCTAAGTCACAGAGTGCCATGATTGTGAACATCTCCAGTGGATTCTGGGAGAGCACACGGGGTGCCTGAAGTTGCCCCTCCCCCAAAGTCATAGCAAATCCCACTTCTCAGAACAGACTGGGGGAAAAGGAACAGTTTGGTTGGATGGGAAGAAGTCACAAGTCTCTTCCTGGAACTGTCAGCCTAGAGCAGGTGGTCACCGGGCTCTGGCCCCATCTTCACGGCGCAGGCAAACTAACATGAGAGAGCAGAGGTACAGCTTCACAACTGAACAAATGGAGGCACGAGCCACCCATCCTTGGCTACCATGTGGGAAGTGGTCACAGAGAAGAGGAGGGACAAACAGGCTCATTTGCCAAAGCTGGTGTCTTCCTTTGGCTACCCAGCCATGACTGAGAACTCTTGAACACCCAGCTCTGTGCGCTTGGAGGTCTTAAACGGAGGTGGCTCAGAGCATCCTCGGGATTTTATGATCCAGTGGTAGCTTTTGAAAGCTCAGCACTCTAGAAAGGCCCAGGTAAGTTATCCATCATGCCTAGTCCTTATTGGGACAAACCCAGTCCTGAAATCAGCTGGTTGCCAGGATCCTCTTCAGCTCAGTCATCAACAGTGTGCCCTGGGGATGGGAGTAGGGAGAATGTTTTCCCATGACCTCTTTCTAACTCTGGACCCTTGGGACAGGTCTCAGGTGCATTCTTGTCATTTCCTGGAATGTCTGAATGCATGACGGTACTAGGCCTCTGTGTTTTGACACCAATACATCCACATGGCAGCTGGTTTTGATCCAAGTGTCTCCAGTGCTTGTGAAGATGACAGGAGTCACTGCCACAACCTGGACAATGATGGCCAGGCCTTACCATACCTTCCTCTTCAGTGCCCTCAGTAGCCAATTCTTCATATGAGAGGAGAGCCCACCAGGCCCAGGGCTTCACATCTATAGTAATTTCATTCCATCTTCATTCTCTAAGATGCCCAGAGTCCTCCAATAATGTCTGTGCATCCCATCTGCGTCCCTGCAGGGAGGTGCTCGGGGCCCTCCAAGGACCCCTGACAGAGAGCTGATTCATCACTAGATCACACCTAGACAGGAATTCTAGTTCCCTGAACAAAAGTGTGACCAAGGAGCAAAGTCCAGCAGAGCAGCCACTCTAGGAAGGTCTGTTGCTGCCCATGCATACATGAGGACTCCCAGGACCTATTATAGCCAGGCTACAGAGCTCCATATATCATGTCTGCTTCAATCTGTGAGTGCCTCTGTCTCTGATGTCCTAATGTCCAGGGAGGCACCTTGCTCTGTTCACTCTACAGTGTGACCTTATACACTGTAATGCCCTCCCCAGGCCTCTAACTATCTGTGAAGCTCTGTTCACAACTGTGGGGGGGGGGACACAGGCACAAAGACCATTACACTCTGTAGCCACGGACGAAAGTGGGCCACAGACACTACATGTACAACACAGAACACATACAGTGGCCAGAGGCAGGATCATCAAGGCCTTCCCCAGTAGGAAGACCTAGAATCAACCAGGAAAAGCCCAGGGAAGACATCATCAAGCTCACCCCCACAGACTTGTCTTCACTTCTCCTCACCACCATGGGACAAGCCCTCACCTCCACCTTATTTCCCATGGATCAGATACCCACCTCTGGCTGATACTCATGAGTACATCTTCACCTCCATCTGACTTCCACTTGTTGAACCCTTCCCTCCACCCTGACTGCCACGAGGTGGGGCCTCCTAAGGGGTGGGCCCTCGACCTTGCCTGACATTTACATGGTGAACCCTCACCTTCACATCCAGGCACACGTCAAGGCTGCCCTTCCTTCTTGTATTCCTACTGTGTGGGTCATTGCTCCACTTCCTGCCTCCCCCTTTTCCTGTTGTGCTTCAAGACCTAGAATTGTATCTTTATAGTTGTTTTCACACACACACACACACACACACACACACAATCTCACTCATCCCAACCAGGCCACTCCTGGGGTTGGGAAAGACCTGATTCTCCATTGTCTTCTGGCATCTAAAGTGGGCCCCATACAACAAGTTGGAGAAACATCAGCTATCAGAATAAAGATGAGACAGACAAGCAGGAGATGTGGGTAGGAGAAGACGCTCAGGCATAGAGCCACCCATGCACAGGGAGGGGCACCCACACACAGGAACACACATGGTCTTTACCCCTGATGGCCAGTGTGGCTGAGGTCTTTTCCTGCCCACATATGCACAAGTACTCCCCAGCGTCTGATGTAGCCAGGCTGTGGATCTGCAGCTCGCACACAGCCCCGTCCTGTTTCAGGGTGTATCTGTCCCCATCTCTCAGGGTCTCTGTTCCTTTCCTCCACTCCACGGGGGCAGCCTTGCTCAGCTCACACCTCAGTATGGTCATGTCTCCTTCTGTGGCCTCCTTGCTTCTGAGCCTTCCGATGAAGTGGGCAGGCAGAGCTAGGGGAGTAAGGCAGATTGGAACATCAGATCTGCTATAGAGTGTTGTGGGATAGAACATGACATAGGGCAGATTGAGGAACAAGACAGACTACAGCAGAGCAACAGGAAAGAACCCACCAGGGCTCAAGAATGGGAAGCCTGGTTCATAAGGGCTCAAGGACTAGGGTGGGAGCCACAGTATGATGAACAGGAGGTGCACGTACACGAAGACAAAGCATTGGAGGAGCTGGACTGATAGCACCAGGTCAACTCATGGGTAAAACCCTGATCCACATGACCATGTGTGGTCCTTACCCTTGACAGTCAGCGTGGCTGAAGTCCTCTCCTGTCCACAAACACACAAGTATTCCCCTGCATCTGCCACAACCAGGCTACAAATCTGCAGTTCACAGACAGCTCCATCCTGCTTCAGGCTGTATTTGTCCCCATTTCTCAGGGTCTCTGTTCCCTTCCTCCATTCCACGGGGGCCTCTTTGGTCAGCTCACACCGCAGTGTGGCCATGGTCCCTTCTGTGGCCTCCTTGTTTCTCAGTTTTCCTACGAACTGGGCAGACATGGCTGCAGCAGGTACAAATACAAAATGCCTCGTTATCCCCCTGCACTGGGGTGAGTTTCCCACTAGACCCTGGGCATGGCATGGACCGGCACATTCACCTTTCACTGTGAGTGTGGCTGAGGTTGTCTGGTCCCCGAAGGAGCATGAATATTGTCCACTGTCCTGGGGCTGTAGGTCTCGGATGACCAGCTCCAACACAGCACCCTCTTGGCGTAGGCTATACTTGCTGCTGGACTTCAGGATGTCTTCTCCATGACGCCACTCCACAGGTGCGGCCACGGATGACAGCGCACAGCGGAGAGTGGCAGCCCTGCCCTCTGGCACCTCCACATCCTTCAGGGACTCCCTGAACCGCACTGGCCGAGCTAAAAACAGGCAGATTCAGTTCAGCCTCCTGGAGGAGGACCCCACCTGAGCTCCAGAAAGGGAAGCAGCTGCAGTGTGGGACAACTCAAATACTGAATGCCAGGGGCAAGGACCCAAAGACCTCTGGGAAAGATGGGCCTGAAGGTATATAAATGGAAAGGTGGCACGGACCAGATTAAAGGCAAAGTATTTCAGTCAGATCTGTGTCCCCCAAAAATTCAGAAATTGAAGGTCTAACTCGGGGTGTCGGAATGTGATTGTTTGGCAGTGTGGACTTCATAGTGAGCCCTTTTTTCATCGGACTGGTATCCTTCACTAGGACACCAGCAGAGAGGAATAAGCACCTGAAGTCACAAAGAAGGGGGCATCTGAAAGTCAAGCAGACAGACCCTGGGAGGCCAGTCCACCTCGATCTCCTCACGGCAGGTCGACAGCAGACTCCTATTGTACGAGCTGCATACCTGTACTGCTAGCCTAGGGCAGTCCAGGCCAGCTGTGGGCAGGAAGAAGGACTCCAGAGGGGCCCACCAAAGCCAAGTCAGCAATGCACCACAAGCAGGGGTCAGGGGACCAAGAGAGGGTGGGAGACTACTGGGGCAGTAGAGACCCTGAGACACAAGGAAGCCAAGTGCCCTGTACAGCAAGCAGAGGCAAAAGAAAGCGACCAGAAGCTGCTCCAGGGGCCCCCTGCCTCCTGTGTCCATATTTCTATTACCCCAAACATGGCCACCTGGCACCCTCACTCACCATGGACCCTGACGATGGAGCTGCTGGAAGTTCCGGCAGCCTCGCACTTGTATCGGCCACCATCTTGTAGGGTAGTACCAATGATGACCAGCTGGGCCCGACAGCCTTCATAGCTCAGCTGGCATCGTGCAGATGGCCTCAGCGTCTTCCCATCTTTGGTCCAGCGTACAGCGCTATCCGAAGTGGTGGTTTCACAGACAAGAGTTAAGTCCTCGCCTTCTGTGACTGTAACATCGGTGAGTGGCTGAGAGAAGATGCTTGGCTTCTCTGGAGGATAGAGAAAGGCAAAGGTACTTGGGACTGTGGTACCTCTGTGAGAGCACTAACACAATGAACCATGCAATGCCCGAATCAGTGTCTGTCTGTTGCCCTCAGGCAGGAGCCATACAGATATGCTGAGTCAGACAGAAAGACAGACTCTGTGTAGTTCCCATTCTGGAGGAAGACCACACATATCACAATACCCACAAGTTCTGAATTCAGAAATTAATTCGGGAAGAACCCAACTCAGTCTTCTGAACCAACTCCTAGAGACGAGAGACCCCCATGCCGTTAGCTACCTTCCTGGGATGAGAGACCCCCTTGCCATTGACATCTAATCTTCTCCATGAGCCCCAGGACCACACTGTGCACCAAGTAGAGCTCAGAAAGAGCTGTCATCTGCCCCTCTTCAAGGCTCCTCTAGGCCATGTAGTGTCCCCATCATGGATGGCCCTTAGACACAAAACCCACCAGTCACCCGCAGGGCAGCCGAGGTCCGCTGATCACCCGCCTCAAAGTAGACAGTGCCTGAGTCCTTGAGTGCCAGCTGTCGCAGAGTGAGCACATGGTAGCCTCCAGGCTGGACAGTGATCTCATTCAACTCATTGCTGTGCAAGGGGGTCTTATCCAGGAACCAGTGCACAGGGCTGTAGTCAGCAGGGGAGATACGGCAGCAGAACTTGGCAGAAGAGCCCTCCTGCACGGCTGTATCCTCTAGGTCCTCAGTAATGCGCACTTTCTGGCCTGCTAAGCAAAAGTCACATCAGAACTCCTGCAGCCTACGGCCAGGCTTGTCTAGCTGCCAAGAGAACCAACTCACTCAAAGCCCTAGATGGGGCCATAAGCAGAGCTGAGCAATATAGTCCTCTGTAGATAAACCTCTGAACCCCAAACCTACAGCTCCCTCTGACATCCTTTTGTTAAGATGGTGGAGGATCCATAGCCTGCTGAAGCTCATGTACCCTCTCCTGCCCTTCATACCGAGCTGGGCTTGCCAACAGATAATCTGCCTGCGCCCAAAACTGCTTACACCAGCAGTGCTCACCATAGTACAGCACAATTCATACTGCAGTCAACCTCACATTGACAGATGAATAATGGATGCAAAAGTGGCGACAGTTAGCCCCCCTGGTGCAGACTCAACCAACTCCAGCCTTCCTGTTCCCTCCCCATCTGGTCCCTTCCATTCTCCTCTCTGCTTCTGTGAGATGGAGTTTCAGCATCCACAAACATGACGAATTTGTGGTATGTGTCCTCCTGTGCCCGACTTAGCTCACTTATATTTCAAAGACCTCGAGGGAGAGCTTGAAGTCTCACAACATACAGAAATGATGACGACTCAACTATGGAAATGCCCGGTAGCCTGATCAGATCACTACATGCTGCCAAACACATACCCAGTTATCACACTGTGTCTCACAGACAGATATAAATATGTATTAATTGAATAGATTAAAATAACACAGAGAAGCCGGGCATTGGTGGTGCACTCGGGAGGCAGAGGCAGGTGGATTTCTGCCTGGTCTACAAAGCAAGTTCCAAGACAGCCTCCAAAGCAATACAGAGACACCCTGTCTAGAAAAACCAAAAACCAAAAACCAAAAACAAAACCCAAAACCAAAAACAAACAAACAAAAAACCAGAGACTCATGCCTACACTAAAATTTAAATTGAAGGCTGGAGGGGTAGCTTCATGTTATGTACTACTCTTCCACAAGACCCAAGTTCAATTTCTAGCACCTGCATCAGATGGCTCACAGCCACCTATAACTCTAGCTCCAGAGGATACAAGGCTTCTAACCTCCTCAGGTACCTACACTCACATGAATAGACTTGCATCTGGACACAGATGCATGTGATAGAACATGTAAATTCCTAGAAATATTTTGTTGTTGTTAAATTAAATATGGTAAAGTTGCTGGGCGTTGGTGGCACACGCCTTTAATCCCAGCACTCAGGAGGCAGAAGCCAGCTGATCTCTGTGAGTTTGAGGCCAGCCTGGTCTACAGAGCGAGTTCCAGGACAGACAGGGCTACACAGAGAAATCCTGTCTCAGAAGAAGAAGGAGGAGAATGGTAGACAGACACGGATCCTGCACATACACAATTGCACCCACAAACACCTTGGAGGTAGGATTCCACTCGAAAGACCATAATACTGGATGGCAGAGAGAGAAAGGACTCTGATCAGTAGACTGTCACACAAAGAATGACTCTATTCTACCAACAGGCATATGTACAGTTTACACTTAAAGTCTACATTTTACTGAGTTTCTTTTTTCAGACAGTCTCATGAAACCCTAGGCTAGCCCTGAACTTGCTATGATCTTGAACCTCTGCTCCTCCTACCTCTACCTCCCATAGTCTTGATGGAGAGTTCATCTGGAATCCCACAGATACCCAATTCTGAGGGCACTCAAGTCCCATATAAGAAATGGTGAAGTATTCATACTCTGCATACGTCTGTTGGTACACTTTTAATAACTGGTCTTTAATAGCCAATACAATGGAAGTACTTGGTGGAATATTACACTGCAATTTTTAGGGAACAGTGACAAGGAAGAAAGCCTTTGTTCATCACAGCCATATTTTCTTTTCCTTCCCATTTGTGTGTACAGTATGCATGTGTGTGCATGCATGTTTGCATGTGTGGAAGCACATATTGTGCATGTTCACACATATGTAGAGGCTCCAGGTTGATGTCAGGAATCTTCCTAATAGCTCTTCCATCTATTCAATGAGGCAGGGTCTCTCAATCAAGCCCAGAGCTCACTTATATGACCAGTCTTGGTAGCCAGATTGCTCTGTGATCTCTGTCTCCTCTTTCCCAAGCACCTGCATTTCCTCGGGCTCTAGGGGATCCAAACTTGAGTCCATGTGCTTGCTGGTGGCACAGCAAATGCTTTGACAACTGGGACATCTCTCTAGCCACACAGTTTCTTTTTCTGCATGTTTTTATCATCCTGACAGTCTAAATCTGAAGATGCAGAACTCGAAAATATAGGGGAGGTAGCCTTCGTTACTTCTAATCATCAATGCGGAGGTTTGTCAATGTTATTCCCTGAAGACAGACTTCAGGAGGGGTTTCCAGTAAATGGCATGCTGGACTCCACCCCAGGATTGCAAAACCAAGTGAAGGCTGTGGTCTGGAGGCCAGGGTCATCTCTGTTCTGATACTGTGACACATCCCTATTGACCAGGCTGGTCACCATTTTCCTTCTCTACAAACCTGAGAGGACAATATCATGCTGTGTATTGGAGGGGAATTGCGCTTCACAAGTGAGAACAAATAGAGAAAGCAAATAGCAAACAAACAAAACAACAACAAGCTGTGCTGTGAGTTCTGCAGAGATCATTCCTGTCAAACCTGACAAAACCCCACCTGGTACACACAAACACTTTCTTGGGGGCCTAAAGAGATCCCCTCTTGTCCCATGTACACTTCATGCTTCCCATGTCTTGTCCATATGCACAGATAGTATCAAAATTTGCCTTTGACCTTCTTGAACTCTGCAGCAACTCAGAACAGACATCCTGGACAGATGTCTGCCCAGCAGGGACACCCCCACAAACCACAGACACCAGCTCCTGTCCTGTGTCTGAGGAACACTGAGCTCTGTACCCAAGCAGCTCGTGCCAGCCTGTCTCTCTCTATACCTCCTTGCTCTGAAATGCACCCTGGGTTTCCATTTCAATGCCTTTCATTCCCAATAGGCCAAATGTTCTTTAACAATTGTCTCCAGCATTTCTAAACCGACACTATAAATATCGGTCCCACTGATGGTCGGTTCTCCACTGAGAACACATGAGGCTCCTTAGTTACTAACAAACAGGGTAAGCTGTCCCTCTGCAATAACTGATACACCATGTATGCACGCACACAGAGCACGTACCCTGGGACTCGGCACAGGCCTGGATGCCGTGAGAACACACAGAAAGCGCCCACTATATAAATGAAAGCAGCCAGTTAGCTCCTTCACAGACAGTCACACTAGGGAAGCCTGAGGTGCCCAGGCGATCTGCTCTTCCCTTAGACATAGAGAAACTCAGGCTGGGCTGGTATAGAACAAGCAGAGTCCTGATGACTAACCACTTCTGAGCCTCCAGAGTCTACTTCAGATAAAGCAGACCAGAGCACCCACGAAGGAGCCAAAAGCAGCATGCAAGTGAGGGCTGCCTCACCGTGGACGAGCAGCCGGGCCTGGGTCCGGGCTTGGCCAATGTCACAGCTGTAGGTGTCACTGTCTGTCCTCTCCAGGGCATTGATGGTGAGCTTCAGGGTCAAGCCATCCTGGCTGGGGGCATGCTTCCCTGAGGCACGCAGCTCCAGGAGGCCCTTGCGCCATGTCACGACAGATGCTGGGTGCTCTGTCTTGCACGTGAACACAGCCGTGCCCTTCTCTTCCACCTGCAGGTCAGCCAGCTCCTCCGTGAAGCGGTTTGCCTTTTCTGGGTAAGAGACAAAACAGGCAGGGATGGGGCATAAAGCTCCTCTCACCACGCAGGCTCTGTCTCCACAACCTGAGCACACAGGCTGACCTGAGCCGGTACCTCCACTGAGGTCCTGGGGGTGGTTCCAGGCCATGCTGCAGGGGAGACTGATAGAGTCATGTGCTTACCTTCCACGAGGATCTTGGCAGTGCTTTTGGAAGCTTCTGTTTCACAAGTGTACTCTCCAGAATCCTTGAGTGAGGCCTTTCGGACAACCAGCACAGCCCGGGTGCCTTCGCTGAGCAGGTCGTACTTCTGACTCTTGCGGATGGCCTTCCCATCTTTCAGCCAGCGCACGGAGGTGCCGGCCCTCGACAGCTCACAGCTTAGTGTCACGTGTTCCCCAAGCGTTGTCCGCTGATCCTCCAAGGGCTTTGTGATCTCCACTGGCCTCTCTGAAATAAGTAGAGATGGCTCCAGTGAGGCACACCATTGGCCACAGAGCTAGCTATGGCCTTGGCCACATAGCCACTGCAACAACCCCTCAGAAATAGCCTCAGTCATGGGCCAGGATGAAGACAAGACAGGCATTTGGGAACATGCATTCTCTAGAGATCAAAACCACAGAACCTATAACCCTTGACTCCTGGGACCTTAGACCCCTAGTGGCTCAAGACTTTGAAGTGCTGGAAGCCCTCACGGTGACGGTGAGACCTAGGAAGTAGGGGCTATAAGGGCACCTCATTCAAGGCTCATGCAAGGGTATGGTCACAGCTTGGCTGGACCCTGTGGAGATCCACCCATGAGCACCAAGTTTGTGAGGCAAAAACACAAGATTCAAGACATCAGAGGCTACTTCCCAGCCTCCCTGGCCTCAACTTAAGTGTCAGACTGACTGAGTAAGCTGCCTGCACTGAGAGCAGCCAGCCCATGGGTGAGAGACCAGAATTCTAGACTCGCTCTAGAAATTCAGGTGCTCAGACAGAAATATGACTCCCTTCAATAATGGAAATTTCCCCCAGGACCCCAGCAGATGCATGGGTAGACAGTCCCTAGAAGCAGCTCAACAGTGCTCCCAGTTCACAGTGTCAGGCCCCTGGCCCCAGACACAACACCCACCTCTGATGATGAGCGAGGCCTTGGATGTGAGCCCCATTACTGAGAAGACCACCTCCCCTGCATCGCTGAGCGCAGCATCTTTGACTGTCAGAATGTATTTGCGGCCCTGGCGAGTGGCCCGAAAATGGCCAGAACTACCCACTGTCTTCCCGCCGACTGTCCACACTGCTAGGTCACTGTCACTCTCGTGGGACAAGACACACTCAAAGCTGCAGCTCTCTCCCTCCAGCACCTCCACTGTCTTTAACCTCTTGGTGATGCCCACGTGCAGATCTGTGGGACATAAGAAACAGGTCACCAGTCAGTCCACAGGTGTCAACCTCAGGGAACAGTGATATCCCATGCCAGGCAATGGGAAAGGTTGGGTTACACTGAAGGGCCCAGTTTCCCACTGTCCCCAGCTCCACACATGGTGGCAAAGAGTGCATTACCAAATTGGCACCAAAATCCTAGCTTCGAGCTGGCATGGCCTAGTGTTTGCATGATTGACAGCTATGAGCTACGATCAAAGTGGTTGGGAGGAGGAGGTTCCTTTACATCTCTAACCATCTTGTGACACCAGGAGAGGGGACAGGAAGCCCATAAGCGATCCCCTTCTAGAGAGAGCAAGTTTAGACCTATGAAAATCTCACTGTGCTCCCTTCCCATAAGGCTGTCACAGAGCCCTGGAGGGATCATGAATGAACAGGCTGCCCACCCATCTCCTCCTGGTCAGTATGCCAGACCTGAGTCAGGACAGGCTGGCCAAGCTGAGAGAGGTGTTCTCAGAGGGACCTACCTCTTTAATACAGTGCTGTGTGGGGCAGCAGCTATGAGCCTAGGGACTTTGTGGGGCTCTGTGAAGAATGCGAGCATAGATGGCATGTAGGCCTTTGCACCTGCAGGACAGGACACCCGCCGTTGGCCTGGGAGCCCTTTACAGGTCCTGGTCACACCTCTAGTGTCCCACACATGCCTGGCCGATTTCCTCTCCATCCCAACACATGGTACAGATCAAATGTCTGGGATCTGAACGGATCAATACCAGCCCCATACTGTGAGGCTCTGTAGACAAAGGTTCCTTAGACCATCTGCCTGCCCCTGGACCTCAAAGGGCTACGTTAATCCCCATGTGCTACAGACAGCTTCTCTGGGGCCTCCTGGATACACAGAACAGCCTTTCAGTCTTGAAGAGCAGCCTGGAGCCTCTGGATAGAAGAAGGCCTAGCACCATTGTGGTGGTTTGAAAGAAAATGCCCCCCATATGGAATGGCACTATTAGGAGGTGTGGCCTTGTCGGAGGAAGTGTGTCACTGTGGGGGCGGGCGGGCTTTGAGGCCTCATATGCTCAAGCTATGCCCAGTACACAGTTGCTTCTACTGCCTGCGGATCAAAAGACAGAACTCTCAGCCACTTCTCCGTCACCATGTGTGCCTACTGCATGCCATCATGCCCCACCATGAAGATAATGGACTAAACCTCTGAAACTGCAAGCCAGCCCCAATTAAATGTTTTCCTTTATAAGAGTTGCCGTGGTCGCCGGGCGGTGGTGGCGCACGCCTTTAATCCCAGCACTCGGGAGGCAGAGGCAGGCGGATCTCTGTGAGTTCAAGTCCAGGCTGGACCGACAGCCTCCAAAACAATACAGAGAAACCCTGTCTCGTAAAAAAAAAAAAAAAAAAAAAAAAGAGTTGCCGTGGTCATGGTGTCTCTTCACGGCAACAGAAACCCTGAGACCGCCATCCTGCCAAGAGCCCTGGCCACTCACCATGCACACTGACCCTGGACCGGGTCTCCTCACTGCCCACGTGGCAGGTGTACAATCCAGCATCCTCATGGCTCAGCTCATGTACCGTGAGGCCCCGCGTGCCTGCCTTATGTACAAAGTCATACTTGTCACTGGGGCCCAGCTCCACGCCATCTTTGCGCCAAACCACACGTGCCTCAGGGTCTGAGACTTCGCATTGCAGGGTCAGCGTGCCACGCTCTTCTGCAGATGTGTCATCCAGTGCTTTCAGGAACACCACCGGCTTTGCTGGAGGAATGGCATGGGCTGGTGAGGGGAACCTGTGCCCACCAGAGGGAGGGCACCCCACAGACTCCACAGGACTTCTCACCTCTGACCACTAGCCGGGCAGAAACTGACACCTTGGGGGAGGTGGCACGAACGGTGCCTGTGTCAGCCTGCCGGACACTCTTCAGCACCAGTGTGTGGAGACGGCCCTCATGGCTGATCTCGTGGAAGCTGTCATTGTACAGGGGCACCCCATTGAGTGACCATTCGATGTCCTCGTCCTTATGGGACAGCTCACAGGAGAAGCAGACCCGGCCTTCCTCCATGGCTTCAGCATCCTGCGGTGGCTGAGTCACTGTCACCTCCCGAGCTGCAAGGTACACACCAGCACCTCAGCACTGTACTATCAGCCACCCCCCGCCCTGGAGTGGGGTCCCCTGCCCTCCCCTCCTTCCCAGCTCTCTACCTTCCACAGTAACCTCGGCACTGCTCTGGGCACTGCCCGCCTGGCACCGATAGACCCCAGCATCGGTTGGAGTGAGACGGAGTATGCGCAGCTCTGCCATCTGGCCCTCCAGCACCATCTTGAACTTTTCTGACGGGGCCAGAGGTGTGTCCTCCTTGTACCACTGAACAGCCTTGGGGGCCGGCCTGAAGTCACAAGACAGGACTACCGACTGCAGCTCACGCCCTGCTTTGGGTTCCAGGGGCCGCGTCAATACCACAGGAATGTCTAGAGAAAACAATGAAAAGGCAGGGCTGGGAGCCACAAGAAACCAGACCACCCTGCCCAACCTAGGCGCCAAGCCATTTGCATCGACATCCCTAACAATGTGCCTGGCCACCTCCTTTGAGGGTGTGCTGCACATGCCCCTCCCTGCCCGCACACACCTCTGTCTCAGCCAACACACACTGCGCCATGCTGCCCTGGCCCCAAACCCTGCCCTGCCTGAGTGCCTACATCCTACTTGTCAGGCCTCTGACCATATCCATATCCCCAATGCCAGCTCCTCCTAGGTCCATGGTGTCCATGTTCTGCTCCACACTCCGTCCACCCACAGCCTTGAGCCCAAGCATGATTGCTTTGACGTGGGCCACCTGTGTCCTGCCCCAAGCCATGTCCACCCACGGCCCTGAACTATGGTCACCCGCATCTCTGAGCTGTGTCCATCTTCAGCTTTGCCCCATACCGTTCGCTAACCTGAGACAACGAGCTGGGCAGAGGAGCGGGACTTGCCGATGGTGAAGTGCACGGTGCCGGTCATGGTGGAGTAGGTCTTGTGTAGCGTCAGCCGGTGCACAGTACCGTCTTGTTCCAGGCCCACATTTGCTCCTGCCTGGAGCACAGTCTTACCAAGGAGCCACTTGGGTGGCCTCACGGAGGGGATGGAGGTCTCACATTCAAACCAGGCTGGGGCGGGCTCCATGACTGTCATGTCCTGCAGGCCTCGCACAATAGTGATGGATTGCTCTGTGGACGAGGAGCCGGTCACCAGTGAAACCCTCCAAGAGGAACCAGTCTCCTCATCCTACAAGCTGTCTGTTCCTTCTTATCTCTCTCTACCATGTAGCTAAGCATCCCTCCCCAGCTGCCCGGGTGTCCCCACTCAGACCCCTTTCAGAGGTGACAGCCTCCAGAATCTCCAGAACAAGCCACAGAAACTACAAATCCTCCCCCCCAGAAACCCAGGAGGACTGTCCACCCCTTTATCCCTAACCTTCCACAAAGAACTGGGCACTGGTCTTGACATCACCGGCATCACAGGTGTAGGTATCCTCGTCCTCAGGCTGCACGTCATTGATGACCAGCTTGCGGTAAAGGCCATCGCTGACCACCTCATACTTGGGCCCAGGCTGCAGCTCAACTCGGCCCTTGAACCACCGCACCTGGGCACTGGCCCGCGACACCTGGCACTCAAGCACACCACGGTGTTTTTCCATGGCAATCTTGTCCCGCAATGGGCGCAGGAGGGTCACGGGCAGTTCTGTGGACATAGTTGGGTGGGGTCAGGATGGAGGCCTGGATGGAAGCTTTGCCTTAGCAACCTCCAAGGAGCCAAGAGACTGACCTCTGCTCCAAGCCAGCTGCCATGCCTTCCACCAGGCTAGCAGGCCACCAAGTCAAGTGTCCCACCCAGAGCTAATCTACAATCTTCTGGGTACAACTGACCACCAGCAAAGTGGAGCTTGGAGTCCTTGCACCTCCTCTTGCCGCTGAGGAGACCATACTCTAGCCTCTTGATGAGTCATTGCTGCCCTGTGGTGGTGGTGGTAGTGGTGGTGGTAGTGGTGGTGGTGGTGGTGGTGGGTCCTAACGCATCCCAGGCCTGTGGTAGGCCAGCTGTGTGTAAGGCCCAGCTCACCAGGTCCAGTGCCTGTCCTCGCCTCTTTCCTCCTCACCTTTCACTCGGAGGTGGGCTCTTGATTCTGCATTTTCAGCTACAAATTTGATCTCCCCTGCATCTTCTGCCAGCACTCTCCGGAAGATAAGAGTGTATGTCCTCCCTGGAGACAAAGGACACTCAGTCCTGCTGAGAGAGGGGAGAGCAGCCTGGGAAACCCGCCCATGCTGCTCTCCAGCCCTCCTGCCCACTTACCTTCCTGCCGGATGCGCACGTTGTCACTGGGCCGTAGCTTGCTGGCTTCTCGGAACCACAGGCCGGGAACCTCATCATGGGACACCTCACAGGAGAAGGTGGCACCCTCTTTCTCCATCACCTCCACATCCTCCAGTGGCTTCATAATCTGAACATTGCGGCCTGGAGGAAGGGACAGAGGGCTGTTGTGGAGGTTTGAACAACAATGGCCCCCATAGGCCCATATATTTGAATGCTCAGAGAGAGGCATTAGGAGGTGTGGCCTTGTTGGAGGAAGTGTGTCACTGGGGGTGAACTTTGGGGTTTCAAATGCTCATTCCAGGTCCAGTGTCTCCTTTTTCCTGCTGCCTGTGGACCCGGATGTAGAACTCTCAAGCTACTTCTCCAACACCATGCCTGCTGTGCCCTACCATACTTCCCGCCGTGATGACAGTGAGCTAAACCTCTGACCTATAAGCCAGCCCTAATTAAAAGCTTTCCTTTATAAGAGTTGCCGTGGTCATGGTGTCTCTTCACAGCAACAGAACACTCAGACAGCTGGCATGCCCGGAAGCGAAGGGTACTCCCAGCACATCCACCAGCTTGCAGCCAGGCTTGGGGAAGCAGAGGCACTGCTCACATCTGCCAACTTTCCCGGCCCTCCCTGAGCAGTACTCACCCTGCACCTTCAGAGAAGCCGAGGTCTGGGCATCAGAAGCATCACACACATAGACACCCTGATCCCCAATCTCACATCGGTAAATAACGAGACTCCTGCAGGTTCCTTGGGCCACTATGCCCATGGTCTTGCCTGCCCGCAGCTCCACACCATCCTGTGGGGCAGAGAGGACGACCAGTCAGGCACTAGAGGGGCTCAGGAGAAGGGGGGTTCGTTTCCTGGATGTCCACAGGGAAAAGCAGAGAGGAGAGAGAAATACCTTCAGCCAGCGCACATCCACTGGCCGTGACAACTCACACTCCAGGGTCACCTTCTCTTTCTGGGTAGCCATGACATCCTGTAGTAGTCGGGTGAAGCTCACCGGCAACTCTAACACAGGAGATGGGGAAGGAAGACATGGAGCTAGAAGACACTTTCTGATTAGGTGAGCTAAGTGTAGTCACACAGTGGGGTTTCCACTTTCCCCCGGTCCCATTTGCCTCCCTGGACCACTTAGGGAAATGAAATAGGTGTGCTCTGGAGAGGGGCTGCAAGCCTTCGCCTACTCACCAGTGACTATGAGCTGCGCAGACGTGTGCACGCCCTCAGCCCTGAAGGCCACTAGCCCGCTGTCCTGTGGCCTCAGTGCTGAGAGTGTGAGGATGTGGACAGGGCCTTGTACAGCCAGATGGCATGTGGGCCCAGGCTGAAGTCTCAGGCCATCGCGGGTCCAGCTGCCCTCCACATCAGCATGGGACAACTCCACATCCATGGAGGCCGTGCCCTGTTCCTTAGCCTCCACAGCCTGCAAACCTCGAACCAGCCGGACCTGCCGCACTGTCGGACAGACTCCGGTGAGCTAGGAAACTGAGACCCTCCAACCAGCCAGGACTCAGACTCTGTAGCCCCAGAGGCTACAGAGCAGAGTAAGCGCCCAGGTGTTCACCCCAGTCACCACCTCCACCCAGCTCTACCTCAACTGCAGCTGACCCCCAGGCCTGACCCGCTGCATCCTCCTCCATGTCTTCTTTCCTTGGATCCACTTGCCAGAACCGGGGTGACTGCCTACCTCCCCAAAAGGAAACCCCACCCCTCCTCAAAGCCACACCTCCCACTTCTGGGGGAGTCCCCCTCTTCCTCTGAGGTCCCAACACCAGGCTTACTTTCTACATTGAGCTTGGCCTGGGTCTTGTCATCCGGTGTCTCACAGCCAAAGAAGCCACGGTCAGCAAAGCCCACGCTGCGCAGCACCAGGCGGTGCCGAGCTCCCTCCGCGTGGATCTCCACATTCTCGCTGGGTGCCAGGACTGCAGCGTTCCGTGTCCACTTCACCTCAGGCCAGGGCCGCGTCAGCTCCACCTCCAGCGTCACAGAGCTCTTCTCCTCCACCGTCTGGGGCTCAAGCTTCTTTTTGAAGAGGACTGGTGCCTCTGAGACAGAAGAGTGGAGAGCCTACTCGGGGCCTACTCGGGCCCTTGAGCCAAGCTGAGTCTAGGCCAGAGAGCCCCCACCACATGAGCACCTTCAAGCAGGACAGGCCCAAACTGCACACCTTACATAGGTGCATTGTACGGAGGGAGCTAAGGCTGTTTCGTCTTCAATCCCATCCCCCCTCACAAGCTGCCCTGCTCCAATCAACTGTGCCGAACTCCTAACAATGGCCAGATACCATCAAGAGTCATCCTCAGCATCTGAGCAGGGCCGCTCCACAACCCCTCAGCCACTGTCCCATTGTCCGCCCTTTAATAAGGCCCCAGGACACTTGCTCACGTTAAGATATATGGGAAGGACAAAGGCTCCAGTGTGGGCCTTGCTGTCCGATAATTCCCCCTCTTCCGGGAGGTCCACCCATCTTCATTACTCCTACACTCAAGAGCCTGCCACACCTGCTGCTTCTTCAAATAAAACCCTGTCCCTCGAAGCCATTCCTCCTGCTTTTGAGATTTTTGAGCACAGCCTCCCTCCTGCTTTGCCATTGCAGACTCAACCAAAGACCACTTCCTCCAGAAAGTCTTATTCCCTGCCCCTGCCAAGTACACTTGAAGAGACAGTGCCTACCCGCCCCCACCAAATCACCTCTGTCCATAGCTGACAAGAGTTCATGTCCCCCAAGGCCAACCAGATCAGCCCAACATGAGTGAGCAACATGGGGCTGCCTCATCAGTTCCCATGGAAGGAAAGGCACCAATTGCAAGGAACCACCGGACAGCTTGAGAGTCCTGCCAGCTCCCGGCTTACCTCGGACCCGGAGGGTGGCAGAAGATGAGGCGCCCTCAGCCTCTGCTGTAACTTGGCCTGCATCCTCCAGGGTCAATCCCAAGATGGTCAAGCTACAGGTGGCCCCACTCTGTGCCATGATAAACTTCTCACTGGGTAGCAGCTGGGCGCCATCCTTGTACCACGTGACTGCTGCCCCGCTGGGGGACACGACACACTGAAAGGTGGCCTCCTGGCCCTCCTCTGCAACCACAGCGCTCAACCCAGATGTAAACTTGACCACTCGGGGAACTGTAGAGGGAAAGTCTTCTTAGGGGGCCGTGGGAGTGGCCCTGCAGAGACACACCCAAGACAGGCACACGGAAGGACCGCTCCCCCAGGAAGCTACCTTAGCTCGCCCACGGGTACCTTTGACAGTGAGCCGTGCACTGGTTCGGTCATCACGACTCTCACACACATACTCCTCTGCATCATCCTCTCGGAGGCCGGACATGGTCAGTGTGCGCCTAGACCCTTCAGACGTCATCCGGAAGCGCTTGCCCTCCCGCAGCTGCGTGCTCCCACAGAGCCACACCACCTCAGCCTGCTCCGGGCTCAGCTCACAGACCAGCTTCACGGTGCCACCCAGTTCCCCTTCCACGGGCTCCAGGGGTTTAGTGAACTTGGTGGCCACCTCTGAGGGCAGAAGAAGGTGTCGGCCCTGTGCAGCTGGCCATGTGTCCTGAGCCCCATCCTGGGGCCGCTGTGGGACACTGCCTACTAGACTTTGGGGCAGAGAGAGGGACTCTGGAGGAGATCCAGACTCCCGGCCCCAACCTCTGCTTACCTTCCACCTGCACCACGAAGTCCTGACCTTCCCTGCCAACACGGCAGCTGTAGATGGCACTGTCCAGCACCTGTGCACCTCTCACGGTAAGGGTGTGGGTATCACCCAGGCTGGTGGCCTCGTGCCGCTTACTACGGCGAATCTCCACACCATCTTTGAGCCAAGTCACAGCAGCCACGGAGTGTGCAGCCAGCGTGGCAGTCAGGACAATGTTCTCGTGTTCCTTGACCACCAGAGGCTCCCTGCAGCTGGGTTTCTCTGGAACTTGGGACTCGGGCTCTGGTTCTGAGGAGAAGTAGGTAGGCATGAAAGTAAGGACCCCACACACATGACTCTCCAACAATAGTGAGTGCTAGCTGCTGCCCCTCTGTTTAGCCAGCAAGGACATTAGGTCTCCTAAGGGTCATCATCGCCAGTACTGTCCCAACCAAGAACCCAGGAGTCCTGCCCTCCAGGATGACTTCAGTCCACAGGCCAGAATGCTATGGAAGAGTAGGCAGCTAGCACCCCAGAATATGACTGGCCTGAGCAGGGATGGGACTGGAAGTCCATAGAGGCTGCCTGGGAAGATAGCCTGGGGGCCAAAACACTCCAGGCAAAAGTCAGGGTGGCTGTGGGAGGAGACCAAGATGGTTTAGCAGAGCCTCAACCAAAAGTTACACATGAAAGGCCGTGTGCTTGGGATGTGTGGGTGTGTCAAGGGCCACAGCTAAAGACAAGTACAGCTAGGCGGGTACAGAGGTAACCAAATCCAGACAAACACCATGGCAACAGGCTACAGCTGAACTACCAGGACTCCAAGGCTAGTAACAGGAAGAGTAGGTTCCTGAACCTCAGGGCAGAACACTGACAGCCCACGGGGACTCGGAACTGCAGGAAGGTCCACTCAAGCCCCAGCCAAACAAGGGCCCTTTCCTGAGAACTGGAGGTTTAACAGCTCTTCCACCTAAAGGAGCCCGCCCAACAGAACTGGTGATGAGGAAGGAGATAGAGGGGAACAGGGACATGGACTGGGACAGGGGACATCAGAACACATAAGAAAGGGGCTCTGTCCTCAGAGTGGAGGGCAGGGGACAGTAGAGGAATAAAAGGATCAAAGGCAGGGCTGTGAGGACCAGATAAGATGCGGTGATGGGCTGCATCTCTATTCTGAACACAATGACACCCACCTGTGATGTCCAGACGGAAGGAGACCTTCTGTCCCCCGGCCTCGCAGCTGTACTCCCCAGCATCCGCCTTGCCCGCCTGCTGCACCACCAGCCTCCTCTCACAGCCAGAGGCCTCCACTCGAACCTTAGAGCTGGAGCTCAGCTTCTTCCCGTCCTTGAACCAGGTCACCTCCGTCTGGGCCTGGGCCACCTCACAGCTCAGTGTGGCTCTGGCCCCTGCCTCTGATTTCACCTCGCTGTGTGTCTGCTGCTCCTTGGCAAACACCAGCTTGGGCTCTGGGAACAAACAAGGGCACACAGGGTTAGAGACACTGTCAAGGTCAGGAAGGCCATAGGGAAAGGATCTGAATGGATGGCTGGAAGACAAACACCACCCCCCCACACACACACACTATGTTCTGCACTAGCTATGCCCAGAGAAGCCCCCAGAGTATCATGGAATAAAACCAGTTCGTCCTGACACAGATTCAGGGGTTGCTCCTCTGGGACCTCTGTAACAGAGTCTGAGCAAGCCTCTGAGGAGGAGCTGTGGCTCAGAACAGAGCACGTGTGCACCTGCTCAACAGTGACAGTGCGAAGTCTCCCCCAGGCCTGGGCTGGACATGTCCTCACAGGGTTTCCCACACTCCACTCCCTTGCATGCTCCAAACATCCTCAGCTGCTGTATTCAGAGGACACCCTAGACTATCTGTGGCCCTTATTGCCTGGTTCTGAGAGCAGGGACCTCAAGCATTTGGTCATTAATTAGTGTTTGCTACTCCACACTGCCACTCCAGCATGCTGCCTAATTTCAAGGTCACTGTGGTTTATATTCCTTTCAGAGTCTCTTTGTGTGATTCCCTGCTAACATGTTGGCATTCATATTTGTCATGACAGCCCTTATTATCTTTGACTCTTGTGGTATATTCTGATAGAGTAGCAAGCTAGTTTCACTTCAGGCAAAGATACCCATTTGTCTTACGACCTGCTCAAGAATGTCATCTGGAAAACATCAGATAACCTGTAAGACCCGCCATGGTCCTCTTTACCTTCACTTTGACGACTCTAAGCACAGGCAGTTGACTCCTTGGCAGTGAGGAGCACATCTAATATGATTTTATTGCCCTCAGTCCTGGGCACCTCACAGGGTCTCAGGGTTGGGGAAGAGGTAGAGGGCAGATCCGCCTATACACAGGCTGTTCTGAGCACACCCTTAATTGCTTAGGCCTCATTTTGGTTCCCACCTTTGGACTCAGTTTCTGGGTTATTTTAGCTTTTGAAGAACCTTGGCATCTGGTATAGCGAGTGCCCCCAAGTTGATCTTTGACAGGGGTTTACCTCAATGTTCTCCCACTTGAACAGAGGCATCTCTTGCTGCGTTTGAACAGATTGCCTGCAGCTCTTCCCTAATGTCTCTTCACAATGTTACTAAGTTCCACAAAATGTGTCAGCATACCTTGTAGGACTTGGAATTGACAAACTGATGATTTTGACATGAGTGTAAATCTACAACTGTCACCGCTCATGCAAGCATGGAAGTGCTTCCTCTACCCGACTCTGTGGTCTAGAAGTCATTCTCAACTCTCTTACAAAGTCTAATGATTTTGGCATAAGAGGGCAATACAAAACAACATCTCCAAAAGGCCATAACTCCTCAATTACTGAATTCAAAGACGCCAAAATGGCTGAAATACTAGACACATAACTTAAAGTCTACGTGTAAATGACTTCAAGTGGTAACCAGACAATCATATGGATAAGGCAAGGGAATCCGTTCCGGATGTAATAGGAAGTCAGTAACACAGAAGAGATGGCCAGAAACATGCATGAGAAACTGAGCAAGGACATGGAGATCATGAAAAATATATATAATAAAAAATAAAAACCCAAGTAATAAAATTAATACACACCCCAAACCAATTAATAAATTGGTTAATCAAGCTTATGAAAGAACCACTAGACACAAGGAAAGACTTCGGCCAGACAGCAGCAAAGCAAAGCAAAGTGAGCATGATCACAATATCCAGAAACTCTAGGACATGGTCAAGAGCTCAAGCCTAAAAATCTATGGGACAGAAGAAGATGAGATACAAACTAAAGGCAGAAAAAATCAGTTCAATGAAGTTATAGTTGAGAATTTCCCAAATTTAGAGAAAGAAATGGACATCAGAACACATGGGGTATTTAGAACCCCCAAATAATCACTATTAAGAGCTGTAAAGAGAACCAGTGAATTGGCTCAGCAAATAAAGGCGCTTGCTGCCAAGCTTGGCAGGCTGAGTTCAGTCGCCAGAACACGTGTGGTAGGAGAGAACTGACTCCTGCACTTGCCTATGTGTGTGCCACCGTGCACACGCACACACACAACTTTAAAAAGGCAAACCCCTTAGAATAACTGAGACATCTCAGTAGAAACCACCAAACCCAGGAAAACAGGGAATGATATATCCCATGCCCTGAAAGGGAGAAAAAAAAAGCTACCAGCTAAGAGGACTATTCCAACAAAGTTATCTTTTAAAAATCGGCAGATATAGAGACAGTTCAAGAGAAACAAACTAAAGTAACTCATAACCATCAAGCCAACCCCTCATAACATTCTAACAGGAATCGTGCACTGGGGGGGGGTCCTAATCACAGTAGCGCATGAATTAATACATTTCATTAGAAGAGTAGATGAACAAAGGAGATTTTTAAAAGATTCAGTTGTGACCAATTCATTAAATGTGTAAGTTGGCATTAATATAAAGAGGGAAGGGGGAAGAAAGAATGAGAGGCTGGTGAGGTGGCTCAGACGTTAAGGGCACTGGCTGCTCTTGTTGAAGACCTAGGTTTGGTTCTCAGCACCCACATAGCAGTTCCAGAGGATCTGATGCCCTCTTCTGGCCTCTGTGAGCACTGCACACATGCAATGCATATATGTTCATTCAAACACTCATAAATATAAATTCAAAATAAATAATCTTTTAAAATAATGAAGCCAGGCAGCAGTGGTGCACGCCTTTAATCCAAGCACTCTGGAGACAGAGGCAGGCAGATCTCTGTGAGTTTGAGGCCATCCTGGTCTACAAAGGGAGTTCCAAGACAGCAAAAATTACACAGAGAAAAGTTGTCTCCAAAGATCTTCCAAAAAAGAATTAACAGTAATCCAATCTAAACCAAAACAACCGGGAAAATGATCAATAAAACCAGAGGAATCAGAAAACACCTCTCAATAATAATTCTAAATTTAAACAATCTTAACTCTCCAACACAGAGGCCTACTGGGTTAAAAAATGAGATGCAGGGGCTAAAGGGGTGACTCAGTGGTTAAGAGCATTCGCTGCTGCTGCAGAGGACCGAGGTTCAATTTCCAGCATCCACGCGGTGGCTCACAACCATCTGTAACTCCAGTTAGAAGTCACACCAGGCACCCACATGGTGCACAGATATACATTCAAGCAAAGTGCTCACACATGTAAACTAAAATAATTAAATATAAAACTATTTTAAAATATGTTAATAGGGCTGGAGAAATGGCTTAGCTGTTAAAGGGTAGGCTTAAAACCAAAATATAATATATGCTAATAATAGTTTTAATATTGAACTACTTGTAGTGTTCAAAAAAGAACACAGTTCACTGGTAAATACAGACATGGAAGTGAATGGATCAAACCAAATGGAAGCAAGAAGGGGTAGCTAGATTTACATCTCATTAAACCGATTTCAAGTCAAAGTTAGTCAGAAGGGACAAAGACGTTTACACAATAGTGAAGAATGCAATACATTAACCAAGAATATGTAATAATTATGAAAATATGCATGTGGATTGTCCGAAAGGACTCACCTGTGACGTCCAGACGGAAGGAGACCTTCTGTCCCCCGGCCTCGCAGCTGTACTCCCCAGCATCCACCTTGCCCGCCTGCTGCACCACCAGCCTCCTCTCACAGCCAGACGCCTCCACTCGAACCTTCGAGCTGGAGCTCAGCTTCTTCCCGTCCTTGAACCAGGTCACCTCTGTCTGGGCCTGGGCCACTTTGCAGCTCAGTGTGGCACTGGCTCCTGCCTCTGATTTCACCTCACTGTGTGTCTGCTGCTCCTTGGCAAACACCACCTTGGGCTCTGGGGACAAATGGGGACATAAAGTCAGAGGCACTCTCTAGATCAGCAAGGTCACAATGGGAAAGACCCTAGTTGGGTCAGCTGAAGAGCAGAATGTCATCCAGGCCCTGCACTCTCTGTGCTCAGGAGAAACCCCAGGACCTCTAGCCACAGAGAAAGTCATGCTCCATTATCCATCCAGAATACAGCCCAAGACCTGCAGTAGGAGCCTCAGATGCACATAACACCAAATACTGTTTATGTTTCTCCAGGAGGACCTTGAGAAAGTTAAGCTAACAAATTAGGCATAGTAAGAAACTCCTAAGCCAGGTGTGGTGGTTCATGGCTACAATCTCAGCATTCAGGAGGCAGAGAAAGGCAGACCTCTGTGAGTTTGAAGCTAGCCTGATCTACATAGCAAGGTCCAGGACGGCCAGGGCTATGTAAAAAGTCTGTATCGATACCTTGGCCCCACAAAATCATAATTATTAGTGGTAAAATTAAAGAAACGTAGTATAACAAAAGCCCATGCTGTAGACCATTATTAAGTAAAATAAGGATCAAAGAGAAGAAGTGATATGATACCTTCACAACCCATCTGATGAAGTGATCATTTCTGGAATTTTCTATATATTTTAGAACCATGGATGGCAGTGGGTAACTAAATCATGGAGTACCACTCAGGATAAAGAGTGACTTTCACAATTTGACACACACCCCATCACTGATTTCTGGTGTCACTAGGCAGACTTTTCTGCCAATTATCTGCCCAGTTTTCATGTCTCTCTCCAACGCAGTCACTGCAGGATGGCTGTACATATGCTCACACTAGAGAACTGACAATAACATGTACTCCAGACACTTTTCTTGTTGTGTTGCTTGTCTTCTCACCGTTTATGATAGGCTCTGCTGAGTCGCTGGGTTTCTAATTTTTTGTTAGTGTTATGGTTGTATGTGATACGGGCAGGAAGGCAGCACACACCACAGATGGAGGTCAGAGGATAAGGTTATTGGGTACGTTCTCTCCTTCCACATTTACGTGCATTCCAGGGATTGAACTCAGGTCTTGAGGCCTGAGCTCATCTGATCCTGCTAAACCATCTCACCAGACCTAACTCATAGTTTTCAATTTCAACGTATTCATGTGTGTTTGTTCTCCTGTTACTGGTCACCAACCACATATATTCAATCCATAAATTCTGGTGTTCTACTGTACAGTAGAGAACTATAGTATTTCGTGATAACTATATGAAAGGATTTCGCATGTTTCCAACATAAGCAACATGGAAGGAACTGGAAAGGCTGACTGCCCAGTTTGATCAATGCACATCATAGACATGTTATCAGATTCCACAGGGCACCTCATTATCACTCTGTATCATCATATGTTGGTTTAAAATAGTGAATTCAGCCCTTAAGTGGAGTCACAGAAACACCTGCATGTCACCACGAGTGTTCTGTGTTTCTCTTTCTACTCTAAGGAAGTCTGGAACACAACTAGAGCTGGCTTTGTATGTGGTGATTACTGGTCCAATGTTTCTTCAGTATGGTAAATGTCAATAGTTCATGAAACAATCATACTGTCTGCAGCCCTTCCATGAGTCCAAGAAGGGAAAGGGGAGATGTAGGTGGGGTTGGAGATGGGGAATCCATTGCTGTGAGAGTCCAACCTGAGCTCTGTCCTCTGCTTTTTTGGTGTGCTTGCCTGTCCCTGCACTGAGACACCCACGTCTTTATTGCATGAGTATAGCATAGTCTAACACATGGTGCAGCAAAGGCTCCCTGCTTTTCTTTGGGTGTGCTGTTTGGATGGGAAATGTTCCCCAAAGGCCCAAATTTGAGAAGCTTGGTCTCCAGACCGTGCCATTGGGAGGTGGTATTTAGGGATCTAGTGGGAGATCTTAGGTCACTAGGGTTGTACTCTCCAAAAACACTATGGAATGCAAGCCCCTTCCTCTCTCATGCACAGATTCCAGGGGGAAGGAGTAGATCAACCAAAAAGGATGGGACACATGCACAAATAGTTTCTCTAATGGGAAACACACTGGGATCATCCAGGTCACCAACCAATCTCCCATCATCTGCGAATAATCCACCTAGATACATGAACACTGACCTGTGACGTCCAGACGGAAGGAGACCTTCTGTCCCCCGGCCTCGCAGCTGTACTCCCCAGCATCCGCCTTGCCCGCCTGCTGCACTACCAGCCTCCTCTCACAGCCAGACGCCTCCACTCGAACCTTCGAGCTGGAGCTCAGCTTCTTCCCGTCCTTGAACCAGGTCACCTCAGTCTGGGCCTGGGCCACTTTGCAGCTCAGTGTGGCACTGGCTCCTGCCTCTGATTTCACCTCACTGTGTGTCTGCTGCTCCTTGGCAAACACCACCTTGGGCTCTGGGGGCAGACAAGGATACACAGTGTCAGAGACACTGTCCTAGTCAGGAAGGCCACATTGAGAGAGAAGATCTGACTGGGGCAGCTGGAGAGCAGAACACACCCAGACATGGCACTCACTGTGCACAGAAGCCTGAGCACCTCTCAGAATGAAGCCACAGTTTCACTCACTGCCTACTGCTGAGGCAAAGGGACACCATGACAGAGTCTATACGAGGCTCCAACAAAAGGGGACAGTAGGTCAGGACACACATGCACTAGCGCTGAGTATCATCAAGAAAGATGGAATAAAAATAACTTTTAATATCGGGCAGGTGAAATATCCTTAAATTCTTTCTTCATAAATCTGTTGGCTCACACACTCAGAAGACCGCTTCTTGGACAGTCACCAGGACTAGGCCTCTCTGAATTTTCCATGTTTATCTCACCACCAACTAATACCCTCTCCATTGTCTTCCTGAAGTAAGTTCCCCTTCAGAAGCCTTAATGTGTGTCATTAGACATCAAATGCGAAACTTCACACTTGGGAAATTATGACAATTCTTTTGTGTTGTTTTTGTTTGTTTAGTTGGTTGGTTCTTTGTTTTTGAGACAGCTGGCTATTCTGGAACTCACTACGTACACTAGACTGACCTTGAACTCACAGAGATTCACCTGCCTCTGTCTTCCAAGTGATGGGATTAAAGGCATGCACCACCATGCCCAGCTATCACAATTCTTTTATATATCATTTCCCACTCCTTCCAGCTAGCTTCAATACAGAAATGGTAATTACACTATTTAAGACATCCACTTTTCTGTATATTCTAGTTATTTAATTTGTGTTCCTCCTTGGGACTTTGTGTTGGCCATGTGTGGTTCATTAAGGCCCTCTTCAATCTTCAATGAAAAAGAAATCACTCATAGCTGCATGCTTGGGATGACACCTGGATTCTCAATAGCACTCACTGTGAAATTTAGGAAGCCTCTTTTTATTACTAGTTCAAGAGATTCTTTTTTTTTCTATTACCAGGGCTTCAGGGAGGCTGTGTAAGAGCGGTATCATGGAGCCACATACCCAACAAAAGAATTTTTAATTATATACATAAGTAAATTTAGATTTCATATCTTCTAGATATGATGTAAAAAATTTTTGGAGACAGGATTTCACTATGTAACCCTGCCTACTCTAGAACTTTATTTTGATTTTTCCATCAGGCTGGCCTCAGACTCACAGAGATCCACCCAACTCTGCCCCCCAAGTGCTGCTACTAAAGAAGTGTGCCCTGGCTCCTTTTTAAAACTTTTTAAATGTATATTTGTCTTATTTTTAATTGTGTGTGTGTGTGTGTGTATGTGTGTGTGTGCCAGTGCTAATTGAGGCTACTTATCCCTTAGAGCTGGAATTACAGGAGATTGTGAAATGACTGATGTGGGTTCTAGGAATTGAACCCAGGTCCTCTGCAGGAGCAAGTAGCACTCTGAACTACAAAGCTATCTCTCCAGCTCTAATTCTCCCAGCATCATAGATTTCAGTATCTTCTACATTAATAGCCCATAAGCCAACCTTGCATTCCTGGTCTAATGCTACCCCAGTATATTCAGCTCTTAGCTTATTGCCCCCAAGCTGCTTGTTAACATTCTGTATACTATTTCTGTGAGAGATTGGTTTGTACTTTTGGTTTTCAATAATGTCTGTCATTTTTGTCATTATTGTACTATCTATATAGAGTGATTTAGAAAGTATATACATACCCTTTGAATTCTTGAGAAGTGATCCTTATACAAGTTATTTGCATCCATAATCTTTCTAATTTATCTTAACTATTCTTACAATATTTATTTTTTAAAATTTAGTGTTGTATACATGTGTCCATGAGTGTGAGTATGTGCATGTGTGCAAGTGTATAAGTGTGGGAGTATTGTGTGAATGTGTGTTTGAGAGTATGTGTGAGTATGTGTGTGCATATGTGTTAGAGTATGTATGTGAGTGTGTATGCATGTGTACATGTGCTTGTGCGTGTGTGTGTGTGTGTGTGTGTGTGTGTGTGTGTGTGTGTGTGTATGTCACTCACAGAGTCAGAGAAGTCAGAACATCCAGAACTGAAGTTGCAGGCAGTGGTGACCTGATATGGGCATTGGGAATTGAACTCAGATTCACAAGATTAGTGTGTGCTCTTAACAGCTGAACAATCTCTCCAGGCCCTCTCTTATAACATTTTTTGAAGCCAGGGAGGATCAACATAAAGAACCATAGGGCTATATTGATTCCCTGTTTTTTCATCTGTAAGTTTTGATAATCATTCTAAGGAAGTGACCAACTTAATGCAAATCTTAAAATTTACATGCATGAAGTCATACCATAGTCCCTTCACATCAGTTGTCGTTGGGGGTCCTTCATTTGATCCTCACAACAACAAGGCATTTCATGAAAACAATCCCAAACTGCCATGCAGTAGTGCCTCAGAAGAAGCATCAAGCCACCCTCTTCAGGCTAAACTCGTCTTTTTTAGCATTTGGTTTTTGATTTTGTGTGGCACATGAAACCATGTATGTGTGGAGGTCAAATGACAGTTTGTGGGAATCCCTTCTTGCCTTCCACTAGGTTGGCTGGGGGAATTGACCTAGAGTCATGAGGTTTGGTAGCAAGTTCCATAACCTGCTGAGCCATCTCACTAGCTCCTGAGGTTGGATGTTTCTCACAAAGGAAAGTAATGTCAGCTCACAGAACTCTCTGTGGCCCCTGGAGGGAGAGACAGATGCCTGGATTGCTAAGCAATAATTTCCTAACAGGAGCTGTCACTTGTAGTGTGAGCTTAATAATCCTTGACATTTTTGAACGTATAAAACAAATTCTTAAGAGGCGCAATCCATGTATAATGTTCTGGTTGAGGCAAAAAAAAATGAGATTTGCTCAGAGGGACATAACACAGGACAGTGTGCTGTTGGTTCCCTGCACAGATGCTCCTGTAAAACATGGAGGCTGACACTGCCACATGAGGGGGCATGAAGGGATCCATGGGAAAGGCACCAACCCGTGGGTGACCTGAAGCCCAAGCTGGAGATGACTCTGAGGATGATCAGGAGGTAAAACTCCCCTGGTCCCATTGGGAGTCACTGAGAACACTGAATGGGAGAGTGCTCTCAGTGTATATGGGAGCATAGCCCAGAGCATCCCACACAGATCCCAAGTGAGGATGCCTGCTCTCATTCGGGTCGAAAAGATGCACCCACGCAACATCAGGAAGGCTCCAGGCAGGAACAAAAACATGACAAAGGTGAAACTCCCCAGCCTAGAAACATCTCTCCAGGTATACAGGAAAGAGAGGACCTTCCTGGGACACCCTTGCCATTCAGTGTCCTGCTCAACACTGCTCTAAACATGAGGACGGGAAAGGAGGAGACATGAAGAGAGGGTGTAACAGAAGGATCCAGGCACTGAACCCCCGCAGGGCCAACCTACTGTCTCAGGACCTACCTGTGACGTCCAGACGGAAGGAGACCTTCTGTCCCCCGGCCTCGCAGCTGTACTCCCCAGCATCCGCCTTGCCCGCCTGCTGCACCACCAGCCTCCTCTCACAGCCAGAGGCCTCCACTCGAACCTTCGAGCTGGAGCTCAGCTTCTTCCCGTCCTTGAACCAGGTCACCTCTGTCTGGGCCTGGGCCACTTTGCAGCTCAGTGTGGCACTGGCTCCTGCCTCTGATTTCACCTCACTGTGTGTCTGCTGCTCCTTGGCAAACACCACCTTGGGCTCTGGGGACAAATGGGGACATAAAGTCAGAGGCACTCTCTAGATCAGCAAGGTCACAATGGGAAAGACCCTAGTTGGGTCAGCTGAAGAGCAGAATGTCATCCAGGCCCTGCACTCTCTGTGCTCAGGAGAAACCCCAGGACCTCTAGCCACAGAGAAAGTCATGCTCCATTATCCATCCAGAATACAGCCCAAGACCTGCAGTAGGAGCCTCAGATGCACATAACACCAAATACTGTTTATGTTTCTCCTGGAGGACCTTGAGAAAGTTAAGCTAACAAATTAGGCATAGTAAAAAACTCCTAAGCCAGGTGTGGTGGTTCATGGATACAATCTCAGGATTCAGGAGGCAGAGAAAGGCAGACCTCTGTGAGTTTGAAGCTAGCCTGGTCTACATAGCAATGTCCAGGACTGCCAGGGCTATGTAAAAAAATCTGTCTTGATCCCTTGCCCCCCAAAAAGCCTAATTATTAGTGTTAAAATTAAAGAAACATAGTATAACAAAAGCCCATGCTGTAGACCATTATTAAGTAAAATAAGGATCAAAGAGAAGAAGTGATATGATACCTTCACAACCCATCTGATGAAGTGATCATTTCTGGAATTTTCTATATATTTTAGAACCATGGATGGCAGTGGGTAACTAAACCATGGAGTACCACTCAGGATAAAGAGTGACTTTCACAATTTGACACACACCCCATCACTGATTTCTGGTGTCACTAGGCAGACTTTCCTGCCAGTTATCTGCCCAGTTTTCATGTCTCTCTCCTATGCACTCACTGCAGGATGGCTGTACATATGCTCACACTAGAGAACTGACAATAACATGTACTCCAGACACTTTTCTTGTTGTGTTGCTTGTCTTCTCACCGTTTATGATAGGCTCTTCTGTGTCTCTGGGTTTCTAATTTTTTGTTAGTATTATGGTTGTATGTGATACAGGCAGGAAGGCAGCACACACCACAGATGGAGGCCAGAGGATAACGTTATTGGGTATGTTCTCTCCTTCCACATTTACGTGCATTCCAGGGATTGAACTCATCTGATCCTGCTAAACCATCTCACCAGACCTAACTCATAGTTTTCAATTTCAACGTATTCATGTGTGTTTGTTCTCCTTTTACTGGTCACCAACCACATATATTCAATCCATAAATTCTGGTGTTCTACTGTACAGTAGAGAACTATAGTATTTCGTGATAACTATATGAAAGGATTTCGCATGTTTCCAACATAAGCAACATGGAAGGAACTGGAAAGGCTGACTGCCCAGTTTGATCAATGCACATCATAGACATGTTATCAGATTCCACAGGGCACCTCATTATCACTCTGTATCATCATATGTTGGTTTAAAATAGTGAATTCAGCCCTTAAGTGGAGTCACAGAAACACCTGCATGTCACCACGAGTGTTCTGTGATTCTCTTTCCACTCTAAGGAAGTCTGGAACACAACTAGAGCTGGCTTTGTATGTGGTGATTACTGGTCCAATGTTTCTTCAGTATGGTAAATGTCAATAGTTCATGAAACAATCATACTGTCTGCAGCCCTTCCATGAGTCCAAGAAGGGAAAGGGGAGATGTAGGTGGGGTTGGAGATGGGGAATCCATTGCTGTGAGAGTCCAACCTGAGCTCTGTCCTCTGCTTTCTTGGTGTGCTTGCCTGTCCCTGCACTGAGACACCCACGTCTTTATTGCATGAGTATAGCATAGTCTAACACATGGTGCAGCAAAGGCTCCCTGCTTTTCTTTGGGTGTGCTGTTTGGATGGGAAATGTTCCCCAAAGGCCCACATTTGAGAAGCTTGGTCTCCAGACCGTGCCATTGGGAGGTGGTATTTAGGATTCTAGTGGGAGATCTTAGGTCACTAGGGTTGTATTCTCCAAAAGCACTATGGAATGCAAGCCCCTTCCTCTCTCATGCACACATTCCATTGTGAAGGAGTAGATCAACCAAGAAGGATGGGACACAAGCACAGATAGTTTCTCTAATTGGAAGCACACTGGGATCATCCAGGTCCCAACCTATCTCCCATCATCTGCAAATAATCCACCTAGATACATGAACACTGACCTGTGACGTCCAGACGGAAGGAGACCTTCTGTCCCCCGGCCTCGCAGCTGTACTCCCCAGCATCTGCCTTGCCCGTCTGCTGCACCACCAGCCTCCTCTCACATCCAGACGCCTCCACTCGAACCTTCGAGCTGGAGCTCAGCTTCTTCCCGTCCTTGAGCCAGGTCACCTCTGTCTGGGCCTGGGCTACTTTGCAGCTCAGTGTGGCACTGGCTCCCGCCTCTGATTTCACCTCACTGTGTGTCTGCTGCTCCTTGGCAAACACCACCTTGGGCTCTGGGAACAAACAGATGCATAGTCAGAGACATTGTCTTGGTCAAGAAGACCACACGGGAAAATTCACTTGACTGTGTCAGCTGGAGGATAGAACTTCCTCCAGGCTCCACACTGGGTATGCCCAGGAGAGAAACTCCAACGCCTCTCAGTGCAAAAACAGACACATAGAACACTAACACTGGAGGAGGGCATATGACATGTGACAGAGTGTCTGTTGCAAATCTCCTTGAGGGAAGGACCACAGGGTCACAGCTTATGTCCCTCTGCCCCTCCATGACAACAGAACACCACCAATAGCATTGCTCAGGGACCATCATCACCACGGCTGAGGGTCCCTCAGGCCCCATGCCCTTCCCTTCTATGAGCGATGTCAGCTGCTATGTCAGAAAGGAACTGAGCTGTCTATGGTTAGACCTCCAGTACAAAAGCATCAAAATATCCTTGGACGTCTAGCAGATGAAATAGTCTGTTCTCATGGTTCCTTTGACTCTACTTGGTCCTTGGAATCATCTTATCAATTTTCACACCAAAAGATGCTCACTTTGATAGTCATCAAGAATAAATATCTCTCTTGGGCTAGAGAAATGGCTCAGCAGTTAAGAGCAGTCAGAGATCTGGGTTCAATTCCTAGCACCCAAAGGACAGCTAACAATTATCTGTAACCCCAGTTCTAGAGAAGGTGATGTCTCTCCTCTCGCTTCAGTAGGCCATGCACACATGTTGAACACAGCCATTCATGTAGGCAAAATACCTATATACACATAAAATTAAAATAAATAAATAGATTTATCACACCACTAATCTGTTCCTCTCTATTCCCCCTAAAAGAAGTTCCCCTCAAAGGCCTAAACATGCCTCACTAGACATGGAACAAGAATCATGGTGTTCCCCAAGTTCTTCTGAGCTGTCTTTTTCCACCGTGTAGCCCTATCATCTGGAACATCTACCTTTACGATAAGTGTGTTTTCTTCAATTTGTGCTCTTCCTTGGGGTTTCATATTGGCTATGTGATGGGGATGTCCTTCTGTATGCTGTGAATATATGTTTCTCTTATTGGATGATGAGTAAAGCTATTTCAGCCAATAGACAGGCAGGATATAGGCGAGCATGAAGATAAGTGGGATGACCAGACTAGGAGAATGCTGGGGAGAGGAATGGAGAGAGGAGGCACCAGAGAGATGACATGTAGCTACTGGGAAGGTAGGATGTCCGGGCATTCTGCGGTAAGATAAGGCCATGTAGAAATACATAGATTAATAGTTATTGGTTAATAATTAAGAGAGAGCTAGCCAGCAAGAAGCCTAAGCCATCGGTCAAACAGTTTATAATTAACATAAGCCTCAGTGTGTTTATTTGAAACTAAATGACTGTGGGAGCAGGTGAGACAGAAACTCTATTTTCAAACTCTGCCTGTACAGACCTCCAGATCTTTATGGTTATCTAGTGGCAAGCTCCACTCTCTGACCTTCAGACAGGCTTTATTTGTACAAGCAAGATATCTCCACAGATACGCGTTGTTACATTGAGACCCTTTGAAGTCATCAGTGAAGACAAAGCTTGCATGGCTGCAGCTCTTCATGATGTCCACCCTTCTGAAGATTAGGAAGCCATTCTTTATTCCAAGGCCTCGGGATTGCAGGGTCAAGGCTCCATTACAGAGCCACACCTCCACCAAGAGGACATTTTTACATGAGTACATGTTAAACTATCTTTTACATATGGTCTAAAATATTTACAAACACTTCGTTTTGCAGTTGTTAAATACAGGAGATTTTTTCTTTTTAAAAATCTTACTGTCATATTAACTTTCACATTCTCATGTTAAACATCCTCGAATTCCTGAAGGATAATCTGCATCCTAAGATCTTAGCTATCGCTCCATTCACTCTGCCAAAAGTTTGTATAGATGTCTTCAGTGTGCATAAGAGAATGTCTGTTGGTTTCAACTTTTAACACTGCCATTCTAGTATTAACACTGTATTGTCAACATAAAGTACATTAGCAGTATATATTCCCTTTGTATCCTCTAGAATAATCATGTGACCACAGAATAACTCACAATTCACAGAACTTGACTATTTTCCTATGACTTATTTTGAAGCAGGGTTTCATTTCATTAAAAAGTTATGAGTATACTAGTTAGATGATTCTGCAGATGGAATTCTTGCCACACATACATGAGGACCAAAGCTTGAATCCCCAGAACCCACATATACAAGCTGAATGCAGTAGTGCACATCTGCAACCCCAGTGTTCCAACAGTGAGGTAGGAAGTAGAGACAGGAGAATCCTAGGAAGCTGGGAACACAGTGATGAACTACAAAAGATTCTGCCTCAGAGGTGACTTAACCTCTTATAACCTCCACACATGCACTATGCACATGCATGCCCACATTCACACACATGAACATGTACACACACACACATGTCATATATACACATATCACACAACACAAAATATATTTGCCAGGCAGTGGTAACACACATCTCTAATTCCAGCACTCAGGAAGCAGAGGCAGGCAGATCTCTTAGTTCTAGGCCAGCCTGGTCTACAGAGTGAGTTCCAGGACAGCCAGAGCTATGCAGAAAATCCCTGCCTCACAAAGCCAATGTGTGTGTAAGAGAAAATATGTATCATATTAAAACCATAAATATAAAATAAAAGATTACAGAACTATTTGAATCCCTAGGACATTTTTCTTAAGCTTTATAGTAATTTTTCAGGAATTGGCCAAGAGTTTACTGACACTCTTGAAACTTACCTACATAAATTGATGTCCTAGTCCTTTAAAATCATTTGTCAAAAAGATTCCCAATGGGTCTTCCATTTGGCCTTTTGTACACTACATTAGCAAACTAACCTCAGAGGATAGGGAATCACACCCCAGCCTGCAACACTTAAAGTCTCTTTGAATAGAAGGGCAGTGTCAGCTCACAGACCACACAGTGCTGGGCAGGGAATGCCACATTACTGGACTGAAAACAAGATACTGTGGAAGGAGTTGGCTTTCCCAATGGAGATGTTCCTATGGCACCACATCTCTCACAGTCTGTATATATGCCATGAGCCTCACAGTCACTATCCAATCTAAATGCATTCATTCAAATCATTAAAAGACATTAAATGAAATGTTCTGACTGAGGGAAAAGAAGGTTGCTTCAAAGAGAGACCTCTACAGCTCAGAGACATGTGTCACTGGCCCTTATCCATTAGCCTTGTGTTCTTGGTTCCTCTACACAGACAATGTCACAGAACATGCATGCACATCCATCCCATTCAGGACAGGCTCAGCACAAGAGATGAGAGAGAGAGAGAGAGACAGAGACAGAGACAGAGAGAAAGAGAGAGAGAGAGAGAGAGAGAGATTAGGAGACAATGTATAATTAGTTTGCTAAATGGACATAGTATTATACTAACTCCTAGTGACTTAACTTTATATCCATACATAAATACTTAATAGAGACATTTTCTGTGCAGTAGATGATAAGCATCAGAACTGACTAGGTTCTATGGAATAAGAGACTATAAAATACCCATCTTTAAATGTAAATAGGTGTATATGGTGCCAACCTGTCCCAAGATCAGGAATCACTGTGGAAACCACAGCAAAAAGATTATAATGGCCAGAAAGAATGGACAACTACAAGGAATCACTGTTTTCAAAACACAGCTAGGCAGGTACATGTATAAACTCACAAGAAAAAAAAAGAGACAATGTATAACAGACAAAACCAAACAGAAGGAGCACAGGGTCCGCCCAGAGCATGATCCAGTCACTGAACCCCCACAAGGCCAATTTAGTGTCACAACACTCACCTGTGACATCCAGACGGAAGGAGACCTTCTGTCCCCCGGCCTCGCAGCTGTACTCCCCAGCATCCGCCTTGCCCGCCTGCTGCACCACCAGCCTCCTCTCACAGCCAGAGGCCTCCACTCGAACCTTCGAGCTGGAGCTCAGCTTCTTCCCGTCCTTGAACCAGGTCACCTCTGTCTGGGCCTGGGCCACCTCACAGCTCAGCATGGCACTGGCCCCTGCCTCTGATTTCACCTCGCTGTGTGTCTGCTGCTCCTTGGCAAACACCACCTTGGGCTCTGGGGGCAGACAGGGATACACAGGGTTAGAGACACTGTCTAGGTCAGGAAGGTCACAGGAAGAGAGCTAGATTGGGCAATGAAGGACAGAACTTTCTCGGCTTTGATGTGAAGACTATGGCCCTCGTCACTGTGTAAGGCCTCCAGCCTCTGCTGGGTTCACTACCAACAATGCTGTAGATTTCCTCTGTGCCACTCAGGGAAGATGGCTCTTTGGTCCCTGCTCTTTCTCCCTCCTTCAGATCTTGATGTCAGTGCGATGCTGCCTGCATGAAATGACCTACAGGTTCATTTCCTTTCTCTAGTCTCTAAAAGAGTCTCCATGGTCATGGAATAACTGTTTCCAGTATTATCTGATGTTTTCTCAACAAAATTATTTGAAGATTTTGTTGCTATTCCACTTATTTAGAATACTTAAGATTTACTGAATTTTTATGTCAGTTTTCACACAGTTAACTACTAATCAGTCAAATTGTCATAAGTTTTCAGATTAGCATAAAACGCTTTAACATGTACTCTTTAAAATAGCATTTTTCTGGTAGTGGTGGTGGCACATGCCTTTAATCTCAGTATTTGGGAGGCAGAGGGAGGTGGATCTCTGTGAGTTTGAGGCCAGCCTGGTCTACAGAGCAAGTTCCAGGACAGCTAAGGCTGCTGTTACACAGAGAAACTTTGTCTAGATAAACTCATGATGATGATGAAGATGATGATGAAGAAGATGATGAAGATGAAGGTGATGAAGATGATGAAGGTAACATTTCCATAAAGACTTGATAGCTTGTTTCTCAATATCTAAACACAGACATCAGTTATGTGGAAGTCTGATAGATCACTGCTGTGTGACAGTGCTCAAGGTCTGGGATTGCATCTCACCCTCTAAGTCCTCAAGGCTCTATCGGCACACAGGCAAATGGCTGTCTGTCTCAGACTTCTCCCTCTGAGGACCTGGAGCCAAGCACTAACTTTGCCAGAAATGTGGGCTAGTCAGGAGACATTCACTCCTTACCATTGCAGAGTTCAGAGCAGGAACTCTGTGTGGACCCCTCATAACACCTATCCAAACTGAAGCAAAGGATAAGTGGCATTTGCTTTAAACTGTACTCTTTGTGAGAGAGAGAGAAAGGAAAATTGAGACCATACACAAGGTCCAGCCAGAGTCCCAGATTCCATACAAGAACTAGATGGTTCTGGGAACATGTGGCTCTGGATTACCCCATTGTAACATCATTCAAGATTGCAAAATGGATCCCTCTTCCACCTTATGTATTCATCTCCAGCCTAGTTGCAGGGGAGGAGGAAGAATGGGAAATGTGAGAGATGAAAGCTAATGTAAACTGCAAACAATCTGTCAAAGTAATAAACCAGGCCCCTCTGCATTGTCTCTAGGGCCAAATAGGTACCTGTGACGTCCAGACGGAAGGAGACCTTCTGTCCCCCGGCCTCGCAGCTGTACTCCCCAGCATCCGCCTTGCCTGCCTGCTGCACCACCAGCCTCCTCTCACAGCCAGAGGCCTCCACTCGAACCTTCGAGCTGGAGCTCAGCTTCTTCCCGTCCTTGAACCAGGTCACCTCCGTCTGGGCCTGGGCCACTTTGCAGCTCAGTGTGGCACTGGCCCCCGCCTCTGCCTTCACCTCACTGTGTGTCTGCTGCTCCTTTGCAAACACCACCTTGGGCTCTGGAGACAGACAAAGATACACAGGGTCAGAGACACTGTCTAGGTCAGGAAGGCCACGTGGGGCAAAAGCCTGATGGTAGTGGTACCACTGGAGGGCAGAGCATCATCCAGACTCCACACCCACTGTGCCCAGAAGCCGGGTGCCTCTCAGCACAGAACCAGACACGGCCTGCCTCTGCTGCTGGAGTTATTCTGGAGACTGTCCTTCCAAAGGCTGCTCCAGTGGCCCTGCGGAAAAGACCTGATGCTTTCTGCCCCTGCATTTGTTATCCAGTGGTTCATCGCTCCAGGCTGGCCCCATTTATACCTGCATAGTCCATCCACAGATTGTAGGATTTCTGAGTGTATTTGAGTACTGGAGTACCAGCCTCATGTATGTCAATATTTTCCCCATCTGTGTGCTTCAATTCTCACTTTTGTGCGTATTTTCTGGTTAAATCAAATGTTTTCATGAAGCGACACATCTACGGTTCTTTGTAGGCCATGTAGTCACTTGCTGGCTTTGACATCCTTCATATGGTAGTGCCCTGGCGCACTCAGCTGTCAGTCATGCCACTTTCTGAGGTTGTCACCCAATGCACTGTTGACTGAAGCATATGCTTTGGGGGAGACTTCCAAGGCTAACACATTTTTCCAAATGCCTTCGTACCATTTGGGGAGGTAGTCTTATCTCTACCCTTCACACTAGTACCTAGTACCACGGGAAAGGAGGGGCAGGGCCTGTGACGGCCAAGAGTTGGTGCAGAGACATTTTCATCTTGCTCTGCCTTTCTGTTGTAACATTTGAGTCCACTGTCCTGATAGCATCACCTTATGACGAGAGTTGATCTCATGAAGCAAATGCTCTCAGCTGTTCGTCTTCAGGAGAACACAAAGCCTTTGCAATCCGTCTGTCAATCGTCATCACTCAAAATAGATAAGTATGTTTGGATTCTGGCTTAGGAATGAAAATAAGTCTTCTGTGGTTCCTAGTAATTTCTTCAGATAGTCATCACAGTCCTTCAAAAACATTTGACCATTTCCTCACTGTGCTTCAAATGTCTTGTTTGTTGGGCATCAGATTAGAAAACGGACGCTCTGGAATTCTGTCCTGTAGGATCTCATTTTCCAGGCCTTCACTGCAGTGTGTGGATGGAGTTGTGTCTCCTGCATGCTGGGTTCCTGTGCAAGGCCATCCTTCCCAAGGCTCTCACTACACTGTTTACTGTAGGGACTTTGCTTAACTGGTTGGTGACTGTCAATTCTATTCCTGCTGTCCTACCCTGTCTTATTTTGTTGCCATTTCAAAGGTAAACCTCTCTCCTGAAGTGGGATGTTAGCTGCTATTTCCTGTAGTTCTGTTTTTCACAGCTAAGGAGAACCTGTTGATTTCTGTGAAGAATTCATGATGAATTTGATTGAAGACTTTTCAGGATATGAGATGGTATTGATTTTTTTTATTGTGTGTGCATAGGCATGTGTGTGCCATGCCATGAGTGTGATCAGAGAGCAACTTCCAGGAGCTGGTTCTCTGTTCCAACTATGTGGGTTCCAGAAATCAGATCCTCTGACTTGGCAGCAAGCTCCTTTATTCACTCGTCCATCTCACCAGCCCCAAAGACAGTAAATGTGGGAAACACTTTTCTTCTGCACGCACTGGGATCTCTGTGCTTTTCCCTCCCAGTGGCCTGACCTTGTGTGCCTTGTGTTGAGCCAAATCCTCCTTCCAGGCTTCCTTTTCCTCATAGTCTTCAAATGCTGCAGAGCAGTTTTCTGCTAGGAATTCAGTATCCTGGCCTTGCTGTGTATGTGGCCTTTTAGTTTTGTGTATTTTCCCTGTAAGGTTTGGTTTCCATGTTACATCATTTCCATAAACTGGCCCATCCTTCATTCTCCTGTTTCCCATGAGAGCTTCTGTAAGTAAGGAACAGTTTGTTTCTAGAACTTCTGAGGTGATGTTCCTGCTGGGCTGCATGCCCCATCCCCTAAAAACATTTATTAGACTACTGCTTCCATTTAATTAAAGCTTACAGAGTTGTTTGAATTTTCAGTTTCTCCTTTTGTTAGTTTTGACACAACTTTCTAGGAATTAGTCAAATTGTCACACCTTGCCAAAATTTTAAACATAAAATTGGCTGTCATATTCTCTTCCAATAATGTTTCACAAACAAACAGCAGGCTTTGTTGACGGTTGTCCATGTTCATAACTGATTGCATAGTTGGCCTTCTGTATCATGAATCCAACAACAATGAACAGACAATACAAAGGTGGGCAGAAATACATCTATGAGAAACTTAGACTTTCTTCTTGTCATTAGTCCCCAGATAATACAGACGGGCAGCGGGCAGGACTGACACGGCACTGAGTATAATCAACCAGGACATGAGTTGAGACGTGCAGAGGGAAAGGGTTCCAATGGCTCCACAGTTAAGAGCACTGGCTGCTCTTGCAGAAGACTCAGGTTTGGTTCCAGGGCCACATGGTAACTCACAACTACCAGCTCTAGGGGATCTTGTGCCCTCTTCTGGTTTCTGCAGGTGCCTGCACTCAAATGCACATACCCACATAGACACATAATTTTAAAAATTTTAAAAACATCTTAAAAGAAAAAAACATACAGAGCATGTTTGTTGGTTATATGTAAACATTTTATATAAAGAGCTGGCACATCTGAGAATTTTGCATCTGCAGTGAGGTTCTGGAACTAACTCTTACCAAGGACACAACTTAAACCTATAGACCAAGAGCAGAAGTACAGCCTATAATGACTTAGCATTAAGTGTCTTAACAAAAGGACAATACATGTATTTTTCAGCCATCTCTATGCAACCAGCCAGAGACCCACTAGCACCCAGTCACCAGGGGCATACTGAGTTTTTTCATAGCACTCAACTCACAGCAACATAGCAGTATACCACTTCTCCACAGAAGCTTTGTACATCAGCTTCCAAGGACTGATGGTGACAATGTTCTGGTGAAACATTCTCTGATTGAAAAGACCATCCTGCTCTGACAAGTATCTATCAAAGTACCACATCAGTCTCTGCTCTGTGCACATCACAAGAGCTGTGCAACCATCCACCAGCAGGCATGTTCCTACAGACAGATGTGTAGGAGGCCAGCTTCCAAATCCCTAGAAAAGGAGTGAAGGGGATCACAAGAAGCCTAAAGCTGAGAATACCAAGAAAGTCCTGAGACAGTTACAGTTGCGACCAACTATTTGGCCTGTGCCTTGTCCTTACCTTGAGTTGGTGGCAGCTCTGGTCATGGAGAACCTCGTGTGGCTCTAGGATAAAAGCTGGAAGTTTCCAGTGCCCCCAATCCAAGGAGGATCACTCTCCCAAGTGAAGGACACATGGTCACCTTACAACCAAGATCTACCTGATTCCAACAATACCAAACAAAAGATGGTGGGGAGGCTCTTGGAACATACAGCTAAGTTCCACCATGTGCACACCACTCAAGGTGTGTAAGAAGGGCCTACACCTGACTGTTTTGCCTTGCTGAGCGCATAAATGCAAGAGGGAAGGTGGGAAGGCAGAAGATGGTAATAGACAAAGTGTAACAGGAAGAACCCAGTGATCAGGCATGCATCTGATACAGTCAACACCTCTACACAAAATAAACTGGTATCTCAACACCCACCTGTGATGTCCAGACGGAAGGAGACCTTCTGTCCCCCGGCCTCGCAGCTGTACTCCCCAGCATCCGCCTTGCCCGCCTGCTGCACCACCAGCCTCCTCTCACAGCCAGACGCCTCCACTCGAACCTTCGAGCTGGAGCTCAGCTTCTTCCCGTCCTTGAACCAGGTCACCTCAGTCTGGGCCTGGGCCACTTTGCAGCTCAGTGTGGCACTGGCTCCTGCCTCTGATTTCACCTCACTGTGTGTCTGCTGCTCCTTGGCAAACACCACCTTGGGCTCTGGGGACAAATGGGGACATAAAGTCAGAGGCACTCTCTAGATCAGCAAAGTCACAATGGGAAAGACCCTAGTTGGGTCAGCTGAAGAGCAGAATGTCATCCAGGCCCTGCACTCTCTGTGCTCAGGAGAAACCCCAGGACCTCTAGCCACAGAGAAAGTCATGCTCCCTTATCCATCCAGAACACAGCCCAAGACCTGCAGTAGGTGCCTCAGATGTAGATAACATCAAATACTGGGTATATTTCTCCTGGAGGACCCTGAGAAAGTTTAGTTAACAAATTAGGCATAGTAAGAAACTCATAAGCCAGGTGTGGTGGTTCACGGCTACAATCTCAGCATTCAGGAGGCAGAGAAAGGCAGACCTCTGTGAGTTTGAAGCTAGCCTGGTCTACATAGCAAGGTCCAGGATTGCCAGGGCTATGTAAAAGTCTGTATCGATCCCTTGCCCCCCAAAAATCATAATTATTAGTGTTAAAATTAAAGAAACATAGTGTAACAAAAGCCCATGCTCTAGATCATTATTAAGTAAAATAAGGACCAAAGAAAAGAAGTGATATGACACCTTCACAGCCCATCTGATGAAGTGATCATTTCTGGAATTTTCTATATATTTTAGAACCATGGATGGCAGTGGGTAACTAAACCATGGAGTACCACTCAGGATAAAGAGTGACTTTCACAATTTGACATACACCCCATCACTGATTTCTGGTGTCACTAGGCAGACTTTTCTGCCAGTTATTTGCCCAGTTTTCATGTCTCTCTCCAACGCAGTCACTGCAGGATGGCTGTACATATGCTCACACTAGAGAACTGACAATAACATGTACTCCAGACACTTTTCTTGTTGTGTTGCTTGTCTTCTCACCGTTTATGATAGGCTCTGCTGAGTCGCTGGGTTTCTAATTTTTTGTTAGTGTTATGGTTGTATGTGATACGGGCAGGAAGGCAGCACACACCACAGATGGAGGTCAGAGGATAAGGTTATTGGGTACGTTCTCTCCTTCCACATTTACGTGCATTCCAGGGATTGAACTCAGGTCTTGAGGCCTGAGCTCATCTGATCCTGCTAAACCATCTCACCAGACCTAACTCATAGTTTTCAATTTCAAAGTATTCATGTGTGTTTGTTCTCCTGTTACTGGTCACCAACCACATATATTCAATCCATAAATTCTGGTGTTCTACTGTACAGTAGAGAACTATAGTATTTCGTGATAACTATATGAAAGGATTTCGCATGTTTCCAACATAAGCAACATGGAAGGAACTGGAAAGGCTGACTGCCCAGTTTGATCAATGCACATCATAGACATGTTATCAGATTCCACAGGGCACCTCATTATCACTCTGTATCATCATATGTTGGTTTAAAATAGTGAATTCAGCCCTTAAGTGGAGTCACAGAAACACCTGCATGTCACCACGAGTGTTCTGTGTTTCTCTTTCTACTCTAAGGAAGTCTGGAACACAACTAGAGCTGGCTTTGTATGTGATGATTACTGGTCCAATGTTTCTTCAGTATGGTAAATGTCAATAGTTCATGAAACAATCATACTGTCTGCAGCCCTTCCATGAGTCCAAGAAGGGAAAGGGGAGATGTAGGTGGGGTTGGAGATGGGGAATCCATTGCTGTGAGAGTCCAACCTGAGCTCTGTCCTCTGCTTTTTTGGTGTGCTTGCCTGTCCCTGCACTGAGACACCCACGTCTTTATTGCATGAGTATAGCATAGTCTAACACATGGTGCAGCAAAGGCTCCCTGCTTTTCTTTGGGTGTGCTGTTTGGATGGGAAATGTTCCCCAAAGGCCCACATTTGAGAAGCTTGGTCTCCAGACCCTGCCATTGGGAGGTGGTATTTAGGGTTCTAGTGGGAGATCTTAGGTCACTAGGGTTGTACTCTCCAAAAGCACTATGGAATGCAAGCCCCTTCCTCTCTCATGCACACATTCCATTGTGAAGGAGTAGATCAACCAAGAAGGATGGGACACAAGCACAGATAGTTTCTCTAATTGGAAGCACACTGGGATCATCCAGGTCACCAAACAATCTCCCATCATCTGCAAATAACCCACCTAGATACATGAACACTGACCTGTGACGTCCAGACGGAAGGAGACCTTCTGTCCCCCGGCCTCGCAGCTGTACTCCCCAGCATCCGCCTTGCCCGCCTGCTGCACCACCAGCCTCCTCTCACAGCCAGACGCCTCCACTCGAACCTTCGAGCTGGAGCTCAGCTTCTTCCCGTCCTTGAACCAGGTCACCTCTGTCTGGGCCTGGGCCACTTTGCAGCTCAGTGTGGCACTGGCCCCTGCCTCTGATTTCACCTCGCTGTGTGTCTGCTGCTCCTTTGCAAACACCACCTTGGGCTCTGGAGACAATGAGAACACTGTGATAAATACAATATGTTACCTATTTCTCAGACATTGATTCTCCAAGGTTCCATAAATTGTGTCCTTGGGATCTTGGACATCAGGTGTCCAGTGCGATGTTAGACATGTCTTCACAGACACAGTGTATTATCCCAGTGGCTCAGAAGTGCATTTGGAAGTTATCCTGACTCAAGAGCAATTTCAAGGCCAGAGTAAAGAGACTGGGCTATTCCATCTCTCTACCTATGTGTTTGCTGTCTCTGCCACACTTGTGGCAGATCCTATTGCTTAGTAACACATGCCAGAGCTAGCACTGTGCCCTCTGCAGACTATAGCCTCCATTCTCTGCTGATTTAATGCACACATAAAGTATGCACGAGCATCTTTCAGCTCAGTGAATGTCAAATGTACCTTTCCCCATAGAACCCAAACAGAGCATCTCAGCTCCTCATCCACACAGATTGCCAACACACATAAACAGGCAGGCAGGCAGGCAGGCAGGCACACGCGCACACACACACACACACACACACAGGAATACACACACATACATACATACACACACATGCACATACATACACAGGTTCACACACACAGGTATACACACACATGCATACAAACACACATGCACATACACCACACTTAAGCACACACATACACAGGTTCACACACAATACATACACACACAGACACACATACATCCATGCTCACATAAATACACACATACATACATATATATATATATTTATATATATACATAGTATATACACACAGGCTCACACATGACACAGACATACACACACACAGACATATGCACACAAACATACACACGCACAAACATATACACACAGGTATGGGAACACACACACACAGGCTCACACACAACACACACGCACACATAGCAACTACTCTGATTTCTGTCACTATGAGTTACTTTTGCCTGGGCTCTGACTTCATACCCGTTAGGCCAGTGACATGCTCTATAAGTGATGCTCCACTCAGTGACAGACCCCAAGATTATAATGATGGTCTCTTAAGATAGTATTGCCCAGAAACATTACAGCTGTCTCCATTTGTGTGACTGTATTCTGAGGAACCCATACAATGGGAAAATCACCCAACAACAAATTTTTCATCACATTTATTATTTATTCTGGTGGTTTTGTGTGCTTTCATTTGGCTTGTCTGAAAGACCCATCCATGCTACACATCATTTGTCCACTTAAGGCAGACATTGTGGTACACAGCTTTCACTTGGGAGGCAGAGGCAGGTGGACCTCTATGGGCTCCAGGTCAGCCTGAACTACACAGTGAGTTCCGGACCAGTCAGGGCCACATAGTGAGACCCTGCCTTTAAAAACAAGAAGCTTGTTCCTTCAATCTGCTACATAGGGTTGTGCTGCATAAACACCACAACTGAATGCCTTTTCTGTCCCTTCTCAGGTCCTTTGGGTTGTTCTCGATCAATACAATGAGATACAATCAATAAAGCTGCTGTAAACATACTTGGGTGGCTGGGGAATCAGCTCAGTGGTTAGGAACTCTGACAGAGGACTAGAGTTCAGTTCCTAGAGCCCACTGTGGCGTTTGGTTGAGAATGGCCCCCATCGGATTGAATACTGGGTCCCTGTTTGGTGGAAGGACTTTTGGGAAGATTAGGACTTTGGGTCTTGTTGTGCCGGCAGGCACTGAGGTCACAAAAGACTCCCACCATCCACAGTGCATCCCTCTCACTTTGCCTCCTGCTTGAAGATCAAGGTGTAAGCTCTCAGCTGCTCCAGCCAACATGCCTGCTGCTTGCTGCCACACTGTCCCCCCAAGCGGCACCAATTAAACGCTTTCTTTTATAGGTTTGTCTTGGTCATGGTGCGTTGTCAAGATGTAGAAACCTAACTAACACCCCCACGTTGGGTGGCTAACAACTGCCTGTAACTCCAGCTGCATGGGATCCAACACCCTCTCCTGGCCTCCTAGCCCATCAGCACTCATATTCAGACACCCATATATAGTCATATGCATACACATAAATAAAGATGTAAATGTTTTAAGAACATCCTTGGATATATCTTGGTGCTGGAAACCAGCACAAAGGGCTCTCCAGCCTTAAGGGATATTGCACTATTAACAAGTTCTCCATTTCCGCCCCACACCTGACGTCATCCATGTTTTTAAACTGTGTATGTTGCATCATCTCTAATGAAAACCTATGTCCTGTAGCACCGGCCTCCATGTCTCGGCTCACTTCTGCATCTGTAAGATGCTGCCATTTAAAATTAAAATGACTTCTCCTTAAACTGGACAGGTAATTTAATGACAGTAAAATTTAAATGGACATTTTGTTAAGACAATATTTTTTTGTAATTTTTCCCATTAGCACAAAATCTTCAAAGGCACATTTTAGGTGGGAAAATGCAATCCCAGGCTGTGGGAGAACTCTCTGATTTATTCAATCCCCTCCACAGCCAAGGTGAGCCGAGGGCCTCCTGAGGGGCAACTGGAGCTGGGAGGTCTGCAGCGAACAGCAGAGGCTCACACTTGACCTTCTCATGGCGGGCCCAAACTTGCCATGAAGATGAGGGTGCAATGGTCCATGAAATGAGGTTGTTGTCAGTGCTGGCACGGGAGAGAAACTATGTGACCGAGACTAGGCGGCGAGGGAAGACCTCGCTCTGCAGTGGTGTTTAAGAGACACACAGCCAGACAGTAGAACACTGAGGTCCCAGAGATCTACACCCTTGGTAGGAACTGTGAGCAAGAGAATGGGGCCTGAGCCGTGGCGCACAGAATGCTGGGGAAAGGTGTCTGTCACACCTGGCTATTCCCACCCCTGCCTTGCCATGTGAGATGGAGTGTGTCGGTGAAACCCAGACTAGGCACAGGCTTTCTACCGGAAATAGGTGGGAGGGTTCAAAAGTAAACAAACAAACAAAAAGAAAAAACGTCAGTGAGGTGGGTAACATCTCCTACAGACAGAAATCACGTTTATTAGGCCAAAACCCCAGTGAACCAAGATAGTGTAGGACTAGCACCCACACTCCAGCACTTTCCCTTCCGTGGCTGATGAGTTGTGAAGCTGCCTAAGAGGTTACAAAGCTACTGGAGTCAGTCTGCATTTCTAGAACAAAATGCCTGAGACTGGTACTTCACTGAAATAAATAACTAAAACCTGCATGTTCAGTTCATAAAAGGTTCAAGGAAACAGCCCTGGAACCAGCCTGGCTCTAATGAGGCCCCATGGAGGATAGCAACCCAGTGGCAGGAGAGTAAGGAAATGGCCTTGAGAGGTGTCAGACACTCAGGAGAAACCCATTCTCACAGGAACCTCTCCAGTCCCACAAGACCTGGCCCACTGCACTCAGCTATTCATGAAGCCAGAGGCTCCATGGCCCCTACCTCCCACTGGGGCCCACCCTGTAGATGTCTCACCATCTCAACACATGGGGAACCAAAGCCAGCCCACAAGCCTATAAGAGCCATCCAAACCCGAACAGAGACCAACAGAGGCACTCTGAGTTGAAGGGCGGCTGCAGGGCTCCTTGGAGGACTTTGCCCAGGACTCAGATAAATGAGGCCCAGACAATTCTGACCAAGCTGCAGCAGGCCTGGAATGGCTCCAATACTGAGTGTTCCCCCACCTGCCCAGCTGTTGTGAAACATTTAACCATTTAAAGATATGTTACATTTGTTTATGTTGCCTTTGTTAACAATGTAAAAATGTGTTACGTGGGCCTGGCTGGGGTGGCTCATGCCTTTAATGCCAGCATTTGGGAGGCAGAGACAGGTGGATCTCTGTGAGTTTCAGGACAGCCTGGTCTACAGAGTGAGTACCAGGACAGCTAGAGCTACACAGAGAAACCTTGTCTCGAAAAAGAACTGGGCAGGAGAAAGGATAGGTGTGGCTGGAAGGCAGAGAGAATAAATAGGAGGAGGAATCTGGAGAAGAGAGAAGAGGAGGGAACAAGGGAGAAAGAAAGGGGGACTTTTGGGGTCAGCCAGACAGGCAGCCACCGGGCAGACAGACATGGAAGAAGCAGGAAAAGTAAGACATACAGAAGAAAAATGTAAAAATCCATGAGGCAAAAACTAGATAAAGAAAAACAGGCTAATTTGAGTTAAAAGAGCTAGCCAGAATATTGAGCATTCATAACTAGTAAGAAGCCTCTGGGTCGAGAAGCAGAATGAGACAAGATCTCCTGAGCAGATTGGGAACATCAGGGGAGGGGAGAGGAAACCAAGAAAAAGAGAGGGGGAGAAGAAGGGGGGAGAAGAGACATGGAGAGCAGGAAGGTTGAGTCGAGGTAAGAATAGAGGAGAGCAGGATGAGAGATGACATAATAGATAGAGTCATTATAGGCTTGAGGAGAGAGCTGACACTAGTGAGATCTCCAGAGATCCACAAGGATAACACCAACTGGCAAACTAAGCAATAGTGGAGAGACTACATTAATAGCCCCTCCTTGATGATAGGGTTGATGACTACCCTATATGCCATCCTAGAACCTTCATCCAGGGACTGATGGAAGCAGAGACAGATTCCCATAGCTAAACACTGAACTGAGCTCCTGGAACCTTGTGACAGAGGTGGAGGAGTGATGAGCAAAGGGGTCAAGACCATGATGATAAAACCCACAAAGACAGCTGACCGGATAAGGGGGAGCTCTTGAACCCCAGAATGATGGCTGAGAGGCCAACAGGGGACTGATCCAGACTCCATGAATGTAGTGCCAGGAAGGAGACCACAGAAATCACTAGGGCCTTGGGTAGTAGATCAGTGTTTACCATGAATGATCTTTGGGAGCCCATTCCAAACAGAGGGATGCTCTCTCAGCCTGGACACATGGGGAAGGGCCTAGGTCCTGCCCAGGATGAAATGACAGAATCTGGAGATCCCCCCCAAGGAGGGCCTCACCCTCCCTGGGGAATGATGTGGGGATTGGGTGGAGGGCTGGGGGGCTGGTGGAGGGACAAGGGAGGAGGGGTGGGAGAGAGAGCTGGGGCTGAAATGTGAAACATTCATGTTTCTAATTTAAATAAAAACATATATTGAGAAAAAAAGAAGCCTCTGGGTCATGATTTAGAAGCTGGTTGGTGGCCCACAAGAGAAAGCCTGGTACACCCAGCAAATAAAAGGGAGGCATCCTCATAATCAACAGTCTGAACACAAAATGTGTGGAAGCTGATTAAAAAAATTCTCTGCCACACCAGGACATGAGAAAAGCCCCCAACTGCAAAAATGATGGGGTCCAGCGGGACATGGCTAGGTCATGATTAGGCCATGGAGTCCACCTTCGGGAACAGCAACACCATCCATGAGAGCTGCCAGACTTGTTAAGGGTTTTCTTCTAATGTGTAAAAGTAGACAAAATTATTTATTGGGATGTCACACGTGATTCCTTCACTGTCCATTGTGTCACTCAAGTTCAGGACTTCTGAAAGCATCCCATTCTCACAGAAAGATCGTTAATCACATTGTGCCATCAGCCTATGATCCTTTTCCTCTTTTCTCTCGCTTTGAACTGAAGACACACACTCAGAACGACTTCAAGGCTCTCCACCAGAGTATCTCTGGCAATTCCTTCAGACAATTTACTTAGGAACCATTTCAAAGCAGATCTGCCTCTGACTTGCTGACACCCACTTCTCTTATGAATGAGTTCATGACACATTCTTTCCTCACACATTCAGAATGCTAATCGACATGTGGGATACGCCAGTACTGCACTGCAACAAGCACCATCCACAGGCATCTTCAACTCTAACCTCAGGTTCAAGACCATCCCCGTGAGCTGCCTTGTGGATCAAGACTCATACTGAACAATCAGCTCGAGTTGCAAAAGAGGATTTATTTGTGTACCTGATTTCCATGCCAGCCTGCTTTCTTACACACTGCAGGACCTGCCCAGGAGAGGCACTGCACACATGAGCTGGGCCCTCCCACAGCTACCACGAACTGAGAAAACAGCGCCATGCGCCACAGACCTCCCTACAGGCCAATATTATGAAGACATTTTCTCAACTGAGAGTCCTTCTTCCCAAATGACTCTAGCTTATGTCAAATTGACATAAAACCAATCAGCACAATGGCCAAAAAAATCAGTATTTTCAAACAAAAGGAAATTTCAAGAATTCACACACCAGACACACACTACAGCAGACACCAGAGGGCAGAGATCTTCAGAAGGAAACTAACTCTGACCTAAACCCTGGCTCTGTAACTGACTGGCTAAGCAAGTCAAGCTCCTCTGTGCCCATCCTAAAATGGATCCTTCCTCGTTCAAAATCTCTTAAAAATAAGATGCACTTCACAAAATCAAGGCACCTGAATGGGATCAGCTGGCAATGACTACAGACGAAGCTGAGAACATAGGTCACAAGGAAGTTTCTAACCCTAATACCTAGTGTGCACATGATAGAACATTTAAAAGGAAAAAAGAAAAGAAAATCCACCTGTGACGTCCAGACGGAAGGAGACCTTCTGTCCCCCAGCCTCGCAGCTGTACTCCCCAGCATCCGCCTTGCCCGCCTGCTGCACCACCAGCCTCCTCTCACAGCCAGATGCCTCCACTCGAACCTTCGAGCTGGAGCTCAGCTTCTTCCCGTCCTTGAACCAGGTCACCTCAGTCTGGGCCTGGGCCACTTTGCAGCTCAGTGTGGCACTGGCCCCTGCCTCTGCCTTCACCTCGCTGCGAGCCTGCTGCTCCTTGGCAAACACCACCTTGGGCTCTGAGAACAGAAAGTAAGACAAAATCAGAAACCATTTAAGTCATAAAAGTCACATGGAAAAGGGGCCAGGATAAGGCTGTTGGGTAGGGGTGTAAAACCCTCTCAGCATAAAAACCACAATTCATCCACACATCCCACCACTGGGGGCAGTTAAGGAAGGACAGAATCACTGGTGAAAGACTATGGAATATGCAAATCTTCACAATAGTAACTCACTGATGGAAAGTGAGCCACCACCCCTTTACCCTCAGTCCTTTACATATACGACCATAAATCAGATTCAAGGGGGACTGTCACACAGAAGGTTTCAGCTTGGACAAGGGTGAAGCATAGCAGTAAAGCACTTGTACCAGTAGGATGTGCAGACTCACACACACACAGTCACACACTCACATGCACACTCACACACACATGCACACACGTATGCGCACACACTCATTCACACATTCACACATACACTCACACACATGTGCACACACACATTCACACAGCACAGCATTTGTCTACCACTCTACAGATCCTCCTATGTTCCACAAAGAATCCAGGAACATGGGTGTAGATTATGCCGTAGAATAGGGCAGCATGTTTATATGGGCTATAAGGGGAAAAGGCCCATGGTGAACACTAAAGTCGCTCCTGACCATCCAGAGACTGGAAGTTAACTAAGAACAGCCACAGTGCCAGGTGGTGGTGGTGCACAACTTTAATCCCAGCACTCAGGAGGCAGAGGCAGGTGGATCTTTGTGAGTTCAAGGCCAGCCTGGTCTAAAAAGCAAGTTCCAGGACAGCCAGGGCTACACAGAGAAATCCTGTCTCAAAAAACCAAAAACAAGAAAAACTTCAGTTACTTCTTGGTAGCTGTGAGAACAGAGAATTCTTACAGTGATTAACTGCACTTGAGACGCCTGCAAGGATGGAGGACAGCATTGACGACTACATACGTATAGGTGGCAGGCCTTCGGGGACAGCATTGATGACTATATATTTATAGGTGGCAGGCCTTCGGGGACAGCATTGACGACTACATACGTATAGGTGGCAGGCCTTCAGAGGTGGCAGAGGAGGGACTTCAGTCTCCTAACTGGACAGGCACTGCAGCAGATCTCTCTGATTGGACCAGATCAGGGACAGGATATGGGGCTCTCTAATTGGTTGACTAAAATGTAATTGCTCTGTCTTTGCCCAGTTTCGGCCATAAGTCCTATAAAAACTTCCAGACCAAGAAATTCAATGCCTTTTCCACTCTTGGAACCCATCTCATTCTTGGGGGCAGGGGGAAGGAGGCTTTCACTTTTCTGGAATTCTCTTAGCAATGCCTGTTTCCACTTCGCTTGCCCCCATGAGGATCCGAATCCCTTACTTTCACCGCATGATTCAACAAACCAAGAGCCGTTGTCTCAGGTTGACTTTTGGTGGCCATTAAGTTTCTGGTGCCTTATGTCTCTGGGTCATGCACAACTGGACTGAAAAAGACCTTGTTCTCAATCCTGCATTCTTATCCAGGGAAAGGGCTGGAAATATTCCAAAGCACCTAACTGAACCCTAGCAGCCCCAGGATCAGTGCTGATATGGTTTCAAATATGATCATATGACTGAAATTCCTCCTTACCCTGGCTGAACATGAATTAAAAATTCTCTTTAAAAGACAACTCATGTGGGACTGGATGAGACCTCAAACAGAGACATTTGTCACCTCAGACAGACATACAAGTAGAACCAGAGTCCATGGCACCAGGGAACGCTGACAGAACCTGAGCAGGCTCTGAGACCATGAAACAGAACATTACAGCATTAAAACATCTCGTGATGCACACAAGAGGTCCTGGCCAAGCCGAACACATATGCGCCAAATGCACCTGGACCAGACACAGCAATGAGATTGGCAGAGGATGTGAGATCAGCAAAGATGATACTCAATGGGAAACACACAGGGCCTGCCTGGCCATAACCAGGATCATAACATTTGCAAACTGATTTAGTATCTCAGCACCCACCTGTGATGTCCAGACGGAAGGAGACCTTCTGTCCCCCGGCCTCGCAGCTGTACTCCCCAGCATCCGCCTTGCCCGCCTGCTGCACCACCAGCCTCCTCTCACAGCCAGACGCCTCCACTCGAACCTTCGAGCTGGAGCTCAGCTTCTTCCCGTCCTTGAACCAGGTCACCTCAGTCTGGGCCTGGGCCACTTTGCAGCTCAGTGTGGCACTGGCTCCTGCCTCTGATTTCACCTCGTTGAGTGCCTGCTGCTCCTTGGCAAACACCACCTTGGGCTCTGGGGACAAATGCGGACATAAAGTCAGAGACACTCTCTAGATCAGCAAGGTCACAATGGGAAAGACCCTAGATGGGTCAGCTGAAAAGCAGAATGTCATCCAAGCCTGCACTTTCTGTGCTCAGGAGAAACCCCAGGACCTCTAACCACAGAGAAAGTCATGCTCCATTATCCATCTAGAATACAGCCCAAGACCTGCAGTAGGTGCCTCAGATGCAGATAACATCAAATACTGGGTATATTTCTCCTGGAGGACCCTGAGAAAGTTTAGTTAACAAATTAGGCATAGTAAGAAACTCATAAGCCAGGTGTGGTGGTTCACGGCTACAATCTCAGCATTCAGGAGGCAGAGAAAGGCAGACCTCTGTGAGTTTGAAGCTAGCCTGGTCTACATAGCAAGGTCCAGGACTGCTGGGGCTATGTAGAAAGTCTGTCTCGATCCCTTGCCCCCCCCAAAAATCATAATTATTAGTGTTAAAATTAAAGAAACATAGTATAACAAAAGCCCATGCTCTAGACCATTATTAAGTAAAATAAGGACCAAAAAAAAAAAAAAGAAGTGATATGATACCTTCACAACCCATCTGATGAAGTGATCATTTCTGGAATTTTCTATATATTTTAGAACCATGGATGGCAGTGGGTAACTAAACCATGGAGTACCACTCAGGATAAAGAGTGACTTTCACAATTTGACACACACCCCATCACTGATTTCTGGTGTCACTAGGCAGACTTTTCTGCCAAGTATCTGCCCAGTTTTCATGTCTCTCTCCAACGCAGTCACTGCAGGATGGCTGTACATATGCTCACACTAGAGAACTGACAATAACATGTACTCCAGACACTTTTCTTGTTGTGTTGCTTGTCTTCTCACCGTTTATGATAGGCTCTGCTGAGTCGCTGGGCTTCTAATTTTTTGTTAGTGTTATGGTTGTATGTGATACGGGCAGGAAGGCAGCACACACCACAGATGGAGGTCAGAGGATAAGGTTATTGGGTACGTTCTCTCCTTCCACATTTACGTGCATTCCAGGGATTGAACTCAGGTCGTGAGGCTTGAGCTCATCTGATCCTGCTAAACCATCTCACCAGACCTAACTCATAGTTTTCAATTTCAAAGTATTCATGTGTGTTTGTTCTCCTTTTACTGGTCACCAACCACATATATTCAATCCATAAATTCTGGTGTTCTACTGTACAGTAGAGAACTAAAGTACTTTGTGATAACTATATAAAAAGATTTTGCATGTTTCCAACATAAGCAACATGGAAGGAACTGGAAAGGCTGACTGCCCAGTTTGATCAATGCACATCATAGACATGTTATCAGATTCCACAGGGCACCTCATTATCACTCTGTATCATCATATGTTGGTTTCAAATAGTGAATTCAATCCTTAAGTGGAGTCACAGAAATACCTGCATGTCACCATGAGTGTTCTGTGATTCTCTTTCTACTCTAAGGAAGTCTGGAACACTAGAGATGGCTTTGTATGTGGTGATTACTGGTCCAATGTTTCTTCAGTATGGTAAATGTCAATAGTTCATGAAACAATCATACTGTCTGCAGCCCTTCCATGAGTCCAAGAAGGGAAAGGGGAGATGTAGGTGGGGTTGGAGATGGGGAATCCATTGCTGTGAGAGTCCAAACCTGAGCTCTGTCCTCTGCTTTTTTGGTGTGCTTGCCTGTCCCTGCACTGAGACACCCACGTCTTTATTGCATGAGTATAGCATAGTCTAACACATGGTGCAGCAAAGGCTCCCTGCTTTTCTTTGGGTGTGCTGTTTGGATGGGAAATGTTCCCCAAAGGCCCAAATTTGAGAAGCTTGGTCTCCAGACCCTGCCATTGGGAGGTGGTATTTAGGGATCTAGTGGGAGATCTTAGGTCACTAGGGTTGTACTCTCCAAAAGCACTATGGAATGCAAGCCCCTTCCTCTCTCATGCACAGATTCCAGTGTGAAAGAGTAGATCAACCAAGAAGGATGGGACACAAGCACAGATAGTTTCTCTAATGGGAAGCACACTGGGATCATCCAGGTCACCAAACAATCTCCCATCATCTGCAAATAATCCACCTAGATACATGAACACTGACCTGTGACATCCAGACGGAAGGAGACCTTCTGTCCCCCGGCCTCGCAGCTGTACTCCCCAGCATCTGCCTTGCCCGCCTGCTGCACCACCAGCCTCCTCTCACAGCCAGAGGCCTCCACTCGAACCTTTGAGCTGGAGCTCAGCTTCTTCCCGTCCTTGAACCAGGTCACCTCCGTCTGGGCCTGGGCCACTTTGCAGCTCAGTGTGGCACTGGCCCCTGCCTCTGATTTCACCTCACTGTGTGTCTGCTGCTCCTTGGCAAACACCAGCTTGGGCTCTGAAGATAGACAGGGACAAACAGTTGCTATAACTAAATTAGTGTCTACCGTCTACCTTGGTTCGGAAACTCTGGTGACTCAAGGACCCCATTCTGTTAACTTTTGATTAAGACTTCACTCTGAGAAATATATCCATTGAATTCTTTCAGTAAGTTTTTGTGAATGGTAAACTCTCTAAAGATACTTCCTGAATATGTGCTATTTCACCTTCGCTCCTGAGTGACCGCTTACGTGGGCGTGGAATTTGAGGTTGACGGTTGCTTCCTTCAATACTTTGGACACCATTCCATCATTGGTTTTCTGCTGCTGGTTGCCCACGTCTACCTCACAACTCCCTCTCCTTAGTCTTCATGTCTCAGCGTTCTTCCACTCACCTACAACAGCTCTCAAGCCTCCGCCTCCTCTCCATGCTCACAGTCACTCTCTCCTAACCTCATCACCTCCTACCTGGAGTAAGGAAGAGCCTCACACATGGTTTCCTTGCCTTGGGTCTCCCCTTGTCCAAATCAATTCTCCATTTAGCCTCCTAGAAGCTAAATGTATCATCTCCATGTTCCTATCTCCAGGAACCTAAAGGACAAAGGACCACTCCCTTTAGTGGGCACTGCTGGGTGTTTCCAAATGCTCCCAGGTGAGTGGGATGGCCCAACAGAATGAGCATGTGCTTTTGACTACATTTCTAACACAAAATTGTAGTTCATTTTCCTTTTCTATAAGAGAAATTGAAGCATTAGCCCCACTCCTGCTACAAAAAAGAAAAAAGTTAGAGCCAACCTTCAAAACTCTAGAAACTGACCAATGGCTTACAGAAATCTGAGGACACAGTGCAGAAAAGCCTCTGAATCTGGGTCACAGACTTCCAGAGGTGAAGACTTTTATGTCACTGTTCCTTGCCCCCTCTATGCCAATGTGCCTTTAAATCCAGTGGCGTCTCTACAGGCCCAGATAGAGCAGGGCAGACGAGATCCCCAGACAACCAGCGTCATCTGACGTATGGGGATCCCTGAGCTCCACACACAGGTTGTCTCCATTGGCTCTGAGTTCCCACTGCAGAGCACAGTCCCCAGGAAGGACCAAAGGGCAACGAGAAGTCTTTGCTGAATTCCAGGCTTCCCTGGACAGTGGAGAACAGGTTGCAACAAACAAGTCTAACCAAAAGGTAGGGAATGAAGTTCCACAGCGGGCTTCAGAATGTGTTGGCATCTCCTAGAATAGCAGCCATGCTCAGACAGGCCTGAACACCTGGGCAGCCTCAGTGATAGTCTGAGGTGATGTTGAGTTCAGTGCACATCTGCTCAGGATTTAAGTGATACATCCATGGCTAATAGTCACAGACTGATGGGAGAAGTCTTTCTGTGTGTATATTTGTCTTATCAGTTGATAAATAAAGCACTGTTGGCCAATAGAGAAGCAAGACAGGTGGGACTAGGAGTCAAGGAAGAGTCTGGGAAAATGTAGTCAAGAATAGAGAGTCGCCATGTGATCCCAGGAAGAGAGGACACATGAGGCTGGTGTCCTCAGTAAGATAAGACCTTATGGAAATATATATATATATATATATATTAGTAGTTATGGGTGATACTTAAGACAGAACTAACCTATGAGAAGCCCCGGACATTGGCTGACAGAATTATAACTAATAGAGTCTCTGTCTGTTATTTGGAGTTGACGTGGCAATGGGACCAAGCTGGCAGAAAGAATTCTCGTTGCAACAGACCAGCACTCCAGTCACACAATGAGGAATATGCCCTTTATACCCAGCTCAGAGAGGCCACTAACACACAAACACTACCTGTAACAAATGTTGGTGACAATATTTAAAAAAAAAACTTTTTCCTAAGAGTATGTTCACATAAATAAAAAGTTGGTTCTTGGGAAAATATCAAGAGAACAAACTAACCATTGTCTCTCAACTAAGAAAAAAGAAATAACTCAACTTGTTAAAACCCAAAATAAAAGTGAAAACAATAAGACAGACTCCCCACAAGTACAAAGGTTCTCAAAAAACACTGAGAATAATTGTGTGTTAACAAATAAGATAGCAGCCCAGAAGCGGTGGCACACGCCTTTAATCCCAGCACTCTGGAGGCAGAGGCAGGGGGATCTCTGTGAGTTTGAGGCCAGAGCTACAGAACTAATCCCAGGACAGCCAGAGATGTTACACAGAGAAACCCTGTCTCAAAAAAAAAAAAAGAAAGAAAGAAAACACAAGAACCAAAAAAGATAACCTAGATGAAACAAACAACTCTCTGGGAAATGCTACTGGAACTACTCAAGAGGAGAAAGAGAAGAGAGAAAATTCAGGGAGTCCTGCAGCCAGTTCAGGACAGAATCCGTGATCCAGACACAAGACCCGAGTAAGATGCACAACCTTCTCTACCTGCAGATAGGATGGCCTTGTACCTGAAAATCCTCAGGCATCACAAGAGAATTTAGCTTTAACAAGCAGGGTCGGCACAGTTTCAGGTACAAGATGAACACACAAAAACCAGTCCTCCTCCCGAGCATCAGCTGAGGGGATAATGGCATCTGGTGGCTACTGAGAGCTTAAGAGTCAGGGGATGATCATGTCCACGCCCATACGGGCAGCAATAATTGAAGTTCGTAGGAGAAAGAAAGGAAAGAAAGTAGGGCATGGGAGATCTGTCAGTGGGGGTCGGAAGGAGCTGGAGGGAGTGGTGGGTACATCAGGGTACATAAATGTCTTAACTTTTCAAAAAATACATTTTAAAGTGGAATTAAGGAAAGAATTCCATCACCATGGTGACATTAAAAAAATACTTAGTAATAAGTTCTCAAACAAGTCAAGCCCTGTTTGCTGAAAATCCCACTGAAAATACTCAAATAAACAAATGAAAAGTCATACCATAGTCACAGGTTTGAAGTCTTCATCCTAAAATGGCAATATTCCTAACATTGGTCTGTGTGGTCATATCAACTATACATCCTTACTTTGTAAAATTTGAGAACTGACATTAAAGTTAACAGAAGTTCAGAGTAGCTTGGATGACCAATATAAACTTTTAAAAGAGAAAGAGGAGCTGGAGAGATGGCTCAGTGGTTAGGTGCACTGGCTGCTCTCCCAGAGGACCTGAGTCCTGTTCTCAGCATCACATTACAGCTCACAACTGTCTGTGATTCCAGACCCAGGGGATCTGATGTCCTCCCCTAGTCTTCCTGGGCACCAGGCACACATGTGGTGCACAGACACGTATTCAGGCAAAACACCCCTACTTGTAAAATAATATAATAATTATTAAGAAAATAAGCAAATCAATTTTAAAAGAAGAAGAACAAAATTGGAGGAGTTCCACTGCCCAGTTTTAAAACTCCCTATAAAATTATTGTCATCCAGGGCTAGAGACACAGCTCAGCAGCTAAGAGCACTGGCTGCTCTTGCAGAAGACTGGTGTTCAGTTCCCAGCACACACAAACAGCTCACAGCTACCTGTAACTCCAGCTCCAGGGGACTACCGTCCTCTTTCTGTCTCCTTGGTTACTGCACACACATGATCAGCAGACATATATGCAGACATTTTTTTTAATTGCGGTGATTTTCCAGGCATGGTGGCGCATGCCTTCAATCCCATCACTTTGGAAGCAGAGGTAGACACATCTTGGTAAGTTTCATGGCAGTCTGTCCTATATAGCAAGTTCCAGGCCAGCCAAGACTACATGGTGAGATCCTGCCCCCCCCCAAAAAAAGAAAGAAAAGAAAAAAGCCTATAGTGATCAATTAAAGAAGGTCCTAACTGTCTCACTGTTCAAACATGAACTCAAATATAGTAAAGACCTAAACATAAAATCAGAAGACAGGAGGTAACTAGAAGGAAATAAATACAAATAATGAATTTTTGGCTAGGACCTCAAAACCAAAGAACCAAAAACTAATTTTTGCATGTGCATACACACAGAAAGAGACAGAGAGACAGACAGAGACAGAGACAGAGAGACAGAGAGACAGAGAGAGAGAGAGAGAGAGAGAGAGAGAGAGAGAGAGAGAGAGAGAGAGAGAGAACTCTAATCCTTCCATATCCTTCCTCTTTTGAAAATTGAATGTGATCATGGTTGGAGCCATGTGTAACACGACATAGAAAGAATTTGAAAGATGATGACGCACAAGGAAAGCCTGGGACTTTGTGATAAACGGGCAAAAAAGAGTCCAGACTTCTCTACAATGGGACCCACTAGCCTGATACCCACAGCAGGGTCTGCATCTTTGTGCTCTTGGGACAAGGCAGACGTTTTGCTTAACTCTGACCCAACAAGCAGAGGTAACCTCTGGTCTCCCAGAGCAGAGCGTCAAGAGCTCCTGCACCCTGAGGGAGATCTGGCCACTTCAAGAAGAGGCCCAGGTGGTCCTCATGGAAACCACTACCCTGGGGACAAGCTGTTGCAAAGGAATAGAAACCACAAAGGGAGACAAAAGGCTCCAAAAAGAGTTCTGAGATCAGTTCCATTGCTGTAAAAGAGGCCTCTCATCCCATACAGCTCCTTCCTTCAAGGCCATATCAGTGAGGATGTCAAATGTAAGCATACATCGAGCTTGGATTCCCAGCCCCAGGGACACCACATGGAACAGAAGTAAGCTATCAGTACAGACATCATAGTACCTCCTACCCTAGCAACTGGAGAAGAAAAAAGCATGCTTCGTGTTCACTCCTGTAAGCCTGGAGTAACTTGCTACTTGTGGAGCAGTAGCCAATGCATGCCCTTGCACAGCTTCTGCAACAGACCCAGCACTGAGCCCACACTGAAACACTTCCCCCAGGGCTGTCCTACGACATAGACCACAGTCTAACCAACTGACCTGTGACGTCCAGACGGAAGGAGACCTTCTGTCCCCCGGCCTCGCAGCTGTACTCCCCAGCATCTGCCTTGCCCGCCTGCTGCACCACCAGCCTCCTCTCACATCCAGACGCCTCCACTCGAACCTTCGAGCTGGAGCTCAGCTTCTTCCCGTCCTTGAGCCAGGTCACTTCAGTCTGGGCCTGGGACACTTTGCAGCTCAGTGTGGCACTGGCTCCTGCCTCTGATTTCACCTCACTGTGTGTCTGCTGCTCCTTGGCAAACACCAGCTTGGGCTCTGGGGATGGACAAGGACACACTTTCAAAGTCAGAAACACTGTCTATATCAGGAAGGCCACATAGGGAAAGATCCTCATAGGGCAGCTAGAAAGCAGAACATCACTCAGCCTCTGAACAGTGTGTCCAGGAAAACTCAGGGCCTCTCATCACAAAACCCCAGTTTATCTACATATCCACAAGTGGAGACATTGTTACAGTCCTTCATGAAGAGGCTAAGGGTCATAACACATGCACCTGCACGGCAGTGACATGGAGAGTCTCCCCAGGACTTGATAGGACATGCCTCACAGAGCTGAGACTCCCCGAGGCTCCAAACCCTTTCCTACTCTGAGTAATGTCAGCTGTGGCACCTGCGGAAGAGAGAGCCTGGGCCATCTGTGGTCCTCTGCTGTCTGTTTTACTGACGCTGTTTGCCATCAGTGTGTGTGCTCCTCTGTAGAGTTGATGTTCAAGTATATCCTACTCTCAATAGCACTGCTTCTTCTTCATATTTATTTTAGGAGTCTGTTTACATATTACAGTACTTATCCTCTCTCATTGTCTGACCTGTGCGTCTGATCCCAGTTACAGATGGCTAGATGTGACTGGTACCCCAAAGGTTTACATGTGGCAAGCTGGATCCTCACGTGGTGGTACTGAGGTGGAGAACTTTTTACATGGTAGAAACTACTAGAGATTCTCAACCATGAGAACTACACCCTCTGAGTTAACACTGATCTGGGGAAACAGGCCGAGTCCTACAGGAACACATGACTCCCACACACACAAGATCAGAGTGTCAAATGCCCTGTTCCTAACCTGGATCTTTTCTATCTGTCCACCTGCACCAGTACCACACCATCCGAACATTCCAGCCACCAGAATCACAGTCACTGGTTTGCAAGTTATATGGCCTCGGTGAGTTTGCAATAGCTGCACACAGCAGCCTCATCTCATCACTCTGGGTTTCGATGTAATGCGGCCAAATGGATCACTGTTGCTCCGCTGTGGCTAGTGCACTTGTTTCCTGACCAAACTTCCCTCACCTGACCACTTGAAGCAACACACATCAGGACTACAGTTTACCTGGGACCCTGGTGTCTTTAACTGACCTGGAATTGACCTCTGTGGTGTGAACTAGCAGACAACTCTTTTCCTGTGACTTGATGTCCCAAAACCTCTCACAAAAAAACCCTTCTCCCTTCCTTGCTGGTTCTAAAAACCGGGGGGGGGCATGAGGAATGGGTTTACACACAGGTGTGTTTCAGAGCCCAATACTCTGCTCTTTCTTAACTCTACAGTGAGGACCCTGGATCTGTTTGCTATGCTTCATAGTAAGACTAGAGGAAAAATGCTATCACTTTCTTTAAGAGTATGGGATGCACTTGCCCCACAAATCAGACAGCCGAATTTGATCCCTGGAACCTGCAGAAAGGTGGAAGGAGAGGACAGGTGCCACAGAGTTGATCTCTGATATATAGTGTGGCAAGCATGCCAACACATAGTGTGCTATGCATGCACACACAGTCAATAACAGTGATTAAAATACGTTAAATGTGTAACTTTCCATATAGAGCTCAACCAGGTCATAAAGTGAAGGTGCTCCTAGTAACCCTAGAGAGACATCTGAACCACCACAGGACACAGGCCAGATGCATCCAGAGTCCACCACACAGCATGGGGGCCCTAGGCAGGAGTTCTGAAATGAACAGTTAAGCACAGCTATATGGAAGTGAGGTAACAGAGGCAGTTAAGGCTCTTCAGTCTTCTGGTTCTGAGGGCCGTGTCTCACTGACTTGACAACTAGGAATTCTGACAAAACTGGCCAGATCAAACAGACAACAAAAAACCTACACTACCCTTCTGAGAAACATGGAGAACAAGATTCTGAAAATGGCCAACTAACTGTGCCTCACTCCACCTCCATGTGACCTGTGTCCCTAAAGAGTCCTTTAGCTGAACACTTTTGTGTTTAACCAATACTCCTTCCCAGCTGTAAACCTGCACGGTCCACTCAGGACAGTCTCCTATGTCCAGAACAAAATTCTGTGGGTTAAAAAAAGTAATACAGGACTGGAGAGATGACTCAGAGGTTAAGAGCACTGACTGCTCTTCCAGAGGTCCTGAGTTCAATTCCCAGAAACCACATGGTGGCTGAAAACCATCTGTAATGAGATCTGGTGCCCTCTTCTGTTGTGCAAGCAGACATGTAGGCAGAATACTATATACAGGATAAATAAATATTGTTTAAAAAAGGAATATACCAGCACATACTTTGGCTAATACTTAAACTTAGTTGCAAATTAAGCGGATCCAATGGCCCCAGATCATATATGCAGCAACAGGGAATGTGTTCCTGTACCATGCCTGCACGTAACTCTCCACTGCGTCCTGTCTTACTGCTCTTATTGCTCAATCAATAACCTGGCTAATTCTGCTTCACTCTGGCTGGTCCTGGATTCTGTTCTCCAGTGGGTGTCAAGGACCTGGCTACATCTCAGCAAAGGCCCCGGGGGACCTAAGGAGGCATGTTCAGGCTGCACTGCCCACATGAAGAGCACTTTCTAATGCAGCCATGGAGGGCGGTAGGCCCTCTCTCTTCTCTCCTGGCTTCCCTGGGCTCAGCTAGAAGCAGGAAAATAGGAAGCAGAGGAGGATCTGGAAGATGAAGTAGAAAAAGGGCATGACAAGGGTTGGGAAGATGCTCGGCAGTTAAGAGGACCTGCGTTTGGTTCCCAGCTCCTAAATTGGGCTACTCACAGCTGCCTGCAGCTCCAGCTCCAGGGGATCCAAAGCACTCTAATGGACTCGTTAGTACCTGCACTCATGTGCACGTACCCATACAGATAATTAAAAATAAAGTCAACCTCTAAAGGGAATAGTACCAGAATCTGTCCAAGCCACAGCCAGCCTCTACCACCTCCACACAAGGCTACCTTCATGTGAAAACACCCACCTGTGACGTCCAGACGGAAGGAGACCTTCTGTCCCCCGGCCTCACAGCTGTACTCCCCAGCATCCGCCTTGCCTGCCTGCTGCACCACCAGCCTCCTCTCACAGCCAGACGCCTCCACTCGAACCTTCGAGCTGGAGCTCAGCTTCTTCCCGTCTTTGAACCAGGTCACCTCCGTCTGGGCCTGGGCCACTTTGCAGCTCAGTGTGGCACTGGCCCCCGCCTCTGATTTCACCTCACTGTGTGTCTGCTGCTCCTTGGCAAACACCAGCTTGGGCTCTGGGATAGATAGGGATGCACAGGATCAGAGACCCCAGACTAGACATACTCAATCCTTCTTCAGGGCCTGGAGCTCATCAGAACCCAGTCATGGCCAAGGCAACACTGCCCATAATTGACAGATCATCATGGGATCATAAACAAGGTTCTGTGCCCAAGCTGCATGCCCTGAAGCTTCATACGTGGAAGGCCTGGTATGCAGGGTCTTGTCACTGCCCTAAGAACCTGTAGGCCCGCTCTGATGTTTGCTGGCAGGTGAGCTGCTGTACCCTTAAGGCCATCACAGCGAGTGTCCTTTAGTAATACCACCATCTTGACCTTTAAGGACAAAACTCTAAATCTTCCCTGCCTCCAGTCCACCGGAAACTTCAGGCCACCCACGGCTTCCCAGTCCTCCTACATGCAGAGACCACAGACAGCAGGAGGAGGCACAGTTGGGAGGGATGCCCGCCTCAATCCCCACGTCAGAAACCCACATCTTTCTGGACCACAGCTGAGAGGAACTGCAAGACAGTGGAATGCAGTAGAGTCAGGCAGGAGAGAGAGGCTACATGGTCTGTGGCCTTTTCCTCAAACTCAGGGACAGGGCAGACAGGGTTGGACATACATTCGTGGTCACATGGGAATTATGACAGAGCCAACAAGGACTCCCAGAACCCTAGGGCCCAGCAAGTAGGAATGGACAGAGAAAAGCATCTCCTGCCATCTGCAGGACTTGCTCTGCAGCCATGGGCCTCCCCCCCAGCCAACAGACTAGACCCAACCACACCTATGTTCACTATGCAAACTCATCACCCCAGGTTGATGTCACCAGAGATACTCCCCAAGATTGGCTCAGCCATCAGCCTTCTTTGACCTCCTGATAGTGATAGGCCTAAAGGTCACTAGACAGAGCTGAAGACACCAAACACTGAGGTGTAAGGACAGGGAGACTATCAGCCCAAGATACCAAGCTATGTCCTGGGATAATCCCATTGAGCACAACCCTGGCACCCACCTGTGACGTCCAGACGGAAGGAGACCTTCTGTCCCCCGGCCTCGCAGCTGTACTCCCCAGCATCCGCCTTGCCCGCCTGCTGCACCACCAGCCTCCTCTCACAGCCAGACGCCTCCACTCGAACCTTCGAGCTGGAGCTCAGCTTCTTCCCGTCCTTGAACCAGGTCACCTCTGTCTGGGCCTGGGCCACTTTGCAGCTCAGTGTGGCACTGGCTCCTGCCTCTGATTTCACCTCACTGTGTGTCTGCTGCTCCTTAGCAAACACCACCTTGGCCTCTGGAGACAGTAGACAAAGACACTTATTCAGAGGTGCCTTTCAAACTCCTAAGTCCTGGATTCTGGTTAATAACCTCTGAACTCCAGGAAACTCCATTTCCTGCCACAAAAATCTCCCAAGGCCCCTTGCTTGATAGTGAATCTTCTTAATCCTGAGTGTGTGATGTCTAGCCAGTGTACGATGCCAGATCAGATTGACTGGGCAGGGCAACAGGAAATCACCAGGCCAGCCCTTACAGACCAAGACAGTATTCTCTTATCCCCTAATCTTCCCACCTTCAAACAGTTTCTACAGAGCAGAGAAAGGCCCTGTTCATGAGCACAGCCCCAGTTTTCTCCACCAACTGGAACGTGACCACGCCATGATTTTTGCTTTTGGATATAGCCAAAGTTAAAGCCATGCATATTACTGAGAAGCCTGTGTCAATGACTGGTGTTCACAGGGCTGCAGTCGGGACCAGCCAATCAGCCCCGGGTCCACTCTTGAGTGGGGGTATGTGGATGAGGGAAGGCTAGCTATGGACATTAAAGGAAAGATGGAGACATAGGATACTGTCAGGAGGGCAGTTTCAGTCCATACTGAATGCCACTGTTTATTCATTTTAAGTAATCAACCAAAGGTGGGGGCAAATGGCAGAAGACTTCCATTATGTATAAAGGGCAAATAGCAATTACTCCCCTTAATCCTAAAGATACTCTATTACTGCAGATACTACTTGGCCATCAGGCACTTCATAGCTGTGCTGTCACCTAGCCTTCAGGATGAATGTAAATTTGCCTGGGCCCAAGTCTATTGTTATTTAGATAAGAGCCATTTGCCACTGAGGCCAGGACAACCTACAGCTGTTAAACTAATGTCTTAAGGACAATAAAAATGATTTTGAGCTCTCCAAACTCATGACAAGATGAAATGGACTTCCATATATGGGTCCCAACAATCCTGTTATACAAAATGTATGCATGTGTAGGTTTTTAGAGCCTGTGTGAGGGGCACATGCGTCTGCAAGACAGCAAAGAGTTTCAGCTGTGGAGACATATGTGGCCCCTACCCAATGGTCCAGTGTGGAGAACCCCAGGCCACTCAAGGGTGGTATGCACCTATGCCAGAGCTAAGTCTACAGCATCTTCATGCAGGGAACAGGAGGAGACAATCTTGCCCTGCCTGGTGTCCAAAGTTGCCCCCAGCCAGTGCCACACCCCCATGCCCTACTGCGAGAAGCACTGGCAAGAGGTACCCAAGCATCTTGCTATCTTTGCCCCAGTACTCTTGTGTATGTGCCTCTGAGGTCCAGCTTGGCCCCCAACCACAGCATTCACATAGCCACCTGCTATGTCTGTGATGAAAAGTTTGAGGCCTACAGGGTATGGATGTAGATACCCAGACTTAGACCACATGTGACCCTGACTCTTGCCCAGACCAGAGAGGTTCCAACCACAGCTAAGAAGTCCTCCTTCCTACAGAGCTGAGCTACCCACAACCATTAACACACACACACACACACACACACACACACACACACACGTCAGAAAACAGCTACCCCACTGCCCAGACCCCTCAGAGCATGCCTGGAGACAAATGATACATATCCAGAAAGACAGTGTGGCACAAGGACATGATGGCAGCCCCACTGCCCACCTGCACTCACCTTGCACCAACAACTGGTAGGCAATGCGGCTCCCGCGACTGACACACTCATAGAGGCCAGCGTCATCCTGCGCCACATCCCGCACCAGCAGTGCTGGCCTCCCAGCTGACACCTGCATCTCGTACTTGGGTCCTAGGGGCAGCTCATGGCCGTCCTTCAGCCAAGTCACAGCCGCAGCCTGGTCCGACAGTTCAGCCAGCAGCTGTGCCTCTTCGTGCAACCGGGCCAGCACCTCCTGGGCAGCCACAGCAGGAAGCTTGTTGCTGGCTAGCCCCAGAGCTGCCACAGGGCAGGGAGGGTTAGACAGAAGTTAGCAGGAACAAAGAGCCCACAAGAAGGAGGGCAAAAGGAGTCACAGTGAAGACGGAGGGAGGATTGAGGATGGGGACAGAGGGATAAAAAGGGAAAATAGAAACCCAGGGAAAAGGGTGGATTGGAAGGAAAGCAGACATGGAAAGCAAGTCAGTGAAAGGCCAGAGAAGGGAGAGCGTGAAGAGGAGTGAGAGGGGAACAGAGAGAGTGAACACAGGGCACCCGTGAAAAGAGGGAGACCATGGGAAAGCCAGAAGTAGGGGGAGTGAGACAGGGGAGAAAGAAACAGGCGGGCAGAGAGGAGACATGGGGATAGACGGAAGAGAGAGTGAGAAAAGAGGCAGTCAGAGAGGCAGAGTCCTGAGGCATCTCATACACATGTGCGCGCACACAAACAAACACACAGAGCCCGGCCTCAACTGCCAGCCTACGGTGAGCAGCCTCCAGCACCCAGCTGCCCTGCCCGCTTCATCACATTGCCTTAAGACTACCCTTCTCCAGGGACTATGCCTCCCGCCTACTACCACACTGCTGAGAAAACGGGACTCAAGGACTCGGGCCTACCTCGGACCACCATCCGGATGCTGGTTTCAATGCCATTAGCCACAAACTTGAGCTGTGCCCCGTGCAGTCTGGCAGGCACCTCTCTGATGGTGAGCATATGCCGGGTACGGTCACAGCGGATTACGTATACACTGCTGGCTTTCAAGGCCTCCCCATCCAGGAACCACTCGCCTTCAGAAGCCACCGTGAGGTCCACAGAGAAGGTGACCTCACCCCCCTCCACTGCCTCCACCGCCTTCAGAGGTGTCTTCACAGCCAGCCTGGGGACTGCAGGGTGGGCAGAATTAAGGTCAGAGTTGGAAATAACAGCACAGGTCCTGCGTCCCCCTCCTTTGCTCTGCCCCCAACCAGATAGAGTAACTGAAACCTGGCTGCCCGAGGCTGCTGAAGAGAGGCAGGTTCACTGGGACCCGGGTCCTGTCTTAGGATACCTCCTCCTTCATGAGGAGGCTGAAACATCCCCCAACCACATAGACAGTCCCCTTATGACCATCCTGGCTCCCCTGGAGGCAGAATTGTGCTTTGGGCGCAGGTGACAACCCCCTGTGATGTTACTAAAGGGTCTTACTCACCCAAGTGGATGGTCCCTGGGAACTCAAGGTAAGGACTCTGGCCAAAGTGGTTGATGGCTGACACTCGGAACTGGAAGTCCCCCTCCTCAGCCACACCAGCGAAGGTAAACTCAGTTGTGACCAGCCATTCAGCTTCATGACAGCGGCTCCAGGCATAAGCACCGAGCTTCCTTTTCTCCACCACATAACCATCAATGGTGACAGGGCGGTCCCCAAGGGGTGGGGGGGACCAGCTGAGGGTAACAGAACTCTCTGTCTTGGCCTTTACTGCAGGGTCAGCAGGGGGGTACAGAGGTGGCCTCCTGGGTGCTGTGTGGAAGACAGGTTGAGCTCACCAACTGGTAACTCCCTACCCCAGCCTTGGGTCACCCAGAAAGGAAACGTCAGAACTTGAGCCTCTCCATGGACACTGCTCTGGCGGAAGGGATGGTACCATGCACCATCAGCAGGCTCAGAAGCCCCTCTCCAGACCTGCTGCCACCCAGTTGCAGTGGGAAGGCCCCTCCTCTGCCACCCTCATACCTCCACTGGCAAGGGGAGCCTGAAGCACTGAGGGAGAAAGGGAACATGGCTGGGTCCCTACCGGGAGAGCCGCGCAAAGGCCATTCTTCCGACCCTTACCTGATACACAGAACCGGGTGGTCGTCCGGCAGCCACCAGCCACAAAGGCCACCTCACCCATGTCCTCCAAGGTGCACTGGAAGATGGTCAGTGTGTGGCACGTGCCTTCTGAACTGATGGCTACCCGGCCCCCTGCCACCATCTCCTCCTGGTTCCGCAGCCACTGGACAGGGCCCTCTGGGACAGCTAGCTCTACCCAGAAGATTGCTGTGTCTCCAGAGCGCACTACAGTCTTCCGAGGAAGCTTTCTGGTCAAGTTCCCTAGAGTGGGAAGATTGCCAGAATGGTAAGACAAGGCCCCTGTGTGCCCCTTACTCCTTTTGCACACCCCCTACTCGTGTGGCCTTCCATCTCATCTTCCTGTCCATCCAGTCAGTCCCATCCTCCCATCAGCTTCACACACACACACACACACACACACACACACACACACACACCTTCTGTCCAACCCTACCTTCTGGTCCCCTGCCTGTCCAGAACCAGGCTTATCCCTAACCCTAGCTTCCCTCTAACGACTGCCAGCCTCCAGTCTCCCCAACCCCAGGCCACTACACACCTCTATGCCCTAGCATCTCCCCACCTACCGACTCACCTCTTCTGCACTTGAGCCCTCTTCCCTGTCTGTCCAGCCTACTGTACTTCAGCCTAGCTCCCTGATTGAGGAGCAAGCACCCTCTTGTCAGCCTGACCCATCACACCCTACTCGACCCCACCCCCATCCCACTTCCCAGACTCCCTCTGTACCTCCCCCTGCCTTTTCCTCATCCTGGCCTCCTCTGCCTTGTCCCTCTCACCTCAGTCCTAGTCACCGGCCTTCCTGATCACACGCAACTGACTCCACCTGTACCCCTGGGACTCTAGGTCTGCCACCTCTGCTCCAAAGCCCATTTGCCCGCCTGGTCCCGCCCAGCTCCCCCCAGCCCCTCCCGCCTGCCTTGGACGGAGAGCTCTGCCACGGTGCGGCTGCCCTCTGTGGTCTCGCAGATGTACACCGCGTCATCGTCTGCTGAGACGTCGCGGACAGTCAGCCGGCGCGCGGTGCCCTCCTCCTCGATGCTGTACTTGGCGCTGGCCCACAGGCGAGTCTCCTCCTTAAACCACGCCGCCTCGGTGGCCGGCTGCGCGACCTCACACTGGAATGTGGCAGACTCTTTCTCTCTCACCTCCAGGTCCTGCAGTCGCTTCTTGAAAGGCACCGCAGGTTCTGCGGGAGAGGGACCGACGGGAGAAAGGATGACAGGGGACCAAGGAACAAAAAATGGGAAGGATGCAGGGACGGATAGGTGAGTTAAAGAAATATGACGGAGAAGAGAAAGAGGAGCACAGAAGAGACAACAGCATGGGATATGTGAGGTGCGAGGTAGGGCTGTTGAGGAAGGGATGTAGGGATGGTGACTGGGACTACGGTTCCCAACGGTGGTTCGCATCAGGGGCCATCATTGCCTGTTCATTTGGAGGAACCAGAGCCTCCCAGACCTGGAACTGAGGATGCAGCCACCTGACCCTAGCTGACCTCTGGACCAGGTTAATCACCTGGGACCGCAGCTTGCACCCAGGTGAAAAGACAGGGTGTGGGGAGTCAGGGAACGACATGTGTGGGAGGCTAGTATGCTCACCTCTAACCACCACCAGCACGGAGCTGTAGGTCTGGCCCACGAGGTTGGAGGCTGTGCAGGTGTAGAGGCCACGGTCCGACTGCTTGCAGAAAAGGATCTTAAGGACAAAGTTCTCCTGCTCATCCTCATACACCACGTGTCGCCGGCCCTCGGTCACCAGCTGCCCATCCTTCTTCCACACTGTCTCGGGCTTGGGCTCGCCGGTCACAAAGCAGCTGAGGCGCGCATGTTTGCCTTCGGTCACCGTGCAGGTGCGTGTGCCGGCACCAGGTGGGGATGGGGGGACGCCCTCTGCGCGCATGGCCTCGCGCCGCTGCTGCAGATGCGCCAGTAGCGAGGCGGTGGAGGATCCAGGTGGTCCGGCAGCCTCGGCATCCGAGTCCACCACGAGCGCGGCGGCAGCGCTGGCGGAACCCAGAGGGTTCTCTGCAAGGACTTCGTAGGTGCCACCATCGCGAGGCCGTGCCGACCGGATGCGAAGCGCGCTCGCCTCGCCGTGGTCTTCCACGCGCACATGGGGGGCGTCAGGTGCCCCCAGGCGCCGCCCATCTTTGGACCAGCTCACAGCAGGTTGTGGTGAGCCGCCCACGCGACATCGGAAGGTAGCGTCTGCGCCCTCGCGCACGCGAATGGAGGTAGGTTTCAGCAGAAAGTGGGGTGCCTGCTCGGCGCACGTGCCCTCGGAGTCTACTCGGAGGCCTACAGCAGCGAAGGCCTCCCCTATGGCGTTCCTTGCGCGGCATACGTACTGCCCGCTGTCACCGAGCGCCAGATCCAGGATGGTGAGGCGGTACACGTCCCCGTCTTGAGCCAGGCGGAAGCGCGCTCCTGCCTCCACTGGCTGCCGGTCCTTCTCCCAGCTCACATGTGGCGTGGGGTTACCCACGATCTGGCAGCTCAGCGTGGCATCCTTGCCCACAGATACCACAAAAGCCTTTGGCCGCGTCAGGAAGCGGGGCGCTCCGCTGAAGGAGTGATCCATGGTGGCAGCAGGGTTGGGGGTCTACAAAAGGCAAAGATGAAGGTCATGATGCTATTAAGATGAGCCAGTCGCCTGTGCCACATTTGGCTTCTTCCTTATACAATACTAACAGGAAAACCCAGTTTAACAAACGGGCCCCTCCACGTGGGCTGCCTCCTCAGCAAGTCTCATTTTTCTCCTTGGAGACTCCCAAGCCACCCTAGTGGCTCCAAAGTCTAGCAGTTCAGATTAGCCTCTTTCTGTGACTTGGAAGTCTAGCATCTTCAATTACCAGATGTTCTTCCGCTCTACCCCCATCTCCAGCAAGTCCTCTCGACCCCCGAGGGGAAATGTTCTCAACCAGCAGGATAGGAACCCTCACCTGAAGTGGAGTTCATCCTAACGGAAGTGCCCTCACCCCACTGGGCTACAGCGAACCCCACTCATTAACACCTGTCTACCCTCATACTGCTAGTCTTCAGGGAAAGCCTGGCCCCAGGTAAGATTAGGGTGTGGGAACAGTGCAGTCAGTGGCTGCAAAGGGCACCAGGAAGGTCCTTATAGTCTGAAGCCAGTACAGACAGCTTCTCTCTACAAGAGCTAGGCTGAGTCTAGCTAGCTTGGGAGCTGATGGCCTTGTCACTATTCAGTCCTTTGCATGATCCTGCCAACTTGGACCCCTGCAAGAATGAAATTGCATGTCTCAGTCCTCCTAGGAATCATCGGCACCCAAATAACACTGGCCTCTGCCCAATCAAGGCTTAGCCCCAGCCAGCCAGCCACGGATCCAGTGAGTGACGAGACTACCTGCCTGTACCAGGTCTTATATAAGAATAGTGGGCACCATGGCTGGCTCAACAGACCAACCTCCTCCACCGCTGGCAGACATGAGCACTCCAGTGCAGAGACCTTCACCACAGCCTCTGTATCTGCTCTGCTATACCAGAGCTTCCAGTCTCTCAGCCTGGGCTGCCTGATATGGGACCAGCCAGTTAATGGGCTTATATTCCCGACCCTCCAGTCCTGTGATTCAGGTAGCTAATCCCCCTAATCCTCTTCCAGGAGACTGATTCTGGACCGGGGCTGGGCTGCACTGGCCAGTTTGCTGACTCACTGTCCAGTCAGCACCTCTGTCCCCCACCCACAAACAGGCCTCATCTCTTAAGGCTAAGATAGGGCCACCAGGTAGCACCAACTGGAACCCAAGTCCAGTCCCTGGAGCTGTCCTTCAGCATCTGTTCCATAGAAGGTCTGCCTTGACATCAGTATCAGGCCTTGTGTCAAAGGTCTTTCTAACCTGCATACTCAGTCTGCGGGTTCCCCAGGAGCATGGCAGGGTGCCTTATGACTCTACCCACCGTCGTATGCATAGCCTGTGGTGGCCCAGCCTAAGACACAAAAACAAGAATGTGCAAACAGCCTGGCATACACATATTTAAGAGGAGCTGGCCCCAGCCTCAGCTGGTCCACAGGCCCTGGAGACGCAAGAGTGACTAGAGACTAGCATTCTCCTAGGCCCCCAGGGATGGCACCCCTGGTTCTCACTGTCTGCTCAAGGCCTGCATTCCCTCCACAACTATGTGACCAGTCGGTCACACACCAAGGCACTGGCCACTATCATGGAGTCAGAATGACACCTCAGAGCCCCTCAGCCACCCTGACAAGCAGGTCTAAGACCAGAGAGGGAAATCCCAGGACTATGAATCTGTTTTATTCCCCACCGATGAGGAAACCGAGGGCATAACAGAAGCTTCAGGAAATCTATCCCAGACAGGGCCCTCATCTCTCCTGGTTTAGGCTGGAGGCCCTGGGCATATGTCCTAAGCATGGGGTCCAGGTGATCATTCTCTCAGAGAAGCCTCTTCCTCACCCTTACAGGACTTCTCCAACCCAGCAGGTGCCTTGGGCCCCTCCACTGCCTAGGGTGGTTTGCAGGAGCCCCTGCCACCTGCTCATACAATTGGCCACACCACCCACACCCTCCACCCTCCACAACTTTAACAGAATGTGGCTACTCTGCTTCTTGCAGGGTGGACCAGTTTTCTGGATGAACCGAGTGGGAGGTGACACACTAGCCAGAAGCGGAGGCTGCCCCCTCCCTGGAATTCCACCTTGCTGGCCCTCTCTGTCCCCTCCACCACTCCCAGAGCGGAACCAGCAAGCCTGTGGTCCCCATGCCCTTCTAGAGCGGATTTCCAAGGGCAGCCCCTAAGCTCAGCCTCACCTTAGACCCCGGGGCTGTGGCTTCCCCCACTCCCGGGGAAATTCTTTCCTGGAGTCAAGTGTCAGTGCCCCTCTGGCTGTCCCCTCCACTGAGCCAACAGGCCCAAAATAGCCCCAGCTGTCAGCGGGCATCCATGTCGGAAGAGCTGGGGGCAGGGCCACCAGACCCCCAGGCAGCAGGAAGACTAGGGGGTAACCAGGCCAGTGCTCACACAGTGCCAGCTCCAGCCCTCCCAGATCCCTAAGGGCAAACTGCCCCTTCCCATTCTCAGGTCTGGACTCAGAGTCACAGAAGGTCCCAGGTCTGGCATCCAGCCCACTCTCTTCTCAGGGAGGGGACCAGGCTGACCAGACCCCTAAGGTCCCCAAGTTCCACAGAACACCATGACCTTCAGCCCATCTGACCTCCAGAAGCAAAAGTCAATCCTCCAGGCAGCCCTGCCTCCTCACCTGTGTCTACCAGGGGTTGGGGGCAGCTCCCAGGCAAGGGGCACAGGTGGTGCGTTGGGGGCTGCTGGGTTTTGCCTCCTTCCTGGGGCCCAGGTCGATGTGGTTCCCACCCAGCAGCCCACACTCCTGCCGGTCTTCAGACTGGACAGGGACGAAAGGACAGGCAAATGCTGTCAGCTGAAGAAGGCTGGGCCCGCCCCTGCCCCACCCCCATTTCTGGTCAGCCCAGCCCAGCCTAACTCCAAAATAGCCCTGGTGTCACTGTCCAGGATTTAGTTTCACCCTCGGGCCCAAGGAGGCAAAGGGCAGGTGGTCAGGGGCCTGAAGACGCCTGTGTCCTCCCACTGTGATGTGGGCAGCAGGGAGAAGGGTCCAGCCTTCCTCAGACCAGCATCCTGGAGTGTGGTGGGGACAGTGCAGGGTCCCAGGATGATGCCAAGAGGGTCCAGTAAGCAGTCTTGAGAACAAAACTTGATACTGACCATGAAGGGAAACCAGGACCGCCACACAGATCCAGGTCTACATCTAAGGGATCACAAGACCACACAGGGGTCTAGAATCAGCCCATGGGGACACAAACCAACCCAAAGACACAGGAGCACTTTAATTTATTTATTTTTATTTTATGTGCATTGGTGTTTTGACAGCATGTATGTCTATGTGAGAGTGTCAGGTCTTAGGGTCACAGACAGTTGTGAGCTGCCACATGAGTGCTGGGCATTGGACCCAGGTCTTCTGGAAAAGCAGTCAGTGATCTTAACTGCTGAGCCATTTCTCCACTCCTCCCCCAGGAGCATCAAAAAGAAACCCATAGGCACCCAAGAAAACTCACATCTGCTCTAAGAAGGATCAAGTTTACTCCAAGGGTATTAGGACAACCTACTCTGCTCCCCATCTGGTCTTCCTGGGACCCAGCAGTATAAAGGAACAACTATTAGCCATATATTGATGCCTGACTCATACCTACTTTGCCCTGTCCACACCTATGACCCAGGCACCCTTGGTCCCTGTGCCATACCCAGACTGGCTTGCATCTGTGGTGGCCTTAAATGAGAGTGGAACCCTAATAAGAACCAACCTAGCCAGGGCCAAGGGGTCTGAAGCTGAGGGTGAGCTGGGCACTGACAGTACCTGCTGCTTCATGCCCCAGGCAGGGCTGTTCATTCTTCCAGTGTGGACTTTGGCAGTGCCTGCTGCTTCGTGTTCCAAGTAGGACTGCCCATTCCCCCAAACCTAGAGTAGATCCTTTCTAGGCAGAAGATGAGCTGGCAGCAGGGAGGCCTGGGGTTGGGGGATGTATTGAGGGATCCTGGTCTCTCCTAACCCTTAAGGAGCCAGTATGAGGAAGGCATACAGCTCTCCCTACCAGCCCCGTTTAAGCACATGGGGAGTCAAGGGGAAGGACCAAGGCTTGTCTCTTGTGGCCCCCACACTCTCTAGCTGTTCCCCACTTGCCAGTGCTGTGGGACCCAGGAGAAGAGTCAGCTGGAAGTAGGCTGGGAGCTACTTCAAACCTCCAGACTGACCCTTATTCTGGAGCCAAGGTCAGGGTTCCATGTTGCTGCCTTCACTCTGAGTCTGTGGTAAGGGTGCTCTTCCGACTAGTATCCCCAATCCTTAGGACAGAGAGGGCAAGAGCATTCTTGGGGCCCCTGAATAGGTACACTCATTCTACTCACAAGTTCCCCTTCTCACGGACTCATTACCACCCTCCCCAAAGTCCCACCTCTAACATGAGTAACACAGGGGAGGGGCTTTAGCATGTGAATTTCAAAGGAATTTCACCTGATCTCCATGAGGAAAGGAAGAAATGGAAGACACCAGGCCCAGGAGCAAGATGTTGAAAAACCATGGCTGATGCACTCAGGGGCTCTTATGAGAGTGGGTGTGTGGTGTGTGAGTGCAAATGTCTACACATGTTAGTTCACATGTGTGTGCGTGGGTATGGAGACACAAGATTATGTGGAGGTAGGCATGCCTCATGCCTTTCCAAGGCATGCATAGAAGGACAGAGGAAACATCCAGCTCCCTGGCAGCCTCCAGATGTCAGTAAAGTTGTAGATAGACTGAAAGTATGCAACCTAGAGAAATAAAGAATATACTGAACAAAGTAAACCAAGACTTAGTGCAGTGTAAGACACCATTAAATACATCAACACACATGTAACAAAACAAGTTGTCACACACAAGGAAAGCTGAAGGAGGCTAGCAGCCAGAAGACAGATGAAGAGGCATGGAAATGTTAACCACCCAATTTGATCACTACACATTGTCTTCACAAGTCAAATCATCACACTAGACCACATACATTTGTATGATTAAAATAACAATTAAATTTAAAACAGAATAGTAATAATTTTGTGGGGGGTTGCAAATAGCTCAGCAGGTAAAAGCGCCTGCTGCCAATGCTGAAAAGCAGTTTGACTCCCAGGACCCACATGGTGGAAAAGAGAGCACATATGACTGGACATTGTCCTCTGATCTCCACATGTTACACACACACACACACTTTATTTTTGGAGGAGTTCTTAAACTTTTTTCTTTTATTTTGGTTGAGACAAGGTTTCTCTGTGGCTTTGGAGGCTGTCCTGGAACTAGTTCTTATAGACCAGGCTGGCCTCAAACTCATAGAGATCCGCCTGTCTCTGCCTCCCGGGTGCTGGGATTAAAGGTGTGCGCCACCACCACCTGACCTGGTTCTTAAACTTTTTTATCAAAACAAAATCAAATATGATAGATCATCGGAGTCCCTTTGTTTCTGTGTGTGTAACTGCCTAACCTGTCGTAGCCTAACCTGGGCAGGGGCAGTGAGCTACGGATTTCATGGGGAAAGGACAGTCGTCCTTGCCCTCTTTACAACAAACAGCTGTGTGACTTTTCCCGGGAGATGTGAACAAATGTCTATTCATCCCATATAGGGCACCCATGACAGACCTAAGAGCCATTCACCCAACTGTATCTTGGTGAAACAATGAGTTCATTGGGGTTATTTACAGAGCATGAATGACTCACAGAAGGCTGCATCACTAAAAAGCCAATTGCACTATGGGCAACTAGTCTCAAAGCTGCATCTCTGGGGCTCCCTGCTCCAGCAACTGTAACATAGACATTTTATACTGTTCACCTAACCTTGGGGAGGGGACATGTGAGCCTTATAGGATGTCTTAGCTTCCTGATTTAGGAATTCTGTCCCCCTCCTTCCAGGAGGAAATCTTCCAGTTAAATGGAAATAACCACACAACAGAACAAAAAGCAAAAATCTTTAAAAAAAATTCTAAATCACCACATTCAAATAAAGTGTCCCAAGAGATACTTTAAACACCCCACTGGTGGGAATTCTGGGTATCTGGGGTGAGTTCTACAAACTTCCTCCTGGGTCTGTTTTCTTGTGAAGTCCAAGGGGAATTCTATTGTGAAGACAAAGTGCAAATCTAACAATGGCCACACAATTTAGTAAAGTGTTCCATGAGGAAAGGCTTGTCTAAGAATTTAAACAACTTTAAGGAAACACAAGGACATTAAGAATCCATCTTATGCTGGCTAAAAGAAATGTCGAGAAGAATCCTTTGGGCAAAGGGATGTATGTGGCAAGGCTTTGAAAGGGTTTGTGGAAAACCTTTCTGATGTGTCCAAGAGAGACAAAGCATAGGAGGTCTTGTATCAGCGTCAGCTGCGTCAGCTGCGTCAGCTGCGTCAGCTGCATCAGCACCAGCCATTGCTCTCCCAGTCATAATTTACATTTAGAGTCAATGGAACTAGGAGCTGTCATGAAGAGGATGCCACCTCCCACCCCAACAGCTGCTAAGATTCCTAGGAGAGAGATTGACAGCTGTAATAAACTGGGTGACTTAATTTGGCAACCTTTCAATTCCGACATGGTTAGAGAGTGACACGTCCTACTCCCATGCCCTGCAAAGTGACTCAGAACAACCTGGGTCTCTGATCTCTCAAAAGAGCTTCAAGTGCCACGCTTAATATTCCCGACATTAGGTTCTAGCCATCATCAGATCATTCTGCATCCTGTGTTTGTCTTCTTGCCCCATGGCTGGGCAGAGGGGTGCCTCAGACAAAATCAACTGTAGACATACCACAAAGGTGCCCAGGTCCCATGTGCAATCACTAGCTCACTCTCCAGCCGGCAGGGCCAAGGCTGGAGAGTAGAGAGCATAGAGCTCCCATACATGCTAGTGTGTGTGTGTGTGTGTGTGTGTGTGTGTGTGTGTGTGTGTGTGTGTGCGCGCGCGTGTGTCTGTGTGTGTGTCTGTGTGTGTCTGTGTGTGTGCGCGTGCGCGCGTGTGTGTCTGTGTGTGTGTGTGTATCTGTGTCTGTGTTTGCACACTGATATACACAAGTGCACATGCACCTGCACCTGTGTATGGGAGTATGAGGAGGCCAAAGGTCAATGGAGAGTGTCTTCCTCTATTACTCTCTTCCTTTTGTTTTATTTTCCTTTTTTTCTTTTTTTATTATTTTAATTTTAAATAGCTTGTTTTACATGTCAATCCCAGTTCCCTCTCCCTCCCCTCCTCCCACAGCCCCCATCCCCCCCCAGCCTCCCACCCTATTGCCAATCCCTTCCACATAGGGGATATCTAGAGTCTGTCATTTCACTCAGGGTAGGGTCCAGGCACTCCCCTAAGAGTCCAGGCTGAGATTATTTTCCTTTTTGAAGACAGGGTTTCTCTGTAGCCCTGGTCATCCTGGAACTCACTTTGTAGACCAGGCTGGCCTCAAAATCAACCATCCACCTGCCTCTGCCTCCTGAGTCCTGGGATTAAAGGTGTGCACCACCACTGCCCAGATGTATAACTTATTTTTTAAGACAAAGTCCCTCTCATTAAACCTGGAGATGGCCAAAACAGCTAGGTCAGCTGGCCAGCAAACCCCAAGAATTATCCTATCTTTCCTCCCCCAGTGCTGGGATTACAGGTGTGGGTAGCAATGCCCATCCTTTTACATAGATGCTTGGGAGCTGAACCCAGGTCCTCATGTTTGCATGACAAGCACCTTCCTGGCTAAGCCATCACCATAGCCCCTAGCCTCAGCTAACCAATGCCAGCCTAACAACCACAGAGACTTGGCGGGTTCCTGGGAACTAAGCTTATCAGGAAGTGGAGAGCACAGAACAGGGACA